CTCAGTGATAACCATTGTTTTTCCACCATTCTCCAGTTTTAGAAACCTAAATCCTTTAACGAAGCCTCTCGTGATCCCCTTTAGCAGCAAGCTATAGATGATGAATTGCAAGTTCTAAAGAAAATGAATACTTGGGATCTTATTGATCTTCCTCTTAGTAAAACTCTGGTTGGGTGTCGATAAGTCTACAAGAACAAGACTCATTTTAATTACTCTTTAAAGCAATGTAAGGCCCACTTGATGGCCCAAGAATTCACTCAGGAATATTGTGTTGATTTTAAGGAGACTTTTGTACTTGTTACCTGTATGACTTCTGTTCACACTTGATGGCCCAAGAATTCACTCAGGAATATTGTGTTGATTTTAAGGAGACTTTTGTACCTGTTACCTGTATGACTTCTGTTCACAACCTTCTAACCATTGTTGCTATTAAGCACTGGCTTCTTCATTAAATGGATGTTAAAAATGTCTTTCTAAATGGAGATATAAAAGAAGTGTATATAAAGGCTTTACTCGGGTATCAACATCTAAAAAACAAGGTCTGTCGTCTTTGTCAAGCTCTATATAAGCTTAAGTAGGCTCCATGTGCATGGTTTACTAAGTTTAGTAACACTATGAATCAATTGGATTTTACTTATAGTCCTTATGACTCAGCTCTTTTGTTCGTTCCACTCTTATAGTATTGTTTTGTTGTTTTTGTATGTTGATGACATGATTATTACAGGCAATGATGATAAGGGAGTTAAGGAGCTCAAGACATATTTGGGCCAACAATTCGAAATGAAGGATTTTGGCATATTGAACTATTTTCTTGGGCTTGAGATCCATCATAAGAGTAATGGTATATCTCTCTCAAGTTAAGCATGCCACCAATTTTATATCCCAATATCACCTTTCTGACGAGAAGGTTGAAACTACTTGTATTAAACCAAATGTTCACTATACTTTTACTTAGAGCCAGGAATAAGGGCTGAGCTTGGAGGGCCGGGCTTAGAGGCCCTGTTTAATAAGGGTTCGGGCTTTGAAATAATTTTTTTTAAAGTAATCGGGCTTGAAGGCTTGGCCCTAATAAGCCATGTAAAAAAGGGCTCGGGCTCGGGCAACCCTTCAAGCCCTGTTATATTATTATTATTATTATTATTATTATTATTATTATTATTATTATTATTATTATTTTCTTTGGTGAAACATGTGTTTGAAGCTAATGACATGCTCACTTGATCCTACACACATTATATTATTATTAATTTTAATTTATTCTAAAATTAATTTAATATAATTTAATAAATATCAGTGTATAGTATAAAATTCCTGATATTTTTTATTTTTCTATAATTATTATGTTTGTGTATTTATAAAAAATAAATTATTCTAAGATTTAAATTTTATTACTAGATTTCTAAATGTGTGTTGTTTAATTTTTAAAAAATTATGAGAATTTTATTTTTTTAATTTCAGAATATTTTAATTAATTTATAATGTTTAATTTTAATTTTATTATTTTTATTTTTTTGAAAAAAGGCTTATGGGCTCGGCCCTAAGCCCTTTATATAAGGGCCGAACTTGAGAAATGGGGTTCAAAATAGGGAACCGAGCTTTAGGGCTCAGGCTCTTAAGGGCCGAATGTAACATCCCAATTTAAATTTTAATAGTTAATGTGGATTAATAGAAATTTTAAAAAATATTTAGAGTTAAGTAAATTGTAGAAAATGATTATTAAATCTAACTTAGGATATAATTCTAAATTAATTTTTTTAAAAAAATTATTAATTAATTAATTAAAAAATATTATTAAATTATTATTATTATTATTATTATTAAAAAAAAAGAGAAAAGAAGAAAAGGTATGAGAAAAAAAAAAAGAAGAAGAAGAAGAAGAAGAAGAGAAGCACTTTCAGCGTCCTGTGTGCTGCAATTATTATGTATATATAATAATAATAAAAAAAGGAAGAGAGAGGAAAGAAAAATAATAAAAAAAATGTGGGACCCACTGAATTTTTATAAAAACTCACATGTTTCCTTCGTTTCTTCATTCTTCCCTGTGTGCGAGCTAAGGCAAAGAAAGCGTCTAGTTTCGCCGGTGCGGGAGATCTGAGTTTTTAAGGTAAGAGTTTTTAATAGGATATTTAGGGTGTGATTTCAAGTTTTTCAAGACTAAGTAAGTGTTCTAAAATTTTTCTTAGTCATCCTTCCTCTTTGGTTTATGAGTTTGTAGTGGTAGAAAATTTAGGATTTGAAAGAGGGATGAATTTATGTTAAATAAATATGATTTTTGAAGTTGTTAGTAGTATAATAAATATTCTAGAGTATAAATTTGTTAATGATCTTTGAATTTATGACTTATGCATTAAATTCTAAACTAGATCTGAAAATATATGTTGATTTATTGAGGTTTAGATAATTATTTGGGATGAAAAATGAATTATTATGGCTATAGGATTATAATTCTAAGCTAGAGACTTAATTTTTAATTTTTGGGTATTTTAGGTGCGAATTTATAAAATAAAAAGAAAATTTTAATAATAGAGATTAGTTTAGAAGCTGATTTTTAGATTATTAATGTTTATTGATGACTAAAAGAGGAGTTAGAAATTTTACTTAATAGTATTAACTCTAGATTTGTATTAAGATTGAGATTAAAAATTATGTTATATTTTTAATTCTATTATTAGAATTATTTTATTAGTTTCAAAAAATTGAAACTAATATTTACAGATAATATGTTATTATAGATTGTATTATTGATGAAGATTATGGTGGGAGAGAAATTGTAGGGAATAATTTATTGAAAAAGCCACAAGGTAACCATGCTTTTAATTCGTGATTAGTGTTACTTCATGTTAATTGGTGATTATTGAGAAAATTATGAATTTTATAATATTGTATAATTGTGCAATATTATTATGAATTTATTTGATTATTGTTGGAGGTATTGGGAGACTTGCTATTGTTGTTGTATTTATGTGCCACGTGGTACGCCCCTATTGGAGTTTAATAGGTGGCTTGTAAGAGCTCGGGCTAATCTACCTTTGGCCAGATAATTTAGCACTGAGTGAGGGCTATGTCTTGAGGTTAATGAAGGGATATAAGGATGGTTATTTGTGTGTATTGTAATATTTCTTATATTTTGTTGGAATTATATTATTTTTGATTCCCACTTAGTAAGCACACACTTAACTGTTTGTATACACTATCATAAATTGGTATTGGTTACTGGAACTTTTGAGTCTTATTATGTGGTTAACAATTTTCAGGAGAAGAGCCACGAGTGACACGTGAGGAGTCCCAGAGGCTTAGTGGCATAGATTCACTGTCTCTTTTGAGTATTTAATTTATGATTTATAATGTATTATATTATCAATATTAGGGCTTTTTATTTATTGATAATTATATGAATATATAAATGTAATTATGCCTTTCAAACTATTTCTATTTTTGGTATACTTTGGGTGATTGTAATTTTAATATTTGGTTTACTTTGGATTGGTTAAAATGGCATGATTATGAGGCCAAATAACTGGCTTGTGTTGAAAATTGACTAAATTGTTTATTTTTCTTGTTGGGAGTATAAAGATGGACAAATGTGATTTAGTTTACTTGTTGAGAGTATAAGGATGAACGAATGTAATTTAGCCTAATGACATGTGGGAGATAAAAATTTATCTGAAATGTTATATTGTGTGAGTTGAAGCCAATTATAAAATATTTTATATTAAAATTATTGATATAAAAATGTGTTAGGTGGCTGTAACCCAACTATAGTTGAGTTAAATTATTTAAAAAAAAATTTGGTGTGTTACAAATCTTGACTCAGTGGTACCAGGTTCAGCCTCAACTTTGTTATGTAGGAGAGGTTAGAGGATCGAACTTGGGGAGGCTCTCCACAAGGGAAATAATCTGCACACTACTGCGGGGAAGCCTTTGTCTCCTGATACTCACAGTAAAAGGTGGGGTTGCCTTGTTGTGGGCCTGGAGGGAGAGTGTCCAGCGCCACAAAAGACTTCGGGTAGGCGGGGTGAGCGGAGGGCTGTTACACCGAACCCATAAGGGCCGGGCCCGCTCGTATTCCCATCTCTACTTTTACTGATGGCATCTTATTGGATAATCCCACCTGTTACCGCCAGCTGGTTGGGGGCCTCATCTATCTTGCTATCACCCATCTTTGCTTATCCAGATTTTGTTGTCAGCTAGTTTATATTTAAGCCTCACATAACTCATTGTGCTTTGGCAAATACTAGTACTAAGGTACTTTAGTTTCATTGGTTACTTGATGAGTTAGGAGCATTTTAGAGCTCCTTCATAGATATTTATTGTGATAGTTAAGTTACAATTAAGATTGCTTATAATGATATATTTCATGAGCAGGCCAAACACATTAATATTGAATGTCAATTTACTCGACAGCATGTTCAAGGCACCATCTAACTTGTCCCAATTTAAACCAATTATTAGTCAGCTGACTTGTTTACAAAATTTTTTCACCCAAGCTGCTTTTAATTTGGTAGAAAACTCAAGTTACTCTCTATTAAGCCATTTTAAGTTTGAAAGAAGATGTTATTTGAAATGTTCTAAAGATATATTACTATTTATTGTTTGCTATTATTTCAGAAATATTATTTGATAAAATATTATTGTAAATAATCTTTATTAGATTATCTTTTCCTTCTTGTATATATTGTACTCATTACAATATTAATTAATACGATATTTTTCAATCATTCTCTAATTTATATCTCTCATATCTAATAACTTTCATAATAAATTAGCATAATGTAAAGTATAATAAATATTAAACCATTTGCTTAATTTAATTCTATAACATAGGTTATATTTGCAAAAACCACTATATTTTATACCTTTATTGTCAGATTTTACACGTAAATAAATCTAACTAAACGTATAATTTCAAAGCTCAATCAAATAGACAATTTTCTCAACTTTCTCACTTACCGTAATAAAAAAAAAATTGATATAAGATTATAAGTTATACTTGAGCCGAATTCGAGAAAGAAATCCTTTTGCGCCGATTCATAATGTGAACGGAAAAAATGATGAGCTGCTTCGTTCCTTTGAACAAGGTACTGTCATCGAGCACCGTCAAAGCATTCGAGGTCAATTCAAACCATAAAGATGGAATGGGGATGGTTAAAAATGTTGATGTACAACCACGGTTAAATGCAGGCTACACTCCAAATGGGTGCTTCATCCTCGCAAGCTTAGCATGGCAGAGATTCAATTACCAGAGCTCAATCGACAGTATAACGCCAAAGAACATCAGACTCTGCGGGGAGGTGGTTCGACAAGGGGCTGAGTCATCACGTCAACATCCATGAATCAGTTATGAAAAGAATTCACTGCTATACTCTCTATTGATTAAAAAAAAAAATTATACAATTTTGATATGAAAAAATTGCTAAGAAAACACAGAAATTATACCTAACAACAACCTACAGAACTTCGTCACTAAAACCTGAGACATTACAAAAGATAAGAAACTCAGACGACAAAACTGCAAGGACCGAGGACGATGGCTGCAACACTTTACACTCCAAATTATACGTGAACATAAGCAGACCTCAAGAGGAACAAAGCAAAGAGGACAACCATCTTCAAACTTGACATCTACATAATGGCAACCCGACTCAGCTTAATTAAGCGGCTGGTCCCCTGCCGGCTCCATCTGATCTCAACTTGCTACCACGTCCAAGGCCCCTTCCCCTTCCACGACCACGGCCTGCAGATCCTCAAAAAGAATCACTACCATTTTCAAGTTAAGGAATTTGTTGGATGCAAACCACTCATACAAAAAAAAAAAAGGACAATTGTATAGAATTGAATTAAAAATAGTTGGGTAAATTTAAAGATGGAAAGTTCGTTTCTATTCCTTCTGTACCTTGACTAAACAGAAGTACTGCCCCTGGACCTATTTATAAGAAACAAGTTTACATTATAACTTGTTTCCAATAAAAAGGCCCAGAGGCAGTTCAGTGAAAAGCCAAAAAACTACCACATACATAAATTTAACTCAACGAACTTGAAACCACACATTATTATGACACAGCTCATATGATACGAATCAAAATTATAAGCAATGAAGGCATAACAATTTATCAGTATTTGCTAGAGGACTAAATTTTATGGACAAGGCATACCACGTTGGGGAGGCAGTGCATCATATTCACCATAATCATAATAACCAATTGATCGTCCACCGTAGCCCCGTCCTCTACCCCGGAGGAGAGTGCGACCCCTTGCACGACCACGCCCTCTACCACCATAGCCACGTCCACCATCCCAACCATCTCCATTATAATCCATACCCCCATTATAATTTCCTAAGCATGGGAAACAGATTGTTTCCTTAAAAGCAGTTTTAACCATTCAAAAATTATGACAAAGCAAATGTGTACAATCATACTACATCCAATTCCAATCAAACAAGTGAAAACAAATTAATTAGAAATACCTCTACGCCTGCCCCTTCCATGACCACGTCCTCTTCCTCGCATTACTGGTGTGCCTTCTGTTGCATACCAAATTATGGTAACTCAGGTTATATTAGCCACACAAGCCTACTGAAAGGGGGGGGGGGGAAGATTAAGTCACCTCCTTCCTCTTCATATTCAATTAAAAGTTTTACTTGATCAGCTGGGAGAGGAGGCTGGTATCTGCATGTGAGAAAACATTTGAAATTACAGCAATGGGAACATCATTAAGAAGTTCACAAATTAGTAGTATGGATCCTAAAAACTATTCAAGTCAAGGACAACTGATGATATTTGTCAAGTAGATGATCAAATAAAAACCTCTTCAATTATTAATTTAAAAGACCAAGGTCTGCATGACAATAAGAAGCTATCATATTTTCTTTGACATGAATGAGATATGGCTGTTACAACACCAAGCTATAAGTTCAAAACAAAGTAATGTCACGACAGCAAAGAAATGTTTGTTGTAATATCTTCCAGAAAGCCAGCAAACACAGAGTGGAGGAAAGGTGTCCTAAAGTAAATTGATGAAACTTTTTTCTCACCAAAGAATTTCTTATGTAAGTGCTTCCAAAGCTGAGTTACAATCCTATCTATCCAGAGAGTAATAAATCAGATACAATTAAACATAATGCTGCATACTAGCATCCGAGTTCTTACCCTATAGAGGACTTGTCTAGTTCTTTCTTTGACAAAGTAATTGTGATCATTGAAACGTGTCGAGTAGTCTCCAAACTGAGGATGCAATAATAAATAAAAGGTTAATCCCATGAACACAGAAGTCAAGCATTTATTAGTTAGATTAGCGTGAAAAGTTTTAGCAGTTCCATACGGAAGAAGTCCTTCTTCTAGCGGCTCCCACATATCCGTTATATCAGTTGATCCAATAGCAATATTTTGATGCAGACCAACAACCCTTCTCTGAAGCAAAGAAACAGATTGCTCACAAAGCAAGAAAAACACATGCAACCACTAACACACAAAACACACAGAAGCTGGCCCTCTCACCTTAATCAATTCAGCGATCATTACAGTCTTATTGATAGCTCTACCCATTGCTTTAAGAACGATCTCCACAGATCCTTTCTCCTATAAACATACTACCAAAGTAAGATCCATGTGACTGAGAAATATATCAGGAGCATTTAAATATTAGCCCATTCTAGATAAAGAAATGCATGTAAGTATGGACCATATCAACATGGCAAATAAGTTAAGGCCCAGCCCTAGCCAACAATCGATGTAAACAGATTATGCATCCAAAGTAAATATCAAAGTACACAGGAATAGGTTAGAGCAAGAAGAAAAAAGAGACAAAAAATGAACATCCTATTGACAAAGCAACTAGAGGGAAATCACTATCACTCTCACTTCACTATATCTATAAAAAGTTGTGGAATCCTACCGTTCATGTATATTGTGGTTAGTCTCAGACTCCATGTAAATGCATAGAGCTCACTCTAGTTATATCTATTTTTTCTTCACTGAGAAAAGGAAGCTGAAAGATAAATAATACTTCAATCCCAAAGTACAAATTAAGGACACAATGAAAAGAAAGATAAACAAAGAAATTTCATTTATTCCTAAAATGGCAAGTATCAAGAGAGACATAGATAGACCGGTAATGTTCTCATTATTGATAAAGTAGTGTAACCAAAAGATAAGAACAGAAAGGAAGTAACACTCACAAAAGATCCAAGCACTAAGTTAAACCAGTCAAACACAAGAAACAGTGCATCTTGGCAATTTTCTAGAGTTTAGACCACATCCACTAAGAGTTGTGCACAGATTAATTTTACTCCATTCAACACAAGTTTCGTGAAAAACAAGGGCAAATTCAGAAATCCAACAGTAGCGTCGGTGAAGTTAGTTAAATGCCAGGGCGCCGTTCAGCCTGCAAACTGATTAAAATTTCATTGACCTTTCACCCACTTCTCAATAAGACGTTTATGAACAAATGACTAGCAAGGTTATGTATATCACGTAGAGTTAGCATCAACGGCTCGGATAGAGAAGCATAAGCAAGAGAGCTGTTGTTTTCTCCCTAGGAAGCAACTTTTACTTCAAGTTCAGCACTTAACATGTGAAATTTTCATGTTCATTCCCATATTTAAAATTTTCAAAATGTCTAACCAAGCATCAGGCACGCCTGTGTGGAATGGGTGACAAACATGGACGTTGGAGAATACCTGGAGGAGAGTGGTGGCATAGGTAATATAGTTCCTCATCCTGCCTTGAGAAGTAATGCGAATCTCGTTCTCATTTATAGGGGTCTCTGCCTTTGGCTTCTCCACCCTTTGATACCTATCCATCTATTATCAAGGCCAAAAAAGGGGGAAAGTCAGAAATAAAGCATCAATGAACAAGTTCAATATCGGAGAAGCGTGAGAAAACCAAAATTCATATTATTGTTGGAGAGGGGATCAAATCTATGAAGTTTGGGTGAAGAGTGCCACTCGCTCCCTCTAATTTCTGCCTCGGTGGTAAGCTCTGGGGATAAGGCTTTTTATTTGAATTTAGGCCCCGAAAGTCTCGCGTGGGGTGTTGCTCCCTTATCTACGCAAACCAGAGCAATCTGCCTGAAGAGCAGGGCTTTGTAAGTCGCGGTCTTTTCGCCGTCGAGACCGCCAAACACGCTCAATTAAACCCCGGATTATGGATTATTGAATGGGCCGAACGGGCTTCATCGGCCACCCCCCCCCCCAAAAAAAAAGAATAAATAAATTTTTAAAAGAGTCATTGTGTGTCCATATTGACTATTGTCCACAAAATAAGTATAATTTGTTACCCCTTACTTGTTGATTTTTGATTGTACATAAAAATGGTGCATTTAATTTGTTCAAGAACGGAACAAAAAAAAATATATATATATATATATAGGGTAATTGTGATTCCGTGCTGTACATTAAATAAGCATAATTTGTTCACGGTGCTGGCGATGATAACATTTTAGTCCAGAAAATTATCCATTCCACGAAAAGCAAGAGAGGCAAAGTGGTTTTATTGCTGTTAAAGAGGATCTTGACGAACACATTGACTACCTGAAATGGTTTTTCATTGAAGACGTGTTGAAAGGCATTGGGATTCAACATGGTAATTTGATTAATGTTTTCATGGCCTTTGTTTCTACTCTAATCAGCGCTCTTGCAATGGGAGCATCTGCTAACTCCTTTGAGCCCACTGTCTTTCTTCTTCTCCTTGTTTTGCTTTTGCCAGCAAACTCCCTTGAACCTGCTAAAGGTACAAAATCGGCTACCCTTTTATTAGGAGGTCCTTCCTTATCTCATCTTTTCTTTTTCTTTTTTAATGATTTAGTTCTCCTCGTAAAAGGATTGATTGATCCAATTGCTATGACAAAGCAGTACATGACAAGCTTCTATTATGTTTGGGATAGACATTGAACGCGACTAAAAATTATAATGACAGGTTAGGTGTGATTCAATGGAGATCTGAAGAAGTGTTTGAATATTCATCTTTTATATTTTAGCTTTATTTAAAAAAAAACTAACCAACATTCATCATCTTCAAAAAAAAAAAATATATTAATGGCTAAATAATATTCATTAGATTTCTTTTTAGGTTTCCTAAATATTTTATTCTACTTTCAACAGGGTAATCATAGAAATGGAAAAGATAATTTAAATCAAACATTTTCATTTTCAACTAGCCTTTTGTAGTGACTTTTTTTTTTTAGCACTTCAAGTGGTATAAATATCTCTATTAAATCTGCTAATAAAAACTTGAAGGAGGATAGTCAGTTACCGCCGGTGCTAGAGAAAGGTCTAGAGTGGACGGGTTATTAGAAAATCAGATATTTCATCTCGATCTTCTTGCTTCAAGAGGATTCATGACATAATAACCCATATGGTGTCAATTAAGAACGACGAAGATTCTACGGAAGAGATTATTTGCCCAGGTTGAATGTGGAATTTGGATAAAAGGTGTAGCAGTGTTTCAAGATTAATTATTTCATTCATTTGAATCCCCTTCGCTTATTGTCACTTCTTCAGTTTTATAAAAAAGAAAAACGGCTAATTTCTTTTTTTAAAACAATCTTAACCATCAATAAATGAAGAAGGTTTATTAAATACATTATAATAAGAGCATTTAGTGAAATACCATTATGCTTTTAAAAACTAAAGGCTTTTATTAGCTTCTTTTAATTTGCATCAACTTCAAAAATGACGATTATTTTGAAGTGAATGGAGTATGGTACATACCATTGTTTTCAGAAGAATAAACAATTTGATTATCGTACAATGTTACGGGGTTTCTAACTAAAAACTTGACAATGCTAAAAAGATTGCTTAACGAGGATTGCAATATCGTTAGAAATAAGAGCACACATCGATAAGTAAAGACGAAGTGTTTGCTGTCCAGCAAATTTTCTCTCAATATATATAAAGCCTCTTCGGCATCATACATCTAAACCAAGAATATAATACAGTCGTTTATGCACGGAGATGCAAGATGATACAATAAATCATAAACATCATATCATCTGGACATGATAATTTCTCTAGACATCCCTTTGTGAAAACCATCAGGTGCAAATTATGAGACTGATATCATCAGCCTCCGCGATTCCCGTCAGCCATTCTTCAAGCTTCCGCCTTAAACTTGGCTTCATATAGCTGGGGTGGCTGCAACACAGACCATTTTTTAAAGTATTCCGAATCACAAACCACGAGAAAAGTTAACTGACAAGACAAAATGAATTTTTTTTTTTTGGCCTGACAAAAAAATTAATATTCACTACAGCATATCAGCGTGGTCCATCTGCTAGTAACCTGTAATGTCAACATCAGAAGCAATGACCGATGAAATGGGCATCTCTAATTAAACATGATTTATTTCTACCGTCTAAGGTTTGCCCAATTGTTTTAACAATATTGGAAGTTGTTACTGGCTAGCTAGCTGCTATATAACAAAAAGAAACGGTAGAAGTACAGAAACTCTAGATAAATGTCCGCAGCGCGGAGGATGATATCTCGTTAATCAGCCTCTACAAAGGATTGAAAGACACCAAACAGATAAAAACAAAAATCCCAACATATTAAATCAGCAAACCAAGGATACTCGAGAGATGAAATGAATTACCATGAAAATAGCTGAAATCAACCTACGTGCAAACCATCTCATGTGCATAGATCGTTGAGCAGCACTTGCTGCTTCCACTGATTCAAACCGCAAATACACAAATCCTGCACTTCTTCTATATAGGAGACAAATAAATCAAGAAAAGCAACTCATCTGCGCAATGTGTAAAAGCCAATAAAACAGAAATACCCAGGATCGTTTATAGATGACTACCACACACACAAACTTACTTGTCTACATAAATATGCTTCACCCGGCCAAATCTAGAACATTCCTCTTCTACATCCTCCTTAATGTCAATATCAAAATCTGGTTCTGTCTGCACAGACATTTAATATCAATGCTTCAGAGAATGAAACATTAGTGGGAAAAATTTAATCAGTAAGTTACACACCTCAGTGGTAGGATCAAACATATTCTTCAACAGTAGACACTCGCTAGGGCTTCCTACAGGCTCTGCCACTGGGGAAGGCATAATTTGTGTTGGGAGAGCTGGTGCAGGCATTAAACCTGAAGCACTGGGCAAGCTAACAGGCTGTTGAGCAGAAACTGACCCATTCACAGCAGGCACACCAACGGACCCTGCAATGCTGAAATGCAGAATATTTGTCAGGCAAATTAAGAAGTTACACCTTTTTCCCTAAAAAAAAAGGGGGGAAGATTTTACAGTAAACCTTGTGGCAATGCCAGATCGATCCAGCTTCTGCATTAGCAATGCTCTAGATTGAGCATTTAAGGCCTGCATTAAAAAAAAACATAATTCATGAACAGGGATGTATAGCTGAGAAAAGGCTATAATATTGTTCAGGACAAAAAATTAGAACATGAATATACCAACAGAAGAGGAAAATGACAAAAGCAACACTTTGCCAACCCCAAATAGAACGAAAGTGAAGCTTCAGATAGAAGAGAAAGGCCAACAAGCGGACAAAAACAGAAGATGCATAAAAATGAAGTCTGATCTGAACCAGACCGATGAAGAAGAAAGGTTGGAATTATCCAATATCAAATTAATTATAGAATCTTGAGAAACATGTCCTTAATCAAGATTTCCAGTTCAGAATATTAGTTGAACATCTTTATTTGTGGTGTTACGCCAAAGAATTAATGTCGTCATCTGCATTTATTGACCCTAATTAAAAGAGAGCAAGAGTGCTCAAAAGCACAAATACATCAATGCACCTATCTACCACACAGTAATGATCCTGTCATCAGTCTGCAAATATTTATGGCTAGAATTGTAAAAAGTTTTTGATGAACTACGAAACAAATGAAACTTCCAGCCAATCATGCCTCTAACAACCTGAAAAAATAACCAATCAAGCTAAATTTTTAGTAACTTCATACTAAATATAATTGCTATATTATATTATGAGATGAAGAATTGGATAACTCGATCTTTGGGAAACAAACTTTTCCTTATCACAACTTACCAATCCACCTTCATCATCATCAAAGTCTGCAGATTTTGCACTTGTATCTTGGCTCCCGACATGATCTGTTACACATGAAACCTGTGCACAACAAAAAACATTAGTCACGAACAGCAGGAGTAGCGAAGTGATCACCAATAAAAGCAAACAAGCATAAGCCAGAAATATACATAACCATGGAATGAAACATGTGTCTACCTTGATAGTCCTACCAGCAATATCCAGTTTTCCATTTAAACTCTGAGCTGCTTTGGCATGTTCAAGATGGGCAAACTGTCCAAGAATCAATACAAACAAAATAAATAACAGTATTACTGAAAACCATTTTCAAGGCAACCAATGCAAGGTATCTAACTTGAATAAAGCCAAAACCCTTGCAATGTCCTGTCTCCAGGTCAGTAGGCAGTTGCACAAGCTCCACAGGACCAAACGGCTCAAAAATCTGAGCCAACAATTTAAAAAATCAAAATTTAATCAAGGTATCAAAAACAGGACCAGTAATTGAACATATCAAGGAATTCATTCACAATTCAATGATCAATCCAGTCATAATTAAAATAATATATTTTAACCATACACTTAACAATTTACAAAAATGACAATTAAAAAATAAAAAAATACAAATTGATCTGAAATAAAAATAAATTAAAAAATACAAAAATATAAAAAGTAAAATAATTTTAAAAAGTTAAAAATATTTTATAATCCAAAAAATTAAATATAATAATCATGAAATATTGGATATCTACCATGTATATATTTACTTTATAATTTTATAATTTACAAGTATTTGATATACATACATATATATATCTTTTGCCTATTTGCTCACTAATGCCCCTTTCCTAGTGCTTATAAGGTTAGGTATGCATAAAATATAGCTTGGAGATACAGTTTAATGTTTAATTTTGTTAAATCAAAACATGACTGGTTCAAAAACCAGTTCTTACTCTCGGTTCTTTACTCGTTCCAATCAGTTCAACCGTTTCTTTATTCCTCTGGTTCTCTCTTAATTCTAGATCAGATCAAGTACCAATTCATCAGTTTCCCGATTGAACTGGCTAGTCTGCTTTTCCATTCATTGACTTCAATAAAAAAGACAGACACCAATCCACAGTTACTACAGAACAGCAAAGTGTGAAACAGCAAGGATAAAAATAGAACCACATACTTCCCTCAGCTGGCTTTCTGTCATGTTGAAATGAAGGTTTCCCACATAAAGTTTCCTGTCTACAGCTCCATATGGTCCTGCTACACCTGCAGCTCCAGTGGAAGCATTAGACTGAACAAGGTTCTTTTCAGCTTCAGAAGGTTTGACCATTACGGGTTGTCCAAGGAGCAATTGACCAGAGAGAGCAATTGCCATTGGCACTGACATTGCATCATAAAATTCAATATACCTGCACCCTCGTCAAGAACTTGCATCAAGTTTTCAGAACTCCAAAGTACAATTGATTGCAATCAAAACTTACAATGCATACAGCAAAGAGATGTAGGGAAACAAAAACTCTAGTGCAGACAGCTCAAGCTGAGTTTCTTTTGATGTATCTGACTCATGTAAAGAAAAGGTTAGCATGTCATCATTAAAAAAATAAAACTAAATCATACACAATTAATCAAGACAATAAATGAAGGTCATAAAAGAATAATGTGTCAGTAACCAGATACTCATCTACTTCTCACTTAAATATGCGCAAGAGTGAAAATTATCCCATGGAAAAGACCCAACTAAAAGCTGGCCTCGTATGGCAAATCACCCATAAACTAATAGCAAAAGTAGATGACACCGAATCCATAAGCATCTCTTCTAGAGGCTCACCATCCATCACCTTCCTCTAAAATAAAAAAGGAGATAGAAGACTTAAAAATCTCCTATACATATATGACCCCCAATCATTTTAAGGAATAACCCAACAGCTTGCATGAGAGACTTTTAATTCATAGAGGGAGGAAATACAATGGACAGTCTCATTAACATAAGAATGAAACCCTCACTGTAAGGCACATGTAGAGGAAGAAAGCTAGGAAAGGGGCCAAAAAGAAAACCAGGATTGTCATCTACCTTGAGTACGCAGCATGAATTGATTAAACATGAGTGCATGGTATTCCCATCATCCCTCATCATTATCGCAATGCTAGTCCATTTAAGAATACAGTTAAACATAATTCTTGGAATTTGATATCTTAATACCACTATAGCACATGCATATAAATAAGAGAGTATTTGGTAGTCAAGGACATACCCAACTCCTTTGGACCGTCTTGAATTCCTATCCATGATCAGACGGACATCCCTCACCTGAAAATAAGGAACATTAGAATTAGAACTATATACAAATGAGGAATTATCACATGATGATGGAAGATGTAAGAAATGCATCCTAAGAATGCAAACACCTTAATGTGTGCTCAAGGTAAAATTAGTTACTCGTATTCACTCACCACATGGGTACATAATGCTGAGACATAAGAAAGTAACTATGCTACTCAAAACAGAAGGCAGAGGAAGATTGGCTGCACCAACAACCAAAGGTCTCTTAAGAAGATGTATCTACCATGGTTACATTGACTCTTTAATCTGAGTCATAAATTGAATAGCATCAATCTAGTAAAATTAAGATATAAAATAATAAGTACAACAAAAGCATTGCTTGCTTTCAAAAAATCAATGCAAGATAGAAATCAACCTTAAACATTGCATGGAAAATTTAAAATCAACTGACCTTCCCAGCTTTTGAGAAAAAATCATAAACATCTCTCTCTGCGGCCTTTAAGGGCATCTGCAATTATCACATGGTAACATGGCAATAATCAGAAACAAGTTAATAAAAGGATCCAAAACAATCAGGCCTCAAATCAAAATTTCAAACGCAAACATTAAAAGGAAAATATCATCAACCTGGTACGCAAAAACAGTTCTCTGATCCCTTTCTGGATCTGCCTCAGGCTCCACGGCCTCTTTCTTATCTCTGAATCTCCTACAACCGATAAAAAACTCAGCTATAAGAAAAAAATATAGAGAAAAGGTCATTTCAGTTTAATTTGACATCCATATTGAATGTTATATAGCCATAATTTCCAAATTCACATTCCTAATATTCGAAGCCAAAAGGAGAGATAATCTTCCAAGGGATTTCAAATTACCACTGACGCAGCTATTCTAGATGCTCCCTGTTGATATTGGAATCCAAAACATTACTTAATCCCACGATACCTATACATCATATTTAGCTAGGAAAGTATCACTAACTCAATCACAATGGATTTTCACATCATATCACCACCATGAAAGCTGTGAAATCTGGAAATACTACACCTCAATTGTGAAAGAGCAACGCGACACTTTATACTAAAAATGCTATGCATGACATATACATCCAACTCAAATACCAGGGTGAAGGCTTCTATTTCAGATATGTAAACATCATGATTAGAATATTAATATAGCAAGATTAAATACGAAATTTGGTCATCAAAGCACCAGGGTCACAAAAAGTATAGGATTGTGTATTAAACAGGGAAGCTGAAAAGACACAAACTAGTCTCATAAAGGATATGCTTTAATTAGCAAGCCTTCACAGTTTAGCTTACGTGAAAAATAAATTTATGATTTTTCAAAACAACTTCAACACACGTTTACTTGGCACAACCACATATCATCAAACCGTAGGAAAATAAATTTCAGGAACCGCAACATATGGTTTAACCCAGGTCAAAAGCGAATAATGCTCACTATTCAACCAAGAATGAAGTGACGAGAACAAAATCAACACAAAAAACGCAGATATGTCAAGGAAGGCGAATGCAGTAAAGACCAATACCGGCTATCTCTAAATTCCAGTTCTCGTTCTCTCTCTCTATCTCTATCAGAACGACTTCTGCTTCTCCTGGACCTCTCCCTCTCCTCCCTCTCCCTTCTCTCCCGTTCTCTTTCCCTCTCTTTGTCCCTCTCTCTCTCTTTGTCTCTTCTTTCTCTATCCCTCTCCCTATCCTTGTCCCACTCTTTGTCTCTCCCCTTCTCTCTACTACTCCTCTCCCGCTCTCTCTCCCCTTCCCCTCCCTGCCGCTCCTGTGGCGCTCCTTTTCACGGCTGGAACGTCCTCTGTCGCGGTCATCACGATCCTTCTTTGACCCATTCTCCTCGTCACTTCTGTTCTTCTTGCTCTTCTTTTCCTCACCATCCAGGTTACCGTCTACCTCGCGCTTCCTGTAACTCCTTTCACCCTTTTCGCTGCTCTCCTTCTTCTTCTTCGTCGAATCTCGATCTTCCTGCTCCTCAACTGTCTTCTCCAAGTAATCGTATTCGTCAAAGTCCATCAGTTCTTGCAGATTCTCTCCCTGCGAGGCAAATTTAGCTTGAGGAATATACCGTTTAAATGATACAAAAGCACTGAGTGGTGAGAACTGTGAATGCTTCAAGGTTCTTGACTTCTAGGGTTTTGGGGCTTTCTCTTGGATAGGAAGAAGGAGAGGCTTGGCTTGGTTGGCCGCTCCGCGCTCTGTTAGTTGCGATCTGTCTGTTTCAATTCAGCTTCATATATGTGTACAATTTACTGTGATGTAAAACGAGCTTTAACATAATTAACAGCATATTAAATTATCAAAAATTTTAGTTTCTTAAGTTATATAAAATAAAAACTTAAAAGGTAATGAAATCAAAATAATCTATATAAAACAATAAAAAACTTGTAGGAGGTAGGGGTGTTCAGTCTAGACCCGTTCCGATTGGCTCGGTATCGTCCCGATCATATCGGGACGGGTCTTGTCCCAGCCCGAAAATAATCGGGACGGGACAGGAAAAGAGGTTCGGGACGGGACGGGACACGGGATTACCATCGGGATGTCCCGTCCTGTCCCGAATATTATATATATTATTTTTATTTTAAATATATTAATTATATTAATATAATTTATACTTATATTAAGTATATCAATTATATTTTTAATACTTGCAATTCTTATTTAAAACTAAATTTTTTTATATTGATAATTTTAATGGCATGGAGTAAATATGGTGATATCTTTTTTATAATATATTAATTATATTAATATAATTTATTCTTATTTCTATCTATTTAATAACTTTTATTTATAACATATTTCTTACTTATTTTTAGAAGAATAATTAGCGTAGTACATCTTCACTAAAGTAAAAGAATAATGATTTGATGTTGTGTTTGACTTGCCTGTTGTTGCTAATCTTATAGCATAAAGATAACTTGTATTTGTTATTATAATATGTAGTTGTGATTAATATAATTCAATAATTGATTTTAAATTATTATTATTTATTTGCTTGTGTTGTTTTAATTTTAAACTTAATAAATTATATGATTTAAAATTTTAATGAACGTTATTATCCAGATTTTTTTTCGACATTATTTCATTTATCGATACGACAGGACGTCCCGACCTTATCCCGGTCCCGTCCCGACTCTTAATGGAACGGGACGACTTTGGGGACGAGACGGGACGAGACACGGGATTAAAATTCAGTCCCGATTTTTTTTCGGGACGGAACACGAGACAGGGGTGTCCCGATCCCGTCCCGTCCCGTGAACACTCCTAATAGGAGGCGTGGTTATAACAATGGCCTTCTACGCATTAATTCGTAATATTATTTGTGGATGCTGTTAAGACTTGTGAAGTATATGTGTGCGTGGGTGCGCTTAGGCTACTCCCCCTAAAAAAAAAAAAAAACCATGTTTGATTAGAGCTGTAGTTTGTTTTGGCCATTGAGTTAGAATATACTTAATTAATACTTGAGACTAATATTATTTAATGTTACTAAAAAAAATTAAAACTCTTTATATTCGGAAAGTCCTTTGGGATATTGGAAGTAGAATCACATACTTATTTTCTTCTTCCTAACAAGATAATTTAGATTTTGTAATGCTAGAGTTGTTTTTCACAGTGAATATTAAATTGAATTCAATATTAAAATTAGGCCAAATTTTGTAATACTATAAGTGTTCCCAACAAAATCACGTATTCAAAGACGTAAAAAGAAAAGCAAGTTTATATTTTTTTTCAAAAAAGATCAATTCTTGGCATGATACTGTAAACTAATTATAGTATTTTTTAATATGTATACACCAAACAAAATTTACCATCAAGGAAGCCTAGCATTACAATCCACAAAACCAAAAAAATATGAAAAAGCCATTGGTATATGCATGATTTAACCATCCAAACCCTCATATAAACATCAAAAACTTGTTAATGGCTTCAGAGGAGGTTAGTGCTTCATTACAAGTCCAAGCATAACCCTCATAAATAGTTAAACCTCCATATAAATTAAAACAAATCCCCAAGTCCTGTATATAAGAAGTAGAAATAATTAGTGTTGTGCCAAAAGAAAATGGTAATGTTATTATATGAAAAAGTAATTGATAATTTTGCACCTTGAGCAAGACCTTTAATACATGTAAATCATAAATAAACTAAAAAACAAATTAGACAACTTTATTAGCGTTAAAGAAAAATTTCATACAAAAGCTTATTGCTATCTTTACTGCTTAATTGTGTTTCTACATAATGCCAATCTTTTTATTAGTAGAGGTTACTTTTGACATTACTAAATTCATGAAATCTTGATCTTCAATAGTGCCAATCCACAACTGAGTATCTGGCCCGCTAAACTCAAGGCAATGATAGTAATTTCAAATGATTCTATACCAATTACAAAAAAATAATAATAATAAAGAAAAGAAAACGAGGATATGTTCAGAGCAACCAAATGACTCAGCATGGGCTTTTTCCTTGCCTAATCAAAACAATGTGGATAAGAAAGCCCATGCTAAGCCACAATCTAAGATCTCTTCCTGCCACTGCCACCACCCATCCTTTTCTTCTTCCAACTTTTTCTCCTCCTCTCACCCCTTTTTACTCTCCTGCAACACCTCAAGTCTAAGTCAAGAGATTGACAACATTAAGGGAAAGAAGTTAAGTGCGCATTTACATGCTAGATCGAAAAATATCTTTTTCAAAGGAAAGAAGACACATAGGATTTTAACATTTACAATGATAAGACATCTATTAATACATCCCATTCTTCTCAAATGGTGTCCCTAAGAAATGAAAAATTAGATATAAGAATCATAAAGATATTAAGATGAGAAAGGGCAAATCAAGTCATGCCTTTCTACTATATGAATATGCATAACAAATAACTTTATTTTCTAGTCAAAAAGGCAGATGAAACAACCAAGCAAAGATAAAATAAAATGTTTATCATGTTTTTTCATTCTTAGATTACAAATTTATCCTAGCTTCACTTCATTCTTACGTTTCAATATTTTATTGATTTATCTCCTATGAATTTGATATTAAAAAAATCAATATGACATATCTTCCTAATCACGAAGCTAGAATCAAAAAGGCGGGGCAAAATTTGTGAAGCCTAAAGCCATGAAACATACAATGGAAATAGAACTAAGAAGAAGCAACCGATTTATGTCTATTCATTGAACATACAAAAAATCCACATTATAGGAATGAAGTATTTTTGTTAGTCATGAAGCTAGAAATAAAAAAAGACAATTTTATCTTTAAATTAAAAACACTTTGCAAAATTTTTTAAGCTACAGAACACAAAACATACGTAAGAAGAAGAAGAAAATGAAGAAAGGGTACCTCGAATGGCGCCACAACTATCACATTGGTAAACCGAGTAATCAGTGTGTTAAAGAAGGAGATTATCACACTTGGGACAACAAACCAATTGAACCTTTGCTGATGCCGACATTGTATAGAAGCAACGGGAACAAAGGACTATTTAAACACCTTGACCATCAAATATTAAAAAAAATATTCACCTACACGCTACAATTTGTATTTCTATTTTTATGTTACATCAACCAATGCTTATTCACCTACACACTACAAATTGGTGTTATCACATAAACCAATAAAATAAACATGAAGTGATCTTTCTTATATGAAGCAAAAGATGGCAAGCAAATTAAGATAATGGTAGTAATACTTTACAGAAGATGAAAAAAGTCATTGTCAAAAAAGCTGAAATGATATATCACCAAAATGGAATTGGGGTTGATGGAAGGAAAGCCAGCTGCATTAATACTTTAAGTAAAAGTTGGCACTCTAACCAAGTCTCATGCTAATACAAAGGGAAAATAAATTATAGTGTACGAAAGCTTATGGTAATTTTGAATAAAACATTTATTTTTGATTGGGGAGATATTAAGGTGCAAGCTTGCCTTTTCTAGCTGAATATACAAAGATTAAGGCAACTTTATCCAAGTGTGTTTTATATCTCTGAACAAAATTGAGAAGATTGAGTATAAGGGCTTGGTTTAGGAAATGTCACGTGACTATAAACATTCATCAAGGCTAGAATCATCGCAAAGCTGCTCCCTATAAAAACTGAAGTTCAAGTTATACTCATAACTCATTAGGGACACTAACAGAGCACATAAAAGGGTAACAGGGTAAACTTAATGGTAAAATTTATGCAAGAAGTTGATCTATAAGGTTTTTTCACTAATCAAGGCTTTCATGCTTAAAATACTGCATTTAACATGACTAAATTAGCAAAATCATGTACAAAATGTACATAAAGTGCATAAACAAATGTAAGACCAAAAAGATGCAATAATTTAGGGGACACAATTGTGACAATATACTTCTAAATTATATAATTGCCAAACACACCCGTCATTAATTTTGATGAATATGAAAGGATTTCTTTAAAAACAGATGCCTTTTCTTTAGCGCTGCAGTTTTCGAGTACTATTAAAATGAATCCTATCTTACTTTACTCTATGTTAAGAAAAAAGAAGGAGCATATGAGAGCAGATGGATAATAACTAAATAAAAAAAAATAAGCCACAGTTGTGAACATACATAAATCAAGGACACTTTTATATAAGACTTCACAAATAAGAAGCAATACTTTCATATATCAAATGAGAAACAACACTTTCATATATTTAAAGGTGAGGGAACAAAAGCAAGTAAATGTCACTGAATATTACTGTTCCTCACAAGGAAATCACACACACATGCACCCACGCTAACTGTGCAATGATGGTTTATAATAGCATCAGCTTGTCCTAGCATGAGAAAGATATATTAACAGATTAACCAACCAAGGAAGATAAATTCCGAACAAGTAAGATTCGTTCACAGATACTCCCAGATCATGTTCCTCTTCTTCAACCTTCTTTTAATCTTTCTTAACCTTAACTGCAGGAGCAGCATCAACTATTGCTTTACACTAACAATCAACTAAGAAAATAGACTGAGGTAAGGTCCAAAACGTGTCTAACTGAACAAAAATCATTGAAATAAAATTGAAAAGAGCAAGAGTACAGTTGTACACAAAAAGATTAGCGTAAATTTTGGGCTACACAAGTAAGGTTACCCTTACTAATTCTCCCCAATTTCCAGATATCAATGAAACTATCAAATTGTCAAATTATATAAATAGGATCCTAAGTTTTTATTATGTAAAATACTTCCATAAACCATCAAACATTCACAAATCAAAGGTTAAAATGTGTGCGGAAGGATGAGATTCCAAAAACAAATAAAAACATTTGCAAATGAAACAAGAACTCATTTGCTGCCAAAATGGCACCTGCGTTGCGACTTATCACTCTCATGCTGCAGTGTGTTGCCTCTATGCCATGCGCTGTGGCTCATTTGTACAAGTTTGATAGCAAATTTTGCTATCAAATGACAGCACCTGAAATGAACTTTCAACGCGTCTCATTTTTTCATTTGACGTCCGATTGAGGTGATCTAGGTGTTTATAGAGAGCTTTCTCATAACTCTAACTAATAGCACAATTTTTATAATCAACTCATTTTTCTATCAAAAGTTATACACCATTTTCAAAACTTACTCTTTTTTCACATTAACTCACAACTAAGATGTCCAAATACCAAAATATATACTAAAAGCCTCTTAGCACACTCAATAGACCATTTCAGCCTCATGCAATACACCAGTTTCAATCAAATACATATATTATACAAATTCACCACTCAATTCCTTGATCTATAAAAACAAGAAGGGGGAGATAATTTGCATAAAATCATTAATATTCATCCAAAATAACCTAAATGCACTTTACCATACTTGCATTAGTATTTCGACACTATATAAGTTTTACAATCACATATCACTAGCTTAGGGCATGAAATGCATAAACACTTTCAATTTTAATGTAACTAAAAATAATTGAATGAAATCCTAGTTGATAAATTAATAATATTTAATACACATAATTTAAAAATAAGAGGCCTATAAGTAGGATTTACTTAAAATTATATGCCTCCAATCATTTTTCCTGATCCTGATTCGATGAGCTAAGCCCTAAAATATTTAATAATGAGGGGTGAGTACAATCACTCAATAACCAAAATCAACATAGCCTATATAATTGCATATCAATTAATTAATGCAAATGACAGTAAACTCAATTTCATTTTACATAAAATCATATATAGCCTCAGCCACAAAAATAACAACCATGTGACTGGGCATGTAGCTTATATCAGTAGATATTACAATTATGTATATCTTGGGGTAGCAAAAATAACAATCATGTACCCCTAAAACACGTCAGGCTACAACAATAACAATTATGTGGTTATAACTAAATGCAAAATCACCAATCTTATACCTTCCTGATACTTTTGACTTAAAACCTGTGGTTATTAAATGGCTACATCTGCAACTCAGACTAACTAAGTCTTTCACTTGTGAAGAACTATTAGGTTAGGGTTAATGCACTCACTTGTGTACCACAATTTTTTCTAATACTAACAACTATGAAATGTCATACCCCTAATCTAACTTTCTCATAAACTAGTGGGGACTAGTTAAGTTCGAGTCCTTCGAAGAACAAGTAGGACAATCCTGAGTCAACCATGAGACAAAGGCTACTTCCCGATTCCAACGGTTGATGCCAAGGCAAGCTTTCAATTTTAACGATAAGCCATTAGTATCATGTGGATTTACCATTCTACTCCTCTCCCTAGATGAAACTCCTGTCAATGATCATGCTATGCACATATTGACACTCAATATGTCAATTTAACACAATCTATAACCTTATATCATATTCACATAACTTTTTTACTCCAACATACGTCACATGTTAAATATTACATATTCCTCATTTTCTAAATATCATGTTTTCAAAATCATCATCATTGGTCACATAAATAAACATGCATATCATTATTCTAACAACTTAACAAAATTTCACACATAATCATCACATTGCCAAAATCTGCATCAAAGAGTTTTCAAACACTAACAAGTTCTAAACTATTTGATTTAACAAATCATTATACAAACTAGATTTTTCACCGATTATCTCAAATGTTTAAAAGGTCAAAGGTTTACCCCTTAAGATACAACTTATAAAGCTTGTCCTGCAACCAAACACAAGGACATTTATCAATATCCCCTTTTTGGAGTAATTTTTAATATTATAATTCCACGTTCTCCCTTTTTCCAAAATCATAAACCCACTCTCATTCATACTCTTAATAAATTTCAATAACCCACATTGACATAAATTAGCCATTAAATCACTATTAATGGCTTCAACACATCCCAACAACCATATTTATTGTTATTATTGGATATTAATGGCTCTCAACAACCAACAACTCATAAAACCATAAATGTAGGGTTTAAGTATTATAAACAACCGTCATCATATTTATTTTAGCCAATGAGTTCAGACCCATAGCTCATAAAAACTAAAAATCATTATCTCAACTCAAACCGTAATTTCCAAACTAGAGAAAATGGAAGAGAAAGAGAAGAGAGAAGCATAATGAACTTATTGGGGGTTAGGAAGCTTCAAAATATCTTGAATGATCCCTAAATTCTTGCCCTACTAGAGCAAGTTTTATGTCTTTCATTTCCTCCTTTTCTCTCCTCTGATTTCAATTTGTTATGTGACTAGTATATCAACAAATTTGGTCATGTGCCATGGTGTATGCAACTCACGTCACAGTACATGACACAAGAGGCCCATTCTTTGTTGGTTGTCCCTCTATACTACGACGGATATTCCTCACATATTGGCATGTGACATGGAGGGCCTTTTTTTAATTCTTTCTCCCTTTTTGATGCTCAAATGATCTGTCTTCATTTAAGGTTAAAATCACAATTAAACACACTTTTTTTTACTTCCCTCGTCACACACCACATTAATAAACTACTTACCATTAAGCTTAAAAAGAGTACACAGCTGAAACTACAATAAAATGACATATATTAAATTATTGATTTTTTGACTAAAAATTAAATTATGAATGATATGAGAAGAAAAATAATGAAAAATCAACAAGGTATAGCGCTGATGGTCGATAATAGAAAATCAGGACGGTCTCGCATTTGAGTCCACGTCTAAATTAAAAAGAAAAAAGAAAAGAAAAGAAAAGAAAAATGCAAGACGCATGTTATAAATCAACCCATGCATGTTTAAACATTTTATAGGGCGTATCACTCGTCATAAACCAAAACTCGAGTAATAAATAATCTTATTTTTATTTCACTTCCATGGAGTTCCAAGAATATATTATCACTTTATAATATTATCACTTAAGAAAACTGTGGGATAAACGTGCTTATCATATGAGGGCAGCCTTTTTTCCCCGGAATTAGAAAACTAAAAAAGATTACAGTAGAAATTTTCTAACACTAAATCAGATAGAAGAACCCAAAATACTGGAGGACAAGTCTATTCTTGACAGGATTGAATCACACATTGACAGTCGGGAGATGAGCATAACTTCATGTTAATTAAAGGGAGCCTTTAATTAACATAGTCTGTTCATATGTCCAATGTCGAGAAGAGTAAAGAAAAAATGAGTCAATAGTATTACACCACAAAGATTCAAGGTCTTTCTCTCTCCCATTTGAACATAAACTGTAACATCGGACAAAACTCTGCTCATTTACAGCAACTATATGTCCTATAAGGACTTTATCCTAGTCTGTTCATGGGGATTCTGTCATTCACTCGACCAACCCTTTGCACTGGAGAGATCGTTTGTGGCATAGTCATTCCCCCCGAAACAATTATTTCTGCGTCAGCATCATCACAATTGTTAATGCACACGATTAAGATAGGGGGTAAGTGATGAATGTGCCGAGTAATGTGTTTGATTAAGAACTTCAGAAACATTATTTTCAAAGTGTGACTTTATAACATCACTTGAAAATACAATCATCCAAGATTTGTTTCCTTGGTAAGAAAATGACAATTTAAGATGATGTTCAAAAAATTAAAAAGGATCCCAAAATTTGCATTTGTAATTACCAACGATTCTTCGTTCAAGAATTAAGATCAAATGGGGTGGGAGGTCTTGCATATATCACGCCATATAAAACATACCTATGCCTTCTCGAATGGAAAGATTTGGTCTTATTATATCTTCGGAGTTAACCAGAAATATGTCGCCAATATACAGATGGTTTGTAGGGACAAAAACACTACATAGCTCTTCATCTTCATTATCTTTCTGAAAAGGAAGGAAAAAAAGATAAATCCGAGGAGTAAATATACAAAACAAAGCAGGTCAAATCACAACGGTTTCCAAGCAATTTCATCAACCTGTTCAAAACGATGACGGACTAGATGGACGCCAAAAACAAAGTGCAAAGAAATCCGTTTAGGCTATAAAGATCTAAAAGGGAACCCCATGTTTTGCTTTTTGAACAACAAAACAGCAATAGCAGCTAAAATGGGGTATTACTAACCCGAGAAAGAAAGCAAGCACAAGATATAACCAAATGTGTTTATATAATGTACTTGTATGTCTGTCTGTGATGGAAGACTGCACCCCCACAACCGCAAGCATGTTTTCCTTTTTCAGATGACAACCCTATATTACATAACTAGGTTCCCCTCTCTTCAAATGCCATCTTATTCAAAGATCATTCAACCACATGATCTAATGGTGAGGTGACCGCTCATTATACAAGGCGGATGTGCACGTGTGGACAACAAAAATCACACCCATGCTAAATATATGGCCGAAACAAAGCAATAAAACCAAAAGCTATGCAGGTTCGCTATTTTATGACCAAAGAGCAGGAACTCAAAATGTTCAATGTAAATGTGATGGGGCCTGGCATATAGTTTTAGAGAGTAAGAGAATTAGGAGTACCTGTAGGGTGACAGTTGATGTAATAAAGCCAAAAGCATACTCACCAACGCGTGGATGACGAATAATTGCTACCTCTTTAAATGCTGTCGTGTTTTGATCTGTAAAGAAGATAAAATATCATAACAAATGGTTGCAGGTTAGTCACCAATATTCAGTAATGGTCACTCTATCAACAATATAGACTAGTAGTAACTAGTAACAACTCAAAGGTGAGAGATACGGGTGTGAATTCCAACTGCGCTGGGCATGATTGAGCATACCTGGAGATATGGCAGCACTAATCTGCTTGGATGCTGAGTATATATGTCTGACAAAAGGCATTCGCTTAATGACCCATTCTCCAACCCAGATGACAGTTGCACCCATCCACGATGAAACAAAAACGCCAACAAGAAATACAAAAACTAAAGACGTAACAAAACCAAGTCCTGCACCACAATTTGAAAACCTTTGAATTATAACACAACATTCAGGAGTAAGGTCGAATAGCAATTCCTAGATCACCATTCGAACAGAAAAAAGAAGAGTATGAAAGAATGACAAGTTATTGCACAATACACAACAAGGTTTTTAACCAATCTCAAGTGTGAATAACAATATATTTTTTAATAGATGCATCCGTTGGTACGCTTCCTTGGAACCCAGCCACACCAATGACCAAAATCAATTTAGTAATAAACAACAAACAAAGAAATAGAACAGACCACGCCCAGAAGTAATTAATGATTAGTCAGTAAACTTAACCCTTCCCTTGACTCCATTACACAGCAAAAGTAACCTGCAAATAATTACATTGACCATTTCTTCTCAGTATAGTAACAAGGAACAGTCATCATTAAATCCAATTTTACAATTCAACCGTCATTACACATAGAAAGACAGGAACAAGAATTTACATTCATCAGCTTCTCATTCTGTCATTCAGAGAGAGTTTGATAATGTGTCTCAGATTTGAACTCAGCTCTAAGAATAAACAATAATGCCTTCCTGTCATGGTATGGATTCACAAGTTCGTGCATCATTCTAAATTGACTTGCTATGTTTTAAAAATATAGAACAAAAAAATTCCTCTCAATCATGCCAAAAAAAAAAAAATTCCAAAATGAGAATCACATTAATTAGAGCCATCGTTGATCAAAGGAAAAATAAATAACTCACCAAATATGTCAAGGCCAAGCCTGGAGTATAATGGGCTGAAGAAACCGTCAACAAACTGAATAAACCACCATGTTATGAAAAAGGTAACCGCAACAGGAAAAAGGACTACACTGCAAATTCAAAATTCAGAAGGATTATCAGGCCTATGAAGCTGATAGCATGAGTCATCCCAGTAAATTTACTCCGTTACCATCCAGTCATAAATTTCTTCGAGACCCAACTTTGGAGAACAAAGCAGCAGGCCTAAAGCAATAACATAGAAAGAGTTAGAGGTCAATAGCAAGACAACAATGATCAACAATTCATCTGCTTCTAGACACCGCGAATCCCACTCTAGCAGAAAAAGGGACAGGCTCTCAGAAGCTATTTTTTGACACTAAGAAAGACTTCATTTTCTCACCCCCTCAAACACGTTACAGAAACTTTGTCTTGCAAGTTTCCAACCAACAACGTCGGCCTACAGAATGCAAAGAGCATCTGATATATTTGCTTCTTATGAAATGCTTATCCACTCAGTCTACCAGAGTTACACTGACTAAAATGGGAATGCTGTTGGAGTAATAAAAAAAGGAAGAAGCAAAAAACATACAACTCAAGCTGTCAGTGTTCAATCATATAAAGCGTTAACCTTTGGACAGAAAATCACAACGTAATAATAACATGAGTTTTCATTAGACTGCCCTCGATGCTGCGGGTGGTTTGGACATTCTAGAAGAAGGCACCAGTACGCGTTTGAAGTTCAATGGGAACCCCCAATTTTCGTTATTACAATCTGCTGCTTATTGAAATAAAGAAAATGCGTATCCATGTTCGATTTTCGGTGCTACTGGTATGAACTCATCGAAGCCGCAACAAAATTATGGATTTGTATAATCTAGGCTGTGACCGCCGTGGTGTATTCCCGGAACTGTTATTCCGAAAAAAAACCACACCATTGGCTACTCGGATTTTCGACGCTCGAAGATACAGGCATGAACAAGTCTATAGGGAAATAAGGTGGGGCAAACAGAGAAAATTTGAAGAGGGCAGAGTGAGGAATTAAACAGACCTTGCGAGTAGATGAGTTGGGAGATGACGGGGGAGACTTGGCTGGATCTTCGGGATCCTCAATAGCCGCATTATCAGCTTGACTGAGAGGTACTGAAGTTGGATCTTTTTCTTCGGCCATCTCCGATTCTGCTCCACCTCCTCTTCAGTCGCGGACTACAATTTCCAGGAGAAGCGAGGCGACTTGATAGAATGATCAAACTTGTTAGGTTTATGATAGTGACACAACTGATTAGACTCTGAGCTTATTGGATTGGATTGCAAGCAAGACTCCCGTTCGCATCGCTAAGCAATATCGAAACTCACGTGGCAGGCCAAGGAATGAGATGATGAGATTCGCCCCCTCCAAAACGGTTCCTAAATTCCTTCAACCACACTGTAATCTTCGATAAAAGTTAACGAAGATAATTATTATTTATGCTGCCGCCTTGAGTTGCAGATCTGAGATGGTTGAAGGAGTCATGGAATAATACGATGCAGGTGATTTAGATTTTTTTTTTTTTTTTTGGTAAAAGGTGATTTCGATTATTTACTTGCCAGGATAGGAGATGCTCCCTTCTGCAAATAATTTTTTATTCAAAATGCAGATAGCTTTTGATAATTAAATTATTTTTTAATTTTATTTTTGAGGTAGTATCAAAATATTTATTGTATTTATAATATAATTTTAAATTAAAATTAAGGATAAAAATAAAAATATATCTATTTTTTATAATATTAATAAAAAAATTAAAAAAATAACAAAGTACTTTTTTGGCTATCTCTGGCATAGTTTTTTATTTAAAAAAAATGAGAGGGCAAGCCTTAAAATGTACTTTGATACACCTGTGTAATATGGGTTAAGGAGCAAAAATATTTTAAAATTTTTTTTAAAGGAACAATTAATATCCTTATCTTTTAGAAGGAGTAATGTTCTCTCGAAAGTTTAAAAAATGAAGTAATTTTACCTTATTTCAACATTTGACTAACATTTGATTGACGAAATGTTGAAAGCCAATCCCTACAAACCACGTGGCAATAACTATAACACAAACCCATCCTCCTTCTATCATACTCCGACAATCACCTAATATGCCAATCACAGGAGAAATCAAGTAAGACTTTGGTGGGGGTTAAAGAACCGATAATACTAATCAAAGCCTTGAGGATAGTCGATAAGTGGATGTTGGGGTTGAAGAAGAGGTTTTGGTAAGGTTGAAGGTGTTAAAGAACTAGAATACGTTCTTTCTCCAGCGTGTTCTTCAAACTCCGTGGCCAAGAAGAAGGTGAAAAAAATGGACATGTTCTTATTAAGATGGGCACCTATATGTGTTCAAGTCACAAAAAAAGCAATATTTTGAGCCCTTTGTTTAGACTTTGTGGCCAATAAGAAGGAAAAAATAAACATGGCGTGTACGCAGAATGAATCTACTCCCCTCACTTAATTGTTCCTGCCAAATAAAAAAATTTCTCATAGTCAATGAATTTATCTACCGTTCTAAAACCCCATTTAAAAATTATTGTTTATTGGAATTTGGTTTTTAGAATCCACCGCTCAAAAACCCCAGCTAATTTTCATTATGTGTCACACTCTCAATCTCACCCACAAAGCCTTCTCTCTTATTTATTTGTCTTCCTTGTGCTCCTTGTGGCCATGCTGATTGGCAAAATCATTTCCATGGAGCTAGCAAAACCCCTTACTAACATATACCATTACTATAGCAGGGGGAGGTTAAGAGAGTGTGGCAAGTGGGATAAACAAAATCAGCACTCAAAATGGTAAGCTTCATTGTGTTGGTGCGCTCTCCCTTTGACAAACCCGATGATGTTAGTAGTGGCAAGTTGCATTGGTGCTTGAGGTGGAATCAGATGGCTTTGATGGTCTAGTCATGGGAAACTTTAGATGCTTCAACAAATTAGGGAAAGTTCCAAACTTATTTGTCACGTGGTTTGTAAGGATTGGTTCTAGCACTTTGTCAGTCAAATATTGAAATACGGTAAAATTGTTGTACTTTTTAAACTTTCAAGAGCACATTGCTCTTTTTAAAAGATAAGGGTACTGGTAAAAACTTTTAAACTAATTTTGCCTTTTAACTTGTGTAATATACTAATAGACACATATATTTATAAATCAGGGAAAATCATTCTTGATGACCAAATTTGAAAATTAATTATTGTTATTATAAAGGACCTCAAATATGAGAAATTATTACGAAGGCCCAAGATTCTTCCTTGTAAAAAGAAGAATCATTATACTCTTTTACGTCGTTCTACTCTGCATATTGCTCTATCTACTTCTTACACGAGTCTCTTTGCCCTTTCTAAGTTTTTCGACATCCGTCCACACCTTGCTCTCTCCATTTACGATTTTGGCGACGTCCTCCTTCAGCCTTCCTCGCCTTCAGCCTTTAAGTGTGCCTCATTATCCTTATTGCTTTGTTTTTTTAATACGCATTTTAGACTTTTGTTGTGAATAATGGGTATACTGAGGCGGCTTGGGCTTTTAGATTATATTTTTTATATTGATGTTATTGCATGACATAGAATAATTAGAATCAAATTATTTAATTGCTCTGTTTTCTAATTGCATGCCTTTTGAAGTATGACTTATTTGTCTTTTAAAGTGCAGGAGCTTGCAGGTTGCATTTCCTTCATATATTTTTCTTTTTTGTGTTAGTTCCTTGCATCTTGGTTCGGTTATGTAAATTTGAAATCTGATGCGTATTGAGTGTTAAATAGCTGAAGTGTTGATTGCAAATATAGAGAGTTCAATTGTAAATAGTGCGCGCTTCTGTTGCTGTTTTTTTCAGTTGTAACCTGAGTTGATTATTGGACATGCTAGTGTTAAACAGTGGAAGTGTTGGTTGTAAATGTGACTGTTTCAGTAACAAATAATATATATAATTCTTTTTACTTTGTTCTGTAACATGAGTTGATTGTTATGCATGGAGTGTTAAGTGGATGGATATATTAGTTCATAATAATGCGAGCTACAATTGCTTTACGTAGTTTCAAATAAACAATGGCAAGTTTGATCACAGAATCATGACATTGGTTTTTGGGAGTGGGTTAGCTAATATTCAAGGCTATTCACGGGCAAGGTCAGATTAGGCTGACAATAAACTTGAAGCTTGACCCTAAAAATGGACAGGCTATGTTTGTTAGCTCAATGCTCAACTATGCTGGATTTTTAAGGCCAGGTGAGCAGGGTCAAGCTAATGAGCATGTTTAGGTTCAATCTCAATTTTTTTTTAAAGTTTGGTGTGTTAGGCCTTAAACCATTAGACTAAAATTATAAAAATGGATGGGAAATGGACCAAAACCTGTGATTGAAATGGACCAGATCTCCTGACCTTGAAAAAAATTAGGGAATTTAAATAAAAAAAGCAAAGAATAATCTTAAAAACATAACCAAAATCTAAACTTAGAAATACACAAAATTATAAATGTAATTTTTTACAAAGAAGAAGTTACATTAAATGAAATGGCATTCAAATTTAGATATCTAAAATACACATTTAATGCTGTTCCAAAAAAAAAAGTGCATCTAAGCCTAAAGAAGATTTAGTGTAGAATAATGCACGAGCATCCCAAAAAATTTCTTGATTCCAGTAATATTGTGACTATTAAAATAAACAATTTAAAAAGATCATCATACCCATCTGAAGCCGTGGGATCAAAAATCAAAAAGTTGAAGAAAAAATAGAATTCTCAGTAAATAAAGTATAAACCTCTGCCATTTCCTTTAACTACAAATTTTCCCACCCGTTTTTGTTTAATCCAAGCAAAGATTTAGTCACCCGTAATGATAATTTCCATTGCCTCTAAATTATTCAGGAGAAGTGGATTAAAAAAAATAAAAGAACATCTCTAATCTCTATTGACTAAAAAGGCAACTTCAAAGAAACGTAGCATTTAAGGAGACTATCAGATCTCGTAAGCACCTCGGCCATCATTACCTGGTCTTAAGTCTCAAATCTTTAAATCATTAAATATTTCTACCGACAAAGAAGCAGAACAGCACATTACACATACTTCTCTTCTCTCAATCAGGACGCACAGCACAAGCAAAAGAACAGTTAAGGGAAGAAGAATATAAGTATAAGGGAGAAGCCAAGAAACATGAGCGAGCAAGGCAAGGTGACACTGCAATTTGCAATACCTAGGAACTGATGAAGAAACAAAGATGGTGACACCCATAAACCAAAGATAGTGATGAATTGGAGTGGAGATGAAGACAAAAACGTTGACTAGCCGATGACGTCATTGAGCCCTTGTCATCTAAGATTTGGTGAAGGCAGACGACGTTTAGTGAGAAGATTATTAAAGCATTTCGATTGAGGTGGAGAGAAATTAGGGCACCGAATGAGGAGAGGGGTGAACAAATGGGTAAGGCAAAATGATAAATGAGTAAAAAAAATTAAGCTACGCAACCCCTAAAATGATAGCTCATATTTTATCTTCTATATTTTTATTGGTAAAATAGCAAATTTGGCCACAAACTTTTTTTCGAGGAGCATCTGATAGCCTAAATTATCTGATAGTATAAAATAAATTATGAACTTTTAAAAATGGAACATCCAGTAGCCCGTCGTTAATTTAAGCTAACGAATGTTATGTAGGGCCTACAATGACACATGGCACGACACGGGTGCGACACGTCAGCATGATAAAGGTGTAAATTTACCCACAAATTATTTTCTTAAGAGCGTTGGGTAGCCTTTACTAAAAAAAAATAGAGCATCCAATGCCTTCTCCTCAATTTTGACCAAACACCATTTATTTTCATACTTATGAGACCCATAAAGCATTAATCTCTCCAATCTTCTTGCCTTCGTTCTCAATATAAGCTTTAAAAGAAGAGGTTCAATGAATTTTTATTTGAAGACATTCATAAGGACGATGCCAATGAAGTAGAAGCTTGATTTTACTATGCATGAGAAAAGCTTGATTCTAGTTTAATTTAGTCATGAATTATTTCTTCTACTTTGTTAGCATCGTCTTCGTGAATATCTTCAAATAAAAACTCTTTGAACCTCTTCTTTTCAAGTTGAGATTGAGAATGAAGGTAAGAAGATAAAGAGATTAATGCTTTGTGGGCCTTATAAGTATGAAAATAAACGGTGTTTGGTCAAAATTGAGGGGAAGGTGTTGGGTGATTTATTTTTTTTATAGTAGAGGCTACTCAGCACTTCTCAAAAAATAATTCATGACTTAATTTGTACCTTTACCATGCTGACATGTCGCGCCCATGTCATGCCACATGTCATTGTGGATCCTACATAATGTCCATTAGCTAAAGTTAACAGCAGGCTACTAGATGCTCCTTTTTTAAAAGTTCGTAATTTATTTTGCATCATCTGATAGTTTAAGTTACCAGATACTCCTCGAAAAATGATTTGTGACCAAATTTATACCTTCACCTTTTTTTATTTTATTTACCTCAAGTGAGGCCAAGCACAATTGTCTAACAAGGTTCAACCTAGCCCCACCATGCCTAAATAATCTTCGAGCATGTTTTTCTTCAATCAGGCTGGATATTTTATGGTCGGCTAGGCCGGGCGTATCGAATTTTTGGGCACCCTGAATGTTAGCCATACTAATATTGAGAGCATTTTCATGTTGTTAGATGTGGGCATTTGACTATCCAGTGTTTAGGTATTGATATTTAAACTGTTTGAAACTATTTTCATGAATCACTGAGAAATTCACTTTCATCTTACGATCTTATTTTCCTCTTTCGTGAATCAGAATGAATTTACTTGTAACGATGACATCATTGCAATTAATTATAGGGGCATTGATTAGTTGGTTGATATGGAAAATCTGCATCCTCACCTGTTAAGTACTCTTACTGTTACTATAAATTTTATTGTAAATTAGCATGCTTTGACTATAAAGACTTGTAAATACAAACCTATAATCTCTAGTTATTTGAATAGTGCCTGTGAGTTTTCATTGTTTGGGTACTAAATACTTGTATGGGATTTTGTAAATTTGCATTATCTAGCTGGGTATGAGGATTTGCATTTCAATGTCATAAGTTTTGATGTGTTCTTATTATGACCATGCAAGGTCAAGTGGACATGATGAGGATTGAAGTTTTTATTGTGAAGTCCCTATTTCTGTTAAGAAGCAAGGCAGGAGGTCAAAAAAGAGCTAGTAGTCTTAAGAAATGCTCGGAAGTGGGTGGGGTGTCAGTTCTCTTGTCTATACTGAAGGTGCTAAATTGTGCGTGGACACGATTGGTAATGTTGAGATATTAAATAAAAACACTAAATGTCTTGCTTTCATTAACCAAGATTTTCACGTAAGGTGTGAATTGTGTGATATGAACCAGGTAACTAAATCTAATTGACAAGGATGATAAAAGCTCTCTGTATATTATTCATTCCATCATCATCACAACATTACATTTCCAAGCACTATGGAAGGAAATGACATAAAGGAGAGAGATTGACATAACCGATTGTATCGCGAAGAGATCCTTCGTGAATCTTTTAATCCCTTTTTATATCACTAGGAGATCCTCTATGTTAATAGCAAGAGAGAAAGAGTAGTCGGAGAGATCCTTCATAAATCTTTTGCGCCCTTTTCATACCATGGCAGCCTTCGAGACATCCTTTCCCACTTTCCTCATGTTTTTTGGTATGTATGAGTTGTGATATAATGGGCTAGACAGAGATGGCCCAGCATTTACATGGCTAGGCTCCGAAGATGAATGGGGGTCTTTTAATCATGACATCATGTCAATCGTACGAAGGACTACTCAACAAAATTCAATCTCAAACAATAATTAAAATATTATTGCAATATTAGACCATTGATTTGAAAATAATTTTTTGATAAAAAAATAATATAATACTCCTATTTTTTCTTCCTTTTTTAACTTATTAATTAGTAAATGATCTTATGTTAAATGTGATGAATACTTATTAATTAATAAGTGATTACTTGTTGAAATAGTTGTCCCTTCTCACAATCAAGTTATTTTAGATTATTGAACTTGCCAATTAGTAAATGATTTCTTGTTAAATGCGATTGAATACTTATTAATTAATGAGTAACTACCTGTTGAAGCTTAATTTACACTGATCTTCCCCACTAGCAACTTTTTTAATATTATTGAATTTGTTAATTAATGAATGATTTTTTGTTAAATGTAAATGGATACTTGTTAATTAACAAATGATTGCTTATTGAAATATGAACCATACTCATCCCCTCTCACAACGAATCTATTTTACATTTTTAAACTTATCAATTAAAAAATAATTTATTGTTAAATAAAAATGAGTATTTGTCAACTAATGAATAGCTATTTGCCAATTGAAAAAGGGCAATAGTATTATAGCCTTTTTTTAATTTAAGATCATTTTCAAATTAGCCACTCGGTTCTATGGTAATATTTTTGAATCATTTTATTCTTCTTGATTAATATTAAACACCCTAAACGGTTTTTGAATGATATTTTCCCTAAATCATATTTAGACATCACTAATTATTATTATTCTCTCCAGTTTTTTAAACATACCATCTTTTACAAAGAATTATTAGTCATTTAAAAAATAAATCATTAATTATTTTTTTATTTCATCTTTTTTTTTTTGTAATTTTCCATGTGAGTAAGATGTAACATATTGATTAAAAAAAAGATATTACATGTGAGAGTGAGAATTTTTTTAAAAAATGATGCGTTTAATAAAGATAAATTAAAAATTTATTTTTTTAAACCAATATCAATAATTTAGTGTAAATTTCTTTTTAATTGGAGGGAGTCCGTCCAGATTTTTATATATTTATCCAAAGTTCATCCCAAGAACGTTTGCTCGGTACTCGTTTAATTTGGTGCAAATTTTCAACACTCAAATTTGAAAATTCACAAGTGACAATTCTAGTATATATTTAACACTCATATTTCGAAAATTATGCTATGTTTTGAGTATTTAGCTCTCATGTCAGGTGTTTAACACTATTCTGAATATGAACCCAGGAGCATTTCGGGTCAAGAAGAAAAAGAAAAAGAAGAACTCAATCATAAGCTTTGTGCTCTTTTAAATTTAATTGGGTATAATAGATTATGAAAATAATTGATTAAGTGATAGATTTTAATAATAATTGATTATATTATAACATAATTTATTTGGATATCTATTTTCTAAAATTAATTGTAACAAAATTAAATATGTTTGAATAATTTATTCAGAATCAATTTTAATTGTGTAAATTACTATAAAGGATATTGCATTTTAAAATTAAATTATTAATAAATTTATATCTAATATTATTAAAGTTGTTATATTTTATTTAAGAAGTAAAATATATTATTGATTTTTTTATTAAATTTTGGGCTCTTTTTATAATTTTTTCTTGAATCTTTCTTTATAATTTTCTCTATCACTTTTTGATCGTTCGAATTGCCAGCTTTTGAGGAAAATCAATTTTAATAAAAAAAATTGATTAAATGAAAATCATGCGTTTGGGTATTTTTTTGGTTAATCGATTTTTTCACGTTTGGGTATTTTTTTGGTTAATCGATTTTTTGGTTAACTGAAAAAATCGATTATTTTGCTTAACCAAACCGGCACTTTATCCATTAAGGAGACCCATCTTTGACTGATATTAACGTTCCCATAGGATTGAAGATAGATCTGTCCAAAAACAGTGAAAACTGAAACCCCATAAGGCCACGTCAAACCATATCCTCGCATCACTATAGCCTACGCCATCCATGCCGTATCACTTGTCCTCAGAGTGCGGGCCACTTTGACTTCAACGTCCTTACTAATTATCTACGTGCCAAGTTGTACTCTCTTGTCGACGAAAAATAGCAAGACTTAATCACACGATCTTACACGTTTATCTCAGTAACTGGGCTGATATTACTACAAATAATATTGCTGTTTGAAATTTGACATCACGGATCATTTCATCTGACTTTAAAAGAAAAACAGCTTGACATGCTTTCGTATTCTTCTTCGAACTGGACAGAATGATGGTACCAGCACCACCGGTTTTGGATGATACATTAATAATTAATTAATGAAAGTTGGCAACGGCATCAAGTGGATCATTCCCCTACTTCCTCAAGGTGAAATAAAATAACCAGAAAAACCTGAGTTATATTTCTCATCTTTTTCAAGTGTTCGTGTGTGAATAATAAATGTCAGGTATATCAGAGATGCTAATTTTAATTGATAATAAAAGGATCCTGAGCTTTCTTATTACAGTTTACTTAGATGTAAAAAAATATAAAACTTTAGTAAAACAAGTATTCGAATATTATTGAAATGTAAAAAGTGTACAGACCTAAAATTAAAAACTAGAAAGGGCTAACGAATATAAAATTGTTAGTCTTTGATTAAGTGTTGACTTTTCTTTTTCTATTTACACTGTCAGAGTAACGGTAGCCTTTTTCTTAAAACGTAACATGTTTTGCTAAAGAATTAGGAATTTCGCGAAACTCAAGGCACGATCTTTATTTCATGCTCTCTATTTTGATAACTAGCCCATTTTATCAAGATACTTGGACATAAATTTTAACATTACTTAAGATATTGTCTTCATGCATCTAATATTTACAGTTGATGCAATTTCAGCATATTTATTTATTGTAGTTTTTATTGAGTTTCAAGGTCGGCCCTTTTTGTTTATATATATTGGGATTGTTTTAATTATTCAGCCAACTAATTCTGTAATCTATTTGAGTGATGTTTGATATTTAGTCCGACTACAAGTAGCAATATTATTATCGAATAATAATAGCATCAATTGTATTTAATCAATCTGACTGCGCCGGTGCAGCGCATGTAATATGAAAGCGACATTTTTTAAAAGATGAAGTTCACGTCGGCTCGTCTGGTTTCTCCTGCCCTCACATTTTCGGTACCAGCCGACTTGCTTACCAATTGCAATGTCAAGTTGGTTCTCTGCACACAGACGCCGCCTTCTGTCAGCATTCACATTGACGCACCCGCACTGTCGGTGTTGATCCATTCATTCGTTAGTATTAAAAGGCTCATGCTTTGCTTCCTAACCTTGTGTTGTTATCATCTGTTCATCTGGAAAGGGAAGGTGTGTGGTATAAAAAGTGCGCGCAAGCAAGATAGAGAAAAGAGATTCGTACTTTCCCCTCAAACCGATATATCTGTACTTTTATACACGCAAAAAATTGAGGAGTACATTGGCGTTTGAAGAATTTGCTTGCCAAAAAACAGAGGCTGAGTTTGTTGATAGATACATCTGTATGTCAAAGGTGGAGAATCTTAGAGACAAGGCCAAGGACGAAGATGAACACACAAGCAATTTCGTCACGTCTGTGCCGATGGTATTTCCAGATATCGATAGGGAGAGGGAGATGTCTGCTATGGTTTCAGCCCTGACCCACGTGGTGTCCGGAGAGGTGCCTTCTGATTATACGGTTTTTCATCAGTACTTAACGTACCCAGATACAGTCGAAGCTTCTGTGACCACATCTTCGTCGTCTTCATTTTACGGTGCTAGTTCTGCTGTAACGACGAGCATGGAAGATGGTACATTCTCGTGGGGTGGTTCATCCTCATCCCCTGCTGTTCCCACAAGTAAGCAATAAAACTGAATTCTTTATTATCTATCATACTCCTATTTCTTCTAATGTAATAAAGTTGAGATTATATATCTTGATGGGTCCCCGCATGCTTTGGACATTAAAAAAAACCTTTTGTTTAAGAGTATGTTGTGATATGGGCTAGGCTAAGCAGGACAAAACGAGTCAAAGACAGATGGATAATATAACATGAAAACAGGGGAAATTACTATCACTTTTGCCCAGAAATGAATAAAAAAGAAAAGGAAGTCATTTATGAAGGATGATTGATGTTGGGTTTTTGGGAACACAGATGGAGAAGGCAGGACCGGGAGGAGCGAGATGAGGGGAATGAGAAATGCAGTGTATGAATACAGGACAGAGAATGGAAGGGAGCAGGAGAGAAGAAAATACAGAGGAGTGAGGCAGAGGCCATGGGGGAAGTGGGCTGCAGAAATCAGAGATCCATTCAAAGCAGCGAGGGTGTGGTTAGGAACATTCGACACAGCAGAAGCAGCAGCCAGAGCATACGACGAAGCTGCCCTGCGTTTCAGAGGCAACAAGGCTAAGCTCAATTTCCCTGAAAATGTCACCCTTCGTCCCCCTCCCCCAGATCTTCACAACCTGCAGGCTTCTCACATGGTCTCTCATCTTCAACCATCACCCTTGCCACCGGCTGCGTCCTCCTCCTCCTCCTTTCACGCCTTTGCTTCCCCTGTTGCTACACTTCCTTCGCCTTATCCTGCACAGACTCCCATGACTGATTCTGCGCACGTCGTAGCTTCATCGTTCTCTTCTGCCAGTCACACCTCCTTTTTTCCTTGATGATCTCATTATTACTATTCGTTGTTCGCATTTTCTTTTTCTTTCTCATGTTATTTATTCCATCCTCTTATTTGAGGTTGGCATTGGTTTTACATAAACGACATTTTTGAAGTTGATGCTGCGATCCTGGGAATCACTGTTCAAGTTCAAGGGTACACTTGCCTAGAGAACATAATACATCTGTGTGTCATTGGAGAACCTTAAACCACCTAAACTAGGATATTTGCATGGTCTGTGGGTTTTGACTTTGGAACAGACCAATATAAAGGGATTGTTTATTCTCTGCGGGCGTGAGAATTCAACAAATGTATGTGCAGGGATAAATGTGTTTTTGGGTACAGACAAATGCGTACCATCTGTCTATGTTTGCTGCGTGAAACAATTCTACTCGAGTACTTACAAAAGCGGCATCTGGTTTGCAAACTACGTACCATGCCATAAGAATGAATATACAAAAAGGAGATTTAACAGAATAATACAGGTCGAAAGGAATCAAATTGTGATATATATATATATATATATATTTGTTAAATAGCCTCCCTTGCTCTGATGTGTTGTGAACTTCATCGTGCCTTTCAATATCTCATGCTGCGCCATAGCAGAGCAACTGCTACTTAACTCTTTCTATTCGAGTGTGGAATGTTAAATAGGTTCTTAACCTCCAAGGTAGAATTGAGAAGGCACGACTGAACTGGACCATGTGGTGACAGAATCAAGCACCATTGCACCAACATGTTTCCACAGGATCTATTTGCAAGGGAGCAATAATGTATATCCAAACAATGATACACTCTCACGATAACAGATAAAGAGCTTAACAATGGAAATCATATATATCGCCTTGTAGCACTGGCAAATTTCAAGGTAATCATTGAAACATTATTTTCATATATTTTCTTGAAAGTAATGAGAAATACAGGCAAATTGTGAAACATAGTTGGCAACCATTGGCCACAAGCAATTGCAAGTCTGGAGGGAATTAAACCAGCGTAGAAGAAACTAAATCCTCTCTCTTGCAACTGCATAAAGGAATTTATATCATATTCTCACAGGTTATATTCTGACTCTAGAACAAATATTTATGCAGAACGACATGCGATGCGTACCTCGCTCCTTGAGCTAACCACGTCGTTGCCACAAGAGAACAATTTGGATACCGAGGTTTACCAAGCCTGCGCTTTAGAGCATAGTCACAGCATGTCAATGGCAGCGTGTCGTTCATATATCCGGCCAAGCTCATCTACTTCTGTGCATTCGACGAATGGCCTCTGCAGCATCTAGTTTTTCCGTACTCTGCCAAAAAGCTTTGCAGGATGTTAGAGATTAAAGGAATGTTAAGTGTAAGTCTCAACGTTCCTCTCTATTCCCCTCTTCCTTCAGCTCCATTAGTCGGAGCACTTGTCCATGCCTAGCTTTCGATGGTCATAACTCATAGCACTCAGCCATTTCTCTGCTTGGCGCTGAGATCAATCCAGATAATACACATCACAATTTATTATTAGAATTCGTTGATAAGTTTACCGGATCAAATAACCACCACCTATACTTTTGTTAAATTTTTCTGATTTTTATTTTAAAAAGCTAGTGCTGCTCGATCCCTTTTGTTTTACACTTATTATTAAAAAAGACAACATAATTTTTTTGACCATTATTTATCAACTTTTTTTTTGAAAGAAAAATATAATATATCGATCATATGGACAGCTTTTTCAGATGAAAAGGCAAAGAGACTTTGTTACCGTATATTCTGCGTAATTACATTTTTTATACAATATATAGCAAGCACGAAAATCAAGCCATATATATGGTACAAAAATTATGCAGAAATTTGATTGAGAACACTATGTTTAATGTTAGTTGTGAATCGGGGGCTTCCTCCTAGCTGGAGTGTAATCCATCGAGAATACTTTACCTTCTGCATTCCCCTCATTTTCTTTTGGCTTAAATATTCCATCACTTGCTTCCTTACGACCTCAATTGGCATTGGTTATTTCTTTCAGTGTTCACGCCGCACGGATAAGAAATATATTAATTGGTTTTTAAATATAAAAAGGAAATCAAATGATGAAGAACTTAAAAGAAAATAATATTAATATACGCAACTATATACCTGTGGCTTGAGAGGAGATCATGAAGCAGAGAAGGAAGAAGAAAACTACAACTACAAGTCGCTTGTTCTGCTCGATAGCCACATAACTATACAGGGTGCCTTCATTTGCTGATGCCACAATATTCATGCCAGTTTCAGTCCCTTCTATAGAGATGAAGATGTGAGTTCCTATACCCTAGCTAGCTACCTAGCGAGTTGCCAGTTGCCACGATAAAGATTATTGGGCAGCTACGTGGAATTTGTGAATATGTTATGAGCCATAGGATCTACGAGGGTCAACATCGCTGTCTGCTTCTATGCTGACAAGAAATAGATGCCTTTGTTTGCTTTTCTTGGGGAAAGGTATGAAGTGAATATTCCAGATATCCAATCATCTCCATTCACCTCAACCTTAGCCTCCACTCGATAATGTTCACTAACCTAATTCTAAGTTCGAACCTTCAAAAACTAAAACAAAAGAAATCACTCATTCCCGCAATTCCATACAAAAACTCCCCCTTTGAAGCAGGACGTAACTCTTCCTCAAGTGTTTGAATTAACGTATTGATATAGAGAGCATTGTCAATGTTAGTCTTTATTTTTGTTACACACAAACGCGTCATAATTTAAGCGGCGCTTGCCTGATATTTTAGGCCAAATGGTTTAATACCCAAGAAATTAAATTACAGTTCTATCAATCTGAGGATACACATATAAGAGAGCAAGGGACTCTATAATTAATTTTATCCGATCTTTCTCCTCTTTTGTATTATTTACCCTCCTGCTGCCGCACATGATAAGAGCCCAGAAAAATCAATCACCTATACATGCATTTATGTTTATTGAGGGAAGGTGTTTGAATGATGAACTCTTCATATGCAGCAACTGAACTGTTAATTATACATATATGAACGATATGATTATAATACTGTGATATGAACCAGCTTTCATTAAATTACTGAGTTGATATTGACACTGTTGCTACAGCGTCATGCAGATGATGAAGCCGAATTAACGCAGGGACGGATTTAGGGGGGGCCAGCAGGGGTGCTGGCCCACCACAAATTCTCATCTCTTCGTAAAAATTTACCATTATATTTTATAAATTGGTTAGAAAAATTGCGTAGGTATATCCTGCCCCCCCTTAAGTGGAAGAAGAAGAAAATTTGGCCCCCCAAGAAAATAATCCTGGATCCGCCAGACCGTCACTACTGGAATCAAGCACGTATGTTTCCGTTTGTCGAACTCATCTCTTTTTCTCCATTTGTGTGAAAACTGAGAAGTCCTCGCATTATTGAGTTATTTATTGAAAAGGTCACTGCTACTCTAAGCCATCGGCAAGCAAGACAATAACAACATGAATGGATGGAACCAATCTAAACAGAACTCGATGAATGGAAGGAAATTGAATATGTGTGAGGGAATATTAAATTTGTGAGGGAATATATTCAGGCAAGATAACACGTTGGAGCATGCAAGAGGGCCATGTATATCTGGCTCTGCACCTGTCTTTGCAGCCAATCTCAAGCATTTTACCTGGCCCTCACATCCCCAGAACATTTCAACTGAACGTTGCCACCTGCACTTTCTTTTTGGTCGCTCTTCAATATCCACAAGTTTTTTCTCTAACATATTTAATTATAATTACGACTCAACACACGCACGCACGCACACTTGTCTATCAGATGTGCATGGAACTAGGTAGGACTTGTTTTATTGCAGTTCTTTTCTTCATCAAATTAAAAATTAATCGAACCTTTGGCTGGGCCGAAAAAATCCATGAGCTTTTAAATTCGTGAAGAGCGATGGAATTCCTAGATATTATTTCAGATTTAGCTAGCAATGATTCAATGACCTATTAAAAGTTGGAGAAGATGCCAAGTGAAATTAGTGCGAGATGCACAGTGTGATGTAATACATACACATAACACAGTGATTGTTTTGCTTTGTTGCGCTCAAGTTAGATGGCGTGGGTGGAAAGATTTAATTATTTGACCATGGAAAATGCCAGGCAGTAATGAATAATGGAGGGAGAAAAGCCGACAACGGTGAGACGACGATCATTTTCAGATAAGACAACAGACAATGTTTTTCATTTTTTTTGGTGAAAGAGTGAGACAGGAGGCAAAGTTACGTTCGCTTCACATGGGACGATCTGCTTCTTCATCTACCTGGTAGGCCTGCCCTGTCTCTTGTATATTGTGCCTACCGCAAGCATGATTTAATACGGAGCTAATAAAGGCTAAGATGGGGAGTGAAATCAACGAGGCAAGCATCCCATTTGATCTGTCCTAATCATTACCAGGAACACAGAACTGAACCTCTTGTATGTGCCTGTATTAACACCTCTTCATTTTAACATTAAACGTATATAGTATATTGGTATATTGATGTATAAGAATTACCGATTGAAAATGATAAAAATGAAGATCAGATGGGTCTCTCTTATGATAGATCCTTGCTTCATGGCATTTGTCACTTCTTTGTTTATCTTCAGAATTATATCCATCATCCGTCTACACACACATATTTCTCGAATAATTGGCGCAATTTTTCTCCATATATACAGAGATGGAGTCATGGAAACTGGAGAATAATAGCAATAATTAAGTCATAATCCCTTTTGATAAATTCTTACATGAACTTAATACACTATATTATTTATGGTCTATTAAATAAAACCATGTTATATTAGATAGTCATAAATATAAATATATTCTATCATTGATAGTGACAGAGAGAGGAAAGATAAGAAAGGAAATTTTAAAAATAAAATTATTAAAAATAATAACGTATAAGATTTCATTCAATTCAATTTATATTAATATATTATGTTTACATTGGATAGATCATATTGTGCAAGAATCTCTCCTATGTTTCCTCTATCTTCACAAAAAGCCATAATTTCTGTAGAAATCAACCTTTCAAATTAAAATGTATCATGTAATAATTTCACTTCCATTCTAGCTCTTTATCTAATCTTCACAAAATATTGGGGCAAAAGAGGACCCTCGTCCTTTTGCACGTACATGTTTTATTTCGTGTGTCTATATTTGCTTTTATTTTTTTCTTCGGTGCCTTGATTTTCTATTTATAAGCACCTTACAATCAATTTTTATATTGTTTAATTCAGAGATTATTATACTTAATTCAGGGAGTATTTTTTATAGTCAAGTTCATTAGGAATTGTAATTTCTCCGGTGCTACGTACAGAATTTAAGTCTAAATCAATTTGTCTCACAATGTTAAATTTGATTTTAGATTTTTCATTCTATTTTTCATACATAATTGGAATGATTTTCAAATACTATGAAAAATTTAGCCAGACCGAATACAGTATCTAGTAACTTCTTGAATAACCAGAACTCTGGTTTAGGTCACTCAGGTAAGCAATTTAAGATCACGGAAAACTTTCAAAGGCCATTAATACATGCACACGCACGTCAACTGCATATTATCTGAAACTCTTTTATATAATTTTAATATAATCGAAAACACCAACTTTTAGCCAAATTAAATTTAACTGACCGCAGGCAGCTGAAAAGCAAAGCCAATGTATTGTTATTAGTTAGGTATTGCAAGACATTCGAATAACTTGCATGCACAAAGGAAATAAATAGTTTCAATTCTTGTAATGTCTATAAAGAAAGCCAGAAAGTTGAAAGGTTTAGAAGCAATTGTTTGAGATTGAAAAACCCCATCCCTTTTTTCTCAAAAAAGAAAAAAAAAAATCTTGGTTCGAAAAGCACCATGCATCCAACCAAACATCCTTCTCTCTTAGATCTGTAGGACTTCTATGTTTGGACTTTGGAGGGGCATACACGTCACGTCATGAGCTCATTTCTTAAAGCTTAAAAGTCAAAACACAATTAGTTGAATACCAGTTTTCGCTGATTTCTTCAATTTTCTTCTATCATCCTAAGCAATCATAAATCAACTGTTATTAGTCCAAGCTTTTAAGAAGTGAATAAAAAAAATCAATAAAGCTATTACGTCAGTAAAAGCATTGCAATGATTGATAACTTTTCGTGCGGGGCACTTTTCGAGAGGGTAACAACATAAAATAACGGTACCCTGTGAAGTGATCAGTACGTATAGTTGCCCACCAGAGGAAAAAAGTTCAATAATCCAAAAGGCTTGGCATTTCTCCATATTATAATTAAATTTGTTGACATATTTGTTTGTCTCCATGCATTATTATCTGCGTTCTAATTGGTTGATGCATACATACTGTTTCATTTACCACCATGCATTTTCATCTTGGATAGCTTGTGAATTAGAAATTAAAGCTCGTTTAATTTGACTTTAAATTCTCACCGATGCTGGAATTACCAACGTGGCTATCTTTTCACGTTGCTTACAGAAAGTGTATGATTGCACCTCTGTTGTATATTCTAAAACATAATACCTGGAAGCATAACTAGCCAAAGCTAGAGCTAGCTAGCCTGGCTATAAATCTTGATGAGATACACACTTAGTTCTCGTGTAAAATGAACATGATGAAGAAACAAGATATTGGTAGAGAAGGTGAAGGGTGTATATAAATATGCATATTCAGCAAGTCTTTTATTTTGTCTACAAGCAGGCAAATTATTAGTATATATGTATGTGTGTAGTTCTGCTCAAAATTTCAAAAACTTTATCCACACGCTCCCCCCTGACTCCCGACTTGAAAACTCTTTACACCAAAATTCTAGAGCCTAAATAAATATAGTAGTAATTATTAAACTAGCGAGACTGGTATCTGGACATTTGACAGTGGGATCTCCTAGAGGTTGAAGAGTTGAAAACATTGCATAAACTATATGTACATAGAAAATGCAGAGAAGCAGCTGGAATGTCGAGCTAGGAGGGCTTCCTCTGAGAAAACAATAAAGATAACGAGGATCTAATTAATTATGGATTGGAGGGTTCTTTTTGGCAGGAGTGTAGTCCATGGTGACCAAGTCATCATCACCATTTAATTGTTCTCCGCTTTGGCTCTGCACCTTCTGATTAAACGCACTAATCGGTCCCTGCTGTGCCTTCTCATCAACATGTCTCGTCTCCCTCAAACTTCTGGCTGCAGAGAATTAGTCCCAAGATAGGCGTCAGATGAATGAAATGATGAATGATATAGATTATATTTGACAAGAGGGTGATCAGAGGAAATGAAGCATACCTGAAGCTGCTGAAGAGACGATGCAAAAGAAGAGAAAAGCAACAAGAAGAAGGCGGCGGGTAGGTAGCATAACCATCTTGATCAAGCTGGAATGTTGACGAATGTTGGTGTTTGTATGTGTATATGCGAAAACCTAAAGCAGATGCAGAAGATGAAGGGGAAGGAGGGATGGTTTTATAGGGAGAGAAATGAGACCTAGAGAATAGGATGTCGAGAGAGGAGCATGACAAGATCAATAAATTGCTGAAATTGAGGTTCAAATCAATGTCTCCTGCCATGTCCTGCATGAAAGGGACAAGGCTTTGCTTGCTGGCAAAATCACCATCCAACTTAACTGCACAGATGGATCACCTTCCTTCATTGCTATCTCTTTGGCGCCTAGAGCCCCCTCATTCTTTTTTAATTTCCCTCTGCTAGAACCCCTAAAATAAAATAGAGAACAGTAAAACTTGCTTTAATTTAGAGCGTTGAGGGACTAGTCCGGATCCCCTTCGATCACTATCCTCTACCACATAGTCTTAACATATTACATTATCAAGACTGGAATTCGAAACCACTGGTGGAATTGGAACAAACTCTTGCTAGTTGATTCAAGGCGCTCGGTAGTCTTTGGCGGAGACTTTTATTAACACGCAAGGGAATTCAAACCTATTACAAGCAGAGATATATGCATAGCACGCGAATAATTACTGCTTCAAATTCTAGCATGGATTTCTGATTTCTTATGCTGTATATCAGCGTCTTCCTTCGAAATTTGATTCTTCAATCCTCCCTTGATCATCATATACTCTCAGTCATCATCCAACAATAATAGCTTCAACTAAAAAGCGGTTGCATTAATCTCGGTTATCCTTAGCAAAAGATACAATTATTTCCAATAATAAATGCTAGCCAGCTGATCACGATTTATTTCTACATACAGAAATTACACATCAGACATATGCGGAAATAAGCAATCCTTAAATCCAGAAATGCATTGCATAAATCTCAATTTGGAAATAACTGTTTATTAATTAATAACTTGAAAATTAATACATGTGATCGTCAAAATCCATGAAAAAAATAATCTTGAAGCCAACAGTTAGTAACATTAAACACACACCAAACCAGCATACTCTAGCAGAACAAATGAAGAACAGTGATAGTTTATCCGGGCAAATAGCTAAGGAATCATGATAGACCATTTATTTGAACAAGTTCATATTCATTTTTTTTTATACATTCTTTATTTAAAAATACTAAGTAGTTAATCTTTTTAATAATAACACGAAGAATGTATAATTTTTTAATAAATATATAATTCATACTTAATCATACTTATTTCAGAATATATTATATACAAAAAAGGAGCAACTAGAGTTAGTCTGATTCTTTGTTGAAATAAGCCTTTCCTTCATTTATGAAAGACATTTGTTTTCCTGGGCTCAATGTCTCGCTAAAATGGCATAATAAGACAAAGTGTTACAGGGTAGCCTATCTGGCAGGAAAGAAATGACACAAGTGTTTGAATTTTAAAAACTCCATGTAAGATGCTATATAAGCAGGCAATGGAATGGAGACTGAAAATTTCACGGTTTCACCTGAACGATTAAAACAATGAATACCAACACACTAGCACTTCAAAATAAGATAACAAATAATATACATGAGAGAACTTGCTTTGGCTGGAGGAAGCATAAATATAGATTGGACAAACATGGTATTTTGCTGGTTGAAAAATTCCAAATTTTCTATGGAAAAATATGCACTCCAATTCTAAAATTAAAATACGAGAAAAATATTTTCGGAGAAAATTTTCAAATGGCTCTATTTGCACCAAATCTCAACAAAAAGAATGAAAAAAAAAAAAACAGCTCAAGTATGAAGACGCATGAAGTTGTTTTTCTAGGCTTTCAAACCCAAAGTTTAACTAATAAAACAAGTGTTTACCATGCAGAGACTACTAGGTAGGAAGAAATCACAATAGCATTAACATTAATCTCCACGAATTGAATTGTATTTGTGCAAAAATAAGGAAATAAATAGAGTAAAATTAAGAGGGGGTAGCTAGATTGGGAGAAATTGTTAATATTTTAAAGAAAAGATGGGGACGAACCTATTAAATTGGGGGGGGGGGGGTGGTAGTGCGGTGCTCATGGAAGCAGGCGGGGAAAGTTGAATATGGGAAAGCTGAACGTGGTGGGAGCAGAAGGGCACTTGCCCTGATCAGCCTTGATTGATTTTTTTTGCTTTTGATTCAGTCGGCATTAACTGTGGCCTCAATCATGCCCAGTCTTTGGATTATCCATCACTTCAACCGCATAGCCGTGCAGTAATAATCATGTTCCCCTTCATTTCCTGCTCATCTAATTAAACATGACTAGCCTCTGCAATTAAAGCCTCATCAACAATCACTTTCCTTGGGTGGACAAACCTCGATTCACAGACTGGGGGCTTTCCGCTGCGTCACGTGCTTCCCACTGGAGAGGGCTACACGTGGGACTGGAGAGCATTAGCATACTAAGCACGCCTGGTCTCGGATTCATTTGGTGAACGGGACAACGCGTTCCTCTTTTGCTCCACCATTTTGGAACCTACCCTTTTTGCGGATTGGTGGTGGAGGGCACATCCTCACGTGCCTTTGTTGCCCTCTTCAACTCTTCGAATCCCTCCCCACCCCGTTGCTATTCCTCATCCGCTTATTTTTATTTTATATTAATTAATGACGATTAGCTATGCATCATCACTTTGTTTTCCCCCACTGCCCATAAGTGACCCCAGAATAATATTTTGGGAATGGGAGTTGGGTTTGTTGAGTTCGAGTTTTGTTACAAGTGCTCGTGTTTAGAGTATGACCTCTATTTAGAATCCGACTTTATTCTTGGAATATTTTTTATTGGCCAAACTAAAAACAAAGGATATCGTCGACTACCATTAAACACCAGGAAATCTTCAGCCTGAGCTTTGCTACCAGCCTTCTTCCGTTTCCAGATTCCGATGCTGCAATCGTGGAACGCGCAGGTGTTTCAGCTGATTCTGAAAGGCCTCAACTTCCGAGCCAAACTTCATCGGGATATATATATATATATTTTTTTGGGGCCAAAACATCTGGTTAGTTAATTTTCTCATAATTGCTTGGTTTTCAATTTGGCCGCACTTGTACTCTTTGTCACGCGTATAATTCAATGTTTCTTTCTTTTGGTTACTTCTATTCATCCATATTCTGTAAATTAGCATGCTCATTTACGCGTAAAATTGAAGGAATTCTGCATAATCGAAGAAAATATATTTGTCTTCAAAATGTCGGCTTCCTTCTCATTCCTCCCCGCCTTTCATAACTGAAGCAGCGGCAGACCCAAATATATTCTACCTGGACTTGGAGCATGGAATCTTTGCTATTGCTCGGGATTGAAGCTTAGCTAAGATAGAACCAAGAAGGAAGATGTTGTTTTCTAGTGGCAGAGAGTTGGGAATCTGAATGAGATACATTTAGATTGTATTTCCACCATCTTTTTATTCACGAGGCCTTGGATGCATTATTACACGTTATCCTTCCCGATAATTAGGGACAAAACTTCGTGGACACGACAAGCAGAACTGCTGCGTCGATTGATTTCTGATCACAAGAAGTAGGGAATGACTGACTGGCCCTTGGCATTCAGTGATCGTTAGTGATTAGTGACTTGGGGTCTGCTTTCAACAGGGCCTTGTAGGCCTCACCGCCTTCGCCAGTTTGCTTCCTGTGAGTATCCCTTCGTCTTTTGCTCCCAACAGCATATTCCTAATGTCAACAGTGCGCCTGCACAGTTCTAGTCAGCATTTCATCATCATCATCATTATCAAGTCATAATTTTTTGGAATGAAAAAGCTCCATTGATGAGAGACAAAATTTTGGCGTCTGCATGACGTGTGTATAGCACAAGCATTTCTACTTATTAGAGTTGGTCCTAAAGGCCATTATACCTCCAATCAGACGCTGAAAGCAAGTGGCCACCTTCCTGCAGGTACAGAACGCACTACAGAGAACACTGGCTTCTTTTAAATCTGGCTTGAACTTTGAAGCATTTTCATTCGAGCATGGATAAAAGCAAGTCATTTTCGGCCTACCATTCGACCTCCTTCGTTGACATGCAAGATGAATACAAGGACCGATCCAGATCCTACCGCTTTAAGGGTCCAAGTGAAAAAGATGTTTTGGCCACCACTGGGAATCCGGAGCTCCAAAGGAGAAGAAGGGTAGCATCCTACAATACGTATGCCAGGGAATCTAAGTTCAAATCCACCCTCCGCAACAGTTTCAACTTTCAAGTGGATCAAAAGGAAGCTTATGGTTGACTATTAAGGTGTGTGAACTCAACCGTGTTGCTCCTTTATTCTGCACGTATGCTTGATTGTACTGTTGACTGCTGATCTTTTGAACTTATCATCACTATTACTGTACATAGGTGTATGAAAAAGCAACCTCTTCTTGAGTCCCTTCCCGTGAACACAAACTCGTAAAACTCTCCTCAACTTGAAGCAACTTGGAACTATCGCATTAACCGCGCTTGTAGAGAGAACGAAATAAAGCTTAATGTGCCATATAGGTAAATTCAGGTTGAGCCTTACAAATATACATATATATATATATATATATTGCCACAAAAAATATGCATGATAGCCCAGGCCTGAATTTGAAATTTCTTCCTTCAAGTTCAGCCTGGCCCCGAATATACTTCCTTTTCTTTTTGTCCAAAAGACTTGTGTAACATGAATGGGATCGTATTTGTTTCTTTTTTAAATTAAAGAAGCAGGCACTAAATGTTTGACATTATCGGCAGGATTAAATTCGCGACCTCCCATTGACAAAGAAATTTATTTACCATCAAGCTACAAGGTCATTGGTAGGTCTTTTTTTTTTTTTTTTGTAATATCTATCTTCTAGTTTAATAATAGTAGTCTTTTAGCTAATCCTCAAGTGATTAGCTTTTAGTAGTTGGCCACGCTAATCCTTCCATTATTGTAACTTTCCATGTTTTGTAGGCAATGCGAGTTCTTCTGTGCTTAAAACCATAGAAAAGGAAGAATTTCTAACCGAGCTCAACGTTGAATTTGAAATCTTTATATCTGCCCAGAAATTTTCCATATTTGTGGGCACTTAAAATCATTCAAAAGGAAGAATTTCTGACCGAAGTCAAGGTAAGCACGACTTAAATAGATGTATATGGTAGACAACATTTTCTAACCACCATAGTACCATACATAAATGCTCTAACTCTTTTATTGTGGAAAATGACACAGCTTCCAAGAGGGAAGAGTGACTCAAATAAATACCAAGAGAAAAGGCTAAAAAACATAAACGCTTGGGTACAATTTAGGCAAATTATTGCGAGAATTAGAGTAGTAGTAAAGGAATGGCAGAGCCTCACACTTGTGGATCTTATAAAATTGGGACTCTTTCTTTTACATTTCATCTGGAGGGCACTTCAAGCGATCTATTCCTCAATTTCGGTTACCCAACCTCTTGTTTAATTTAATGAGATTAGGCAACTTGTCCGGATCAAACCGATAATCCACGGCAGAAAAGGAATGGCGAAATTGAGCTGGGTCGCTGTCTTCCTTGCCACTCATCATGGCCTGCAAGTAGCTGCTGTGGTTCTTGATGTTCTTGAGAGCATTGGGATGCGCTTCAGTCCTGGGAGATCTTTTCTCACCTCTCGACACAAATACTGGAGAGAGAGTCAGTGACGTATTCAAGCTCCCTTCTGTTGTACATTGTTTTGAGCTCGACGATGTGCTGCTCACACTATTCCCCGTTTCTAACCCACACATGCTTCCTTCCTCGTTCTTCTTCTGTTACAAGGGCTACATGATTTCAGATGGTAAAATGACGCTCTTCAAAGAGATTCTTAGATATACTGTCACAAGGCCTTTTAAGATTAGACAAACCAAAGCTATATTTGTTTTATTTGTGATTATCACATCACATAAACAGCAGTTGGCGGAAGGGGACACCTCTTTTGACGATTCTGAATTCCTCGCGAGCTGTGCAGCAGCAATTTTATTCTTTTCTGACTGACTCACGTTACTTGTCTGGGGCATTTGTCCTTTCTTGGAAGACCTATGCCTACGAATATCACGGAAAGCAACCAAGTCACAGACTAGAAGGAGCCTAGCACTCAACACCATTTTCACGTAGTGAAAGAAAAAGGATATTTGACGTAATGAGAAAATAACTTACTTTTTGCGCCTTCTAGTATGTGACCGCTCATCCTTCTCTTTGTATATTACTGGTAGTGCTGAAAGAGGGCATGGTAAAGGACTGGTCTTGAAGAACTGAAAGCACAAAAACCAATTTAGCATATAAATGTGATGCAAATGTTGCTTATATACTTAAGGAAACAATGCGAAGATTTCAGCAATGAATGAAGGAATTCATTTTTTAAAAGATAAGGAAGAAGAAGGAAAGAGCTCACTTCAGCTTGGAGAGCAGAGGCAGCAGTGCCGCGATAGTTAGGATCAAGATCGAGAAGCGTAGTTAAGAGGCCAACAGAAGAGGGAGGAAAATCCCTGAAGGCTTCTTCATAATTAGGCTTGTAATGTGGTGGCCGGTAACTTGTCATCAGCTTCAATTTCTTCCAGTAATCCTCCGTTGGAGAACCACATAGTTTGAAGATCATGTGCAGTTGTTCGACCTAACACCCATTCCATTCCAGCCCTAAATCATTAGGTATAAATATTCCAAAAATATAGTTTTTTCAGTTAAGAAAATTTGAAGCACCTCAGTCCTGCCAGGCATGATTGGCTTTCCAAAAAACATCTCGGCCAAGAGGCATCCAGCACTCCAGAGATCGATGGCGAATCCATAGTCAGTTGAACCCAAAAGTAATTCAGGAGCTCTGTACCAGAGGGTGACCACTCGATTGGTAAAAGGCCCTTTTGGTTTAAGATCAAAAGAATTTGCCAGCCCAAAATCTGCAACTTTCAGCACCCCTTTCTTATCTATCAGCAAGTTTGAAGCCTTTATGTCTCGGTGCATCACTCCCCTCTCATGGCAATGCTGGAGTCCAGAAAGCAATTGCTGCATATAGCACTTAATCTGCAGCAAACACGACCATCCACTCAATCACATGTTTGTCAGACAAGTTGCTTGAGAATTCTTAAAACATAATCTTCCAACCTGCGGTTCGGTGAGTTTCTCCCCAGGGCGGGTGATGACACGGGTAAGGTCGGACTGCATGTAATCAAAGACTAGGTAGAGACTGTACTGCATCCTTGAGGTGGCTATGCCTTCAAGCTTGATGACATTGGGATGGTCCAGCTTCTGCAGAATCATGATTTCTCTTGCCATGAACTTTATGCTTTCCGAATCCGATGTGTCAAAGCGGACCTTCTTCATGGCAACAGTCTTTCCCGTTGCCTTATCTCTGGCTTTGTACACGTTGCTGTATGTTCCTCGTCCCACCTGGAACCCAAATGCACCAAGCATGTTCGTGATGTTGCTGCAGGTTTTTTCTTGTAATCATAAGAGCGTAAAGCATTATCTTTGATCATAACCGGAAAAAAGGGATTCCACAAAACACAGAAATACCATCTTGGTTAACGGAAAAAGGGTGAGGAAAAATTGAATAAAATCTGTTAATTTACGTTGCATTTCCAATGCAAGCATGCAAACTTGGACGAGGATGATAATGTCAACTGATATAGTTAGTACTTGGGAATGAAGCATGAAACAATAAGATGGATAAAAGAAATGTATGTGTGAAGCAGCAAGTTTTGCAACAAGTGTAAGGAATTACCTTGGCAAGCATCTCATAACAATCAGCGCTCTTGGGAACCAGGGAGGCCAAAACTTGTGCAGGTACATTATCAACCAACCACTTAGGCCACGCCCCCACGGACACATCTTTTCCAATCTTATTGTCCACAAATCTCTTTCTTGAAACATTACCACCCTCATTCTTCTCTGCTCTAGCAACCACTCTTTCTCCGCCGGCTTCTTCTCTGACACCACCATTCTCTGCTGTCCTTGAAGTTGAAATCGTATGTTGCAACTTGTTATCGGGAGGTGGCCTCAGATTATTGCAGCTACGGCTCGTGGATCTGGCTGCCCTGCTTTGATTGCCATGGCCATTGTCCTCTTTCCGCCTCTCGTCTCGAGAGGGAGAAAGCTTGGCGTTTACGCAACCCATGGCGACACAGAAGCATGAGACAGAGAGGTTCTGGATTGCTCGGAGATGTGAAAGGCTGTTTTGGCCGGCTTGGTTTTGATTCTTCAGGATTGCTATGTAACAGAAGCATGGGATGATGCTTTCTCCGTCAATTGACGATTGAAGAGATGAATGGGATGACTGTGTTTGGATTATTCCCCCATAATCAACAACAGAGACACTATGTTGGTAACGAACCCGGCAGATTTCAAATTGTTTTCTGAAATGACCGGCGCTACATACGCCAAAAAGTTGAACGTCTAAACAAATGCCTTATCATGCTACAGTTTGATTCTGAAGTTCTGGACAAATCTCATTTGGCACAACCACCTAATAATAAGTTCACCCGATTCGTCGCGGTGATTAAAAAATGCTCAAGGTGTGCCTCAAAGCTGCATTTTCACTATTTTCAATGATTTATCTGTTTTGAGCTTATTTTGTTGGTGCTGATGGACTTAGAAAACCCTGAGAGGTCATGCAGTTGATTGAGATTTAGTAGAAAGAGAGACGAATCGAATCGATTTGTTTTACAGTATAAATCCAGGCAAACCAACCCAAAGAGATTTAACTTTTCGGGGAAACTAACCACATTTTGCTATCAACAAAGTCTCTGAAAATGGGACTTGCTATCGATATGATATGACATAGTAGTGTTGTTATGTATTCAGTCTGGGTGACTTGAACTTCATGTGTTAGTGAACTTTTCTTGTGGTCCTATTGACTGGTTTTTTTACCCGCTAGCCGAAAAAATATTTAACAGTAAATCAATTGTAACAAGTTCTTTATTTTATACAACCTGGTTGAATTCAAAATAATGCAAACCGATCCCCAATACAAGGGAGGGCTAGTTGATGAATTTAGGTTGATTTACGATGGATTCGATTTGGTTTAATCATAAAACATCATTTTGATTTTTGAATAGCCCCCATCCCCAACAATAATAAAAAGAAAAAGGAAAAAAAAAACACTCTTCCGTGGTATTCTTTCGCATTTTCTTACATGAACTATGAACATGACAAAATTCTTTGGTATAACCCTTAAAAGATGACAAATCAAATGTATTTTTTACCGATTCAGTGATTTGACCTATTTTAACCTTCATGGATAGCGCTACAATGTGAATGAGAATGTTGATAAATTGTTCATGTTAGATAAAATAGTAGTTTATCGTTTACTTTCAAAATTGAAAAAGCCAAATTATACTGCTCCATTAGATGATTTATAGCATTTTGGTGAAGTGCTTTCCCAAATTATTTTCATATTAGAGCTAGTCAAATTCCTTGAGATACTTAAATTTCTATTCAATTAGAACTCAAATTAAATTTTGATAAAAAATGATTAAATTGAATTCTTTTATAAAATGATTAAATTTTAACATAATAAAATATCATGAAAGACGTTTAAAAATTGATAGTGAGCTTGATAAGCTCATAACTAATTAGTTTAAAATAAAGCTTTATAATTGTGGAGTCAATTAAGACAAGCTTACGGTGTCATCAATCAATACACACACAAAAATTAAAAGCAAAAGTTACTGTATATGAAACTATTCATCTCAGGTTTTATGCATTTTAAAAAAAAAAAAATTAACTCTGACTGATCATCCAATGGACAGGTTGGGTTGATGGTTTAGTTAATAGATGAGAAGTTCAATATCAATACCATCGCTAATAAGTATAAAAAAATAAATTATTACGACATTTACAAGTAAGTTCCTAAGAAGTTGACTACGGTTCAATTGACCCAAAAAAAAAAAAGTTGACTTCTGTTTAAAGAATATAGGATCAAAGCGAAGATAAGCAATCACAACGAAACAGTAGACTCTCAAGGGCTCTGATTTGTCACCTGATAACTCGCTGTGGCTATTATAATTCTTTATGCTATAATGATATCAGGCCCCTTGTCTTTACAGATTCTGTTTATATCACGTACATTTCCTTCAATGTGCATCAATCTTCTTCAAGGTGGTGAAGCTAATCGTCCAACATATGCGTCCATGCCACTATCTAACAAATCCACCGATGCCAACACTGTCTCCTCCAGTAAACTTCTGAGCTGGCATTCCAAGATCAAACGGCCCCAAAGAGTCGCACTGCATTAAAACGTTATAATTTAAATCAGCCATCAAGGAAATCAAAACACGGCAGCCGGTGACATTATACTTATATAAGAAAGTTGAGTACCCAATTGATGCCTCCTAATCCAAGACTTCTTTCTTCATCGTATGCACGAGAAAGAAGCAGCAAATCTGTCTCATTCCTTTCGGAGGCCAAATCTCGAGGCAATCCATCTTGATTATTAACCTTCATAACGCCATCGCAGACAAAATAAACGGCAAAGTAAATAATCGTAACAAGACTACCATGCGACATGCAATCTACATAGCAAGCAGCAGGTTTCACCCAAAATTAAAACCTGGTCCCCCACTCTAGTACAACGCATACATATATTTCACGGCAAGCCTACGAATCTAAAACTGATTGTCCAAAGCCAAAGGTGAAAAGTGATTATCAGAAACCTAATATACAACACGTGAAATATCTCACAAAGAAATTAATAGCCTTCATGTCGCGGAATCAGCTATGAGCCACATGAAATAATATTACGTTTCATTAAAATTTCTAACAGAAGACAAAGAGCATAAACCTTTTCTGCATCTGGCAATTTGAGTGAGTTAGAAATATCCAGGCTGCCAGGTCCAGAACAAGCCTTTCCAGTTGAAGACTGTGCATGAGTTCCTGGGGAAGAGAACTTTCGAAGAGGAAATGCATGACACGTTTCTTCAGCATCCAATATAGATGGGCGTAACTCTTCAGTAGATACCTTAGGATGACCGTTCTGGGAAATAATAAAAGCATCCAATGAATCAGAGATTATTTGACTTGGTTGCATGCCTGCAATGCTTCCATTTAATTTCGAATCTAAGACGCTTGACTTTCCCTGCAAGGATGCTTCAGAAAGCAGTCCTCCAATGCTTATATTCGGTAGACCATCAACCCAGAGTAATGACGGTTGTTCAGGCACACTACTTATTGGCTCATTATCCTATTCAAAACAAGATAAGCATGTGTAAGAGATTGGAAATGGAACAGTATTGCATCTAAATTTCCGGACAAAACATGACTACGAGTTATTTGCATTATAACTGCTGCACAGCAGCATTTAGAAGCCATATTAGAATACAGGCAATCCACTATAAGACTTTTCAAATGTGTCAGGACCACAAACAAGAAATAATTCCACCAATAGTTCTAATTGAGGTTACTCTCATGCAAATGTGCCGAAATAACCACTTAAGATTCTTTCATGTAAACATTTTATTCCAATATTCGCCATTTAATTTTTCAAGTCAGTTAAAATATGAAATAATTGCTCAGGATCACTTTTGCTCCGATCCTCACATAAAAGGAGTAAATACATCATCTATATCCATCAGCGATTCCCATTTGTTTGTTAATTTAATAAAACCACTGCAAGAAATGCACAACAGAACATCTAAGCCACAACTTACCAGCGATAAACCTGATACAGTGGTCATTTTCTGAGCCCCAACTGCATTTGTTGCATCACCCATATCAGTTGCTTTGTGCACTATATTTACCTCATTGTGGTCATCATTCAAAGTCTTGGAATGAGCAATTCCACCTCGATGTGTACATTTAGACAGTAAGCCAGCCTCGAGAGACAATGATACCGAAGCCTCAGCCATAGATCTCAAGTCATTGGTAGAGAACCAACCATACCTTAAAAGGGGAGGACAAATCACAAAATTATAGAAACTACCCAACCCACTTAGAAAAGGAAATTTGAACAACAAAGTGATCGGACAAAATACCTCAAACGAAAAATGGCAGGGCTTCCAATGGCAGCATAGACTGCTGCTGCTGTTATATCACTATCATCCAATGTCCATCTTCTACTGGTAGACAGGTTTTCCTTTTTAGAGTATGGAAAGAGCATGGGCTCCCCTGTAGCTATTGTTGAACTTCCCCATTTCTTTTTAAGGTGTTTCAGCACTGAAGAAATTTTCTTTTGACCTCCAAGAGTGAGTTCCAAATAAGGATTATGTCCACCCTGAAGATGAAACTATGTCAGCACGTAACAATCAAGCAGACTGGTTCAGATGTAAAGCATTTTAAATTTGTCCAGAGGTTTCATGTTTTAGCATCTGACCTTTTCCAATCCTATTTGTGTGCCTTTATTTATCGGAAAAAGTTGTAACTTCATCTTTCCAGAAGAAATACTTTTTTCTTCAGGATAAAGGTCGAGAGCTTTTCTCTTTTCCATAAGAAACGTATCTTTGGCAGAAATCTCCTGGCCCATTCCCCCAGCTTCCTTGAAAGGTAAGCGGTGAACTTTTTCATCCAACAAATTTACACCGCATCCTAAAAATTGAATCAATCAGCCACAAAAAATTATCCAGTATAAGGACAAGTGAATAACAATAAGTCTTATCCTACTAAGGGAGATAGGCTAATAAAGACTAATAAACATCTGTAAAAATTTGTTAGAAGAGATGTGCAGTTCAAGCAAATAAAACAATTAATTGCCTTAAAATGAATCGTAAGAGGATAGTTCAATCCACTGATTTGGATCCAAATTTTTTCTGCATTATAGAGAAAAGAAAGATGTGTTACCATGTGCTTTGTGAATAGACGTAGTAGTTTTCTTTGACAGTTTTCTTACTCCAGTGCCTCCAGTCTTTTGAACGCACTTTCTCGAATTCTTCATAGTTTTGCGGTCAGGAGATCTGCCTGTTTTCATGATGGTTCAACTTTCCAGAAACCGACAACAGGAAATAATCCTTAATTTTTATTATGATCCTTCTTCAAGAGAAGGCAACAATTAGTATGTGAAGCTTCTGGTATGATGAAAAATTAAGCACTAGAAAATTCATCAAATGAATGCATCAGGGCTATTTTTCCGTTTCCCATTTTAGTTCCTTCTAAAATCTTTTCCGCATGATAACCTGTCCACTGTTAGGAGAACACAAGGTGTATATAGAAGACGAACAGATGACAGCAAAGCAACAGGGTCGGGGTATCTAAGTTAACAATTACCTACTTCTCTTAAATTAAAAGTAAAAAATGGACCAGATTTTACTCATTAGTCCTTTCTTTCCCAACGTTCTCAACCCCGAAGTCCAAAGATAATTGAGTGCAGTAGAAATCAAAACGAGGGCCGAACTTAAAAGCAAAGACATCCAATTGTGATTGTGATCGTAATCACATAGGCACCGCAATAAGCTAGAGTTTGGGCATACTACAAAGGCAAAACCCTAAAATGGTTTTTGGGCGTACCAAATGAAACTAAAAACTAAATTGGTTAGATGAATCTAATTAACAAGAACGCAATATCTCAATCGATATAAGAAAGTAATAGCCAAGGATATTCTAACATGAAAAATTCACGTTAGTGAGATTTATGTGAAACAAGCGGTGCGTAATTGATATTCGGAAACTTGACATACATGCCAAAAACAACACAAGCTAAGCATTTTACCGGGATAATATGCTGACGGAAAATGACTCAAAGATGACTCGAGATGGAGTAGAATTGATAAGCTAGGTAGAAATTTAACAGTTTCGAGGAGCATACCGTGCTCGAATCATAGAACTGCGTCGCACGCAGAGAAGAACGAAGAGACGGAGTGAGCGGGAAATAACGCGGAAGATATAAAAGAACGCTGACATTCAAGCAGGCATAAGGCGGCAAAGAATTTTGGTCTCAAGTCAAATTTGGGGCCTTATTGGGCTCGCTGTGCCCAAAAAAGGATACAACAACCCAAAACCCAAATTACTGATAAACAAATGTAAAAGCTAGTTGTTTTTGACTTTTGTATGGGGCTTGTGAAGAACACTTTTATTTGAGATATTTACATGCTACTTGGCTCCAAATTTAGTCTTTTTATTCCTAGTCCTTTTATGTCTTACTTTTCCATTTAGTTTGATCTTGGGGATCTCTGTGTTTGGGAAAAAATCAATTAATGACTATAGCAATTTTATCTTTTGCACCGAAAAGAATTTTAATTTGAATTCAAAGAAACATAATATATCTAATATTTAAGATATCAAATGTCAACATGTATAAATAAAAATTATAACAAGTCACATTTTTTTAATATAGTATAAAACATGGATTTTCTATGCAAATAAAAATGATTTATTGGATTTGCACCCAAAAAAAAAGGGATGGTTTATTTGAAAGGAAAAAAAATAAAAATTAAGGACAAGAGTACAGCGCAGTCCCTGAAGACAAATTTTGTATGCGCATTCAACAGAGGGCAGTGCAATTTTCAGAGCACAATCTTTCATTCTTCTGTATGTCACTGTATATTATTTAACCGTGGAAAAATTTTAAAATTAATTAAGTACCATAATTCAATGAGAATTGTATGCTCGACAGGTCAAGATATTCAAGTTATTAATATCACCCTTCAGATATCCAACGCTCCCTCATAGTATAACCAGAAACCTCTCATTATACAATCTGTTTCTCGTGTTATCACTTGGGATATTAGCCAAATATTTTCCTCAATATGAGTTTACATGTTCAAACTGACCCACAAGATACACAAAAGAAAAAAGTAATATCCACAGCACATTTCACCCTTCTCACCACACACATTATTACCAGAGACTTAGTCAATCCTTCTCTTTCATGTTCCAGTTCCAACAAAATCATCAGCATCAATAAGAAAAATCATGGCCTGGACTGTCTGCATGCATGTCCATGCCATCACTAGAGTTGGAAGAATTAGTATCCCTGTTGGGGTTATTGAGATACCCAATCTCAGTGTTCCTGTTTCCATTCCCTGATAACATGATATTACTCGAAAGGCTACCTCCCTGTGCTAACTGAAATGGCTGAAGGCTGCGACGAATGGGGCTAGACAGAGCATTGGAAAACACAGAATTCTTGCCTTGCTGATCAGGTTGCCCATTACGAATTGCCTGCCCTGTAACAGCTGCTGCAAGTGCATTAGAGGGTATGGATGCACTTATGGTATTAGTATGCATTGCAATCTGGAATTGTTGCTGGTGAAATGGCAGCCTTGGGGACATTGGTGATTCTTCTGTTCCATATTCAAGCTCATTCTACATAAAGACACAAAACTCATTATTAAGGAGTTACATTAGCTAACCTAATGCAGTTTATATGTGTTTTCATCTACAAAGAGGTATCCCAAAATGGAGTTATACTGGGTCGATCATCTCAGATCACTGTGCAAAAGATCATGACTATTGACTACGTAAAGACTAGGGTTTAATTGTTGCTTCCATCAAAAGTAAGTTTCACGGTTGAACCAACTGAAAAAAGGATCTTAGTACGATGACAAACTAGAAACAACAGAAGTTGGGTGCCTGCTCCATGAGGACCATGACCAGAACAACCTAGATGCGAAAAAAAATGGTAGGGTGTACACCATGACAAAGGAAAGTTCATAGTCAATCAATTTGGCTAGAAGAGAGAGGAGAGACAGCTCAATGGAGATGAAATGCTGCAGCACACAGAGCTTAACTCCCCCCACCTCCCGACAATTAAAAAAAATCAGTCAACATTTAGTGACTACAAGACCTTCAAATAAGAAACTATATCAATTGTTGCCGCTCTTGATCCTTCTTCTTCTTGTCTAAGAATCCATTGATATAATTTTTCCTGTACATCAGAGTAATTAATATCAATCAAACTAAGAAATAGCCACAATACCAAAGCCGACAAGAGCAAGAACAAAAATACATGGGTGCGTGCGCACCAAGCAGCTGATCATAAACAGAGAGAACAAGCTGTTTGACATAACCATGATAAAGCAGACAGAGGCATCACCAGGCAAACAAATAAAGAAAGCAAGGTCAGGTTGCTTGGTTATAAATAACAGAATTGGTCGCTGTTCAAAAATACAAGCAATTCGTAATGGTTATAAAGACCACGCTGTCAATCAGGAACTTTAAATTACTAGATTGAAAAGTACAATGCATTCAGGAGCCCTCGAGATATTTAATTCAAGACTAAAATTCTGATTTGCCTAAGTCCTTATTCACCGAAATAGAAGTGCAAGGCATCAAATGATACACTTAAACGCAAAAGTCAAATTCAAACACTTCTCCAAATTAGTTTACCAGTGGAAATAGATGGTCTGTATAGTCAATCAGTCGAAAACAAGCCAGTCTCTAGTATTGATTTCTGATGATTAATTAGAAAACTCTATTTCGTAGAAAGGAAAAGCTTCAGAAGACAATACAGTACAGGCAAAGCAAGCAGTTGAGATAAAACCTATCCGGTGAGTGATAACAGGGACTGATGATAATGTTACAAGGAAAAACGGGAAAAAAATTGTCCAGCTGCGGCAATTAGAACGAATCAAAATCCAGATATTCTCTGATCCTCCAAAAGATCGAACTAAACGAATGCTGACCGGCAGAGATTCGATTAATTTGATTAAAATTAGGATTAAAAGTAAATTACCAAAACCCATCAATTATGACTGGTGACAGAGAAAAAGGGACGGAACAAAAAAGGAAAGGGATCAAACCAGAGAGTGTCGTTCGCCAGCTTGGAAGGAGAGTTTTTGTTGGTTCATAGCCTGGGTGTAAAGGTGAGAGAGGGAGTTGGCGGCGCTGCAGAAGGTGGAGTACATGGTGCGGTCGACTTCATCGAGTCGTGTAGCGACGGACTTCCTCTTCTTGGCCATGGGAATTGAGAGGTTGGGGTTCGAAGAAGCCTGGGAATGTGATGTATTTGATTCGAGGGTTAGAGAAGGGAATAAGAAGAAAACGGTGAGGTTTTGCGGGCATAGAGGTTGGTGCTTGTGGGGAGACGGAGACGACGGTGTCGATGAATCTTCAAGTGGCGTACACGTGGCGCATCTTTCCCACTGGGCATCCATATTCATTCTCCTTTCTTTTCTTTTTTTTTTCGGCTTCCACGACTAGTTTATTAATTAATTAAGTACTTGACCACTCATCTGCATGATCACGGGACACGTGCTGTGCGAGTTAATCCTGGTGATGCACTGGCTGAATGCAGTCAAGCGAATTACAGGTTAAGACTTTGTTATCGATTTACATTGTCTTCAATTTGTCTCTTGTAAATGATAGGTCTTTTGTTGTTTTATTCTGTTCTTTTTAAAACTTTAAGTGTATTTTGTGTTCTGTCTTAATGCAAATATGAATTATTGATTAAAATTATGCAATCATTGTTTACTGAACTCGTTCTCAACTAAAAGCATGCACGATCTCCGTGCGAGTCACTCAACTGTTCAGGGATAGAGAGAATGCCCACGACACTATGTATTAGATAAAACATTTGATATGGTTGGAGTTGACTTTCCTCCTATGTAAAAGAAGGTAGAGAAGGAACTGCTGCAAGTTTAGACTATTAAATTAAATTTAATGATTTAGATATAATAAATTTTAAAAGTTTAATTTTAAACAGTTTAGATTTGTAATAAGAGAAATAGTAGGAGGGAAAGTAGTGAAAAGAACATGATTATTATCGAGAGAAAGATGATAATTAAACTTTGAATATTATAATTTTTCATATCATTAGACTATGAAAGCTCTTTATGTTCATGTATATTATAATATAATAACTTAATAATATATGAAACATTATTACTATTTTAGAAATTATTGAGAAATAGTATTGTTTCGCGTGGCATGCTCTCATTTCTTGTGGTATTTCATAACTGGCTATAAAGGTGATGTGACGCTCTAGGATATAGCTGCCTTGCACCTGTACTTTCAGACATTGTGAAAATTTGCTCAATAAGAAGCATGTTACGCGACTCTCTATGAGTATATGCAATGTGTACCGTGAATTTCTTTCCTTAAATGAATAGTGACCCAAAAAAAAAATTATTTATTTTAATGTTTATATCATAAGAGTGGGAGAAAAAGGGGCCGGGAGATTTAATTGTGCACAGTGAATTAGCAATCCTCGTGCACTGTGTAAGGGAGAAGCTGTATCTATTACGCCTATATAATATGAAAATAGAATAAGTAAGCGTTGTTTTTTTACAATTTACTGACATGGTTATCAATTTATAGTTTAGTGTGAACAATTTATTTTTTCCCCTCAGAATTAATGTGTTTCTAGGAAAAATTACAGATTTCCTTATGCCAGAGCTGATATGCATGGCATTACAAACGACAGCGGAGTCAGGGATTTTCAGCGTGGAAAGCAATGATAAATCAAGAAACTCGGCTCGACGTTAAACAGGGCCAAATAACATTGTCTCTTTCAGCAACATCCAATTGTCTCGACCGAAGAATCAATTTTACGGTGCAGCGTTGAAACAGCTCAGCTTTAAAAGACGTTATTGTTTGTCAGAAGCATTGGACGGAAGAGAGCGAAAACCATGGAGGAAAAAGGCGTGAAAGACGCCAGCTCAATGTCTCATCAAACCAGAACAGAGAGATCGCGATGCTGATAAACCACGTACGCCTTATAAAGCCACATCAACTTGGCTTCCTACTTCTGATGGGAAATCACTTCTTCCGTCATCAACCAATTACAATGTAAGCGTAAAGTTGCATTGAATCTAAGGAAGCAATTTACCACCACCACCATCACCAACCCCCTCCCCCCCTATAAGCTTTCTCAGTTCGATCCATTATGCGCAAGTAGCCATAACAGTTCGCGGCGCAAGTAAATTTGATTGTCCTCCTTCGTCACTTGTCCGTTTCAAGGCTTTTCCTTGCTTCACCTGCCAACCCATGCTTGCTCGATCACTGGACGTTAACTCTAGTAAGCAATTAGAGTTCCATGTAAAACGAAAAGAGATCCACAAATCAAGCGCTAGAGGTCAAATAACAGCGAGAAAAGCACAAGATACTCGAACTGCTTCTTTGTCTCTCTCTCAAAGACTCCACCTCTTCCTTTCCTTAATGCCTGCGCCTCCTTCCATTTTTATTAGCTTCGCTTTTCATTTAGCTAGCTCCCTCCTGATCTTTTCCCTCTGTTTGCCCCCAGGTAGGCTACATCGATCCTTTAATGGTTTCTCAAGTCTGAGAACAAGATAAACAACATGCGAAATTTCATCTGTTTCGAGGATTCTTAATTTCTTACGGTTTATTATACTTTCCCAGTTCTTGATTAAATCCCTGTTCTAATGCAGATTGATCCTCTTCTTCTTTTCTCAGTTTTTCATAAGAAATATTGAATCAATTGTTTCTCTGTGCGGAGAAATAGCAGATGTATGATTTTTCCTCTGCAGCTACATTACTATATTCATGTCGCTGATAAAATTTTAAATTTCTGAATGTCTTAAAATCCCCTCGAATAAAAGATACAATTAAATACATATTGTTTATTGGATTATTGCAGGTTAATCACCTCAAACTGTTACTGTAAATCATGCTTATTTGTTAATTTGCATGCCGTTGATAAGAAAAGAATTGGGAATTGAGACACGGCCTTGGAAGTAGATCGCGATTATCAGAATTTCATCATGTTTATTTGAATTTTGTCCTTCCTCTGAGATTAAAACCGTTGGATTTCAGAAAATCCACCTCAATATGTGTTCCGCAAGCAAGGGTAATCGGAAAGCCATCATTGATGCAGCGTCATGGATGTTCAATGTGGTCACCTCTGTGGGAATAATCATGGTCAATAAAGCTCTCATGGCCACACATGGTTTTAGTTTTGGTATCGCCTTCTCACCCCCCCCCCACTAACTTGTCCTTATCATGTCATTATTGCATTCTGAGTTTGATGCATCCGTTGTCATTACCCAGACATTATAACTCACACACACACACATGTATGCATGCATGCAGCTACAACATTAACAGGTCTGCACTTTGCCGCAACAACCTTAATGACGATCTTTCTCAAGCGGCTGGGTTATATCCAGACCTCTCATCTACCACTATCTGATCTCGTCAAATTTGTGATATTTTCTAATTTATCCATTGTGGGAATGAACGTGAGTCTGATGTGGAACTCCGTGGGATTCTATCAGGTAAAACTCGAGATCAAGAATGACTATATTTCATAATTTACAATAGCGTTATTTAACTTTTGACATGAAAATTTCAGGTAGCTAAGCTGAGTATGATACCGGTATCTTGTTTTCTGGAGGTTATACTGGACAAGGTGAGATACTCAAGGGACACAAAGCTGAGCATCGCATTGGTTCTGCTTGGCGTAGCCGTTTGCACAGTCACTGACGTAAGCGTGAATACCAAGGGTTTCTTAGCAGCTTCAGTCGCCGTTTGGAGCACCGCACTTCAGCAATATGTAAGCATGACACCAAGTCAAAAACTTATTTAGATTTTGCAAGATGCATGCTGGCAACAGATCAGCACGTAGTCACCTATCGTAAATCATATATGTTGTGTGCAGTATGTGCATTCTCTTCTGAAGAAACACTCTCTTGGATCATTCAACTTGTTAGGCCACACAGCACCGGCACAGGCAGCAAGTTTGCTTGCATTAGGTCCCTTTCTGGACTACTGGTTGACCGCCAAACGAGTTGATGCCTATGCCTATAGCGTGACACCCATTGTGAGTTCTTGCCAAATCACCAAGTCCTACGACTTATTCGTGTTGTGTGACGAATTGAAATTGATCAAGCGCTTCTCTTGCTGTGTGCAGTTATTGATCATCTTGTCTTGCAGCATCGCGGTGGGAACAAACCTCAGCCAGTTCATATGCATAGGGAGGTTCACGGCAGTGTCATTCCAAGTGATTGGGCATATGAAGACTATACTGGTTCTGATAATGGGATTCAGCTTGTTCGGAAGAGAGGGTCTAAGTGCACAAGTGGTTTCGGGAATGATAGTGTCAATAGTGGGAATGATATGGTATTGCAATGCTTCTTCTAAACCAGGAGGGAAGGAGCGACTTGTTGGCTTTTCCGATTTTCCCGGTGCTTCTGCTACCAAAACACAAGATTTCACTGCCCTACCTGTCTCTTCTGAACCCAATCACAAGGTCTAGAATAATGTTGCAAGAAAACAATAGGCTTTGAAACTTTTGTTTCCCCTCATCTCAAGTTCCCAATTAGCTCCTTCGGTTTCTTTTTCTTTAATTCACGTATTTCTCTTTGCTTTTATGTCCTCGCTTATGATGGAAAACAATTGATGAATTTAGATCCTCTGTAGTTGGGATCTATGATTTCAGTGAAGTTTGCCTCTTTTAATATTTTTTATCATTTCATTACTTCTTATAAAATGTAAAATATTTTCTCTCGCTCTTTTAAAGGCAAATTTTACTGAAATTCACAAATCTCAATTTTAGATTATTTAAATCCAAAACAATTTCTAGTGAGGGAAGACCAAAATATATTTCATTTTACCGTTTTCAGGACTGGAAAGAGCTGAGTTACCTTTTGCGGTGAAATATAACTTCTGCAAACACATTGCTCGACTAACTATCGCAAAGACCAAAGTATATAAACTTTGCTTAAATGGAAAAACTTACTTGGCTTGGGTTAGACCAGAACGCGGGCTTGACCCAGAAACAAATTAAAAAAGAAAAAAGAGAAGAAAAGAAAAGAAAGGAAAGCAAGACATGGATTATTTAGAGAGACAATTCGACGAGTACGAGTAGATCCACTTCTATGTACGCCTAGAGAAACTTGCTAGGATTGATCAATACTATATATTTACTTTTCCCCACTTAATGCAGAAATTCCAGCAAATCAAATTAAATCAAATACATTACCATTACGATCTATAGATGATGCTGACTTTTCTTCAAAAAATCGTTTTCTGCAAAGGGGTGGAAATTAATTGGCGTTCATGCAGAACTGTTCACGCCATCAACCTAATTACTCCCTCCATCCCTGTACCATGCCAGCAAAAAGTTAGTAACTAAATTAATATGGTATGAAAAAGTATGTTAGTTTGTATTTTTTTCCATAGTTTTTATAAATCATTTTTATCAACTTGATTGATATCAATATAAAAAAATATAAAAAAATAAAAGTATATGAAATTTTAAATATACTCTTATATATAATAAATTTAAAAAGTGATGTCATGTTATTTTTTTATTTTATAAAGAATAATTTTAAAAATATTTTTAAATATATATCACCTAAAAAATTATATTGTGACTTATAAATTGAATTAAATAAATTTTATAAAATATATCTTATAAATGAGATTGGAAGGAGTATACTATAAGGTGCGTGCATTACTGCATATACAGGGAACTCTTCGTCATACTCGCCGGCGGTTGAAATCCAAGGTACATGTTTGGGTTGCATACTTGCAAGATACATGCAAGACCAGCCACTTCAAATGCTGCGTTTCGCCAGAGCGCCAGATAAAAATGAGTTATCGCAACATGGAAGCGCCTAACATGAACTGAAATGTTAGGTGGACTTGATTGTCTGGGCCTTGAGAGAGAACAAGTAACAACAGAAGAGTACCGCATTTATAGTATACAGGCCACGATCGGCAAAATAATACTTTATTAGTTATATTCGGCCGTCCATTGACCAAGTTAACACAGGGTATTACTTTGCATACTTCCTCTATGCATAAATATAAAATATATTTTTAAAAATTAAATATTTAAAAATATAAAAAAAATTTAATCTTTTGAGGTGTAACTGCCAATAAAATATTTATTTACTTTTAAATTAACTCTATCTTTTTATATTTACTCCTATTAAATACTCCATAATAAACATAAAATCATTATCAATATGGGCACTTTTGAAAAAAAAAAGACAATAATTATACTTTAAAAAATTAAAAATATATTATATTTTTTAACACCCAAGTCATTAAAAAATGACTTAAAAGAGTACATATTTTATATAAAACATATACAAATAATATGTGAACGAGAGTGTCACAATTTATAATGATATGCCCTGCCCAAATTTTACAGAAGGCGTGAAAGGAGAGCATTATATACTAAGTCGATCCCCTCTCTCTCGTTTTCTTTTTTTGTTTTTCTTTTAAATTTTTAAGATAACGTGGGTGGGCGGATTTGATACATGTTTGTAATCTAAAAATTTAATTTTGTTTTCTTGGCTCCTTTTCATCTGCAAGTAGTTAAACTTTACCCTGAAAAGTTTTTACACGCACTTGTGTGGTATATTTATTCTTTGAATGATAAACTACGAAATTGATTTACACAGCAGATTTAACGCGTTCAACTCAGATGACAAGTCCTCGAAAAAGGCGTTCAAAATAATTCACGACTCAAAATATTCAAAAAAAAAAAAGGAATCAATATTTACATGTGATATCTAGCAGGGAGATTTGCGAATCTAAAGGCCACGCCTCTTGGGGAAGGCTGGGAAAAACAGCTCTTGTGGGGTCGTGTCCTATCAGGAAGCATGAACACGGATTAATTTCTCCTCGTTACCCCCAAGCTTCTGCACATATAAAAATGGTAAAACGCCAAAAATTATGTCATAACGCAGTCTACGGGGGACCCACTTTGTCCATTTTATCATTTTCATTTTTTCTGGTAACTGTGGTCCACCAGCCCATGCGGGCCTTGCCCTAACCTAACATTTCGCTACTTCCGCGGCAAAACTGGGACGCTCCTTCCGTTTTTTTAACTTTTTACACCTCTCCATTCAATTTTTATAATCTTTCTTTGGTCTTTCTCATATATTTTACTAAAATTAAAGAAATACTTAAAATTTATTAATTTTATCTTAAATTTTAATAATTTTTTTGATATGTTAAAATATATATATATGTATGTATTAATAATGCAGGCTCTCTCACCAATATTTAATAAGATAAAAAGAGGAATTTGCAATAAAATTTTATAAATATGATCAAGAAATATTACTCTCTGAGTCTCATAAAAAGTACCATAAAAACTTGCTTGCCTCTGCCTTCTAAATCGTGTTTCATCTTTTTAACTATTGAGGTGGACTAAGTACAGATCAAAACATTCTGACCTTCTAACTAATATAGCGTAATTTGTTTGTTAAAAAGTTGCCCGAAATTTTGTTATAGATGCAGGTTGACATATTGCTAATTTTTTAGGGTTTATCACATGTTGCTATTGATTAAGGAGGAAGCTCAAAGCGCCATGCAATGAGATCGTTGCTGTCACTCTCGGAAAGTGTACCCCTGGCTCTCGTGCGGCGTTCATTTTCATTCTCATCTGAGTCATCTCTTTTATTGTACTCCTCATTTAATGCATGGAACGGCCAACTCTGGTGTGGGACCCATCTTCCCTCTCTTCCATCCCTCTCTGCATGTTTACCGGGTCCGCCTTAATAAACTTCCTATTACTCGGACCCGTCGGTCCAATTAAATTAGTTTAGAATCGCCTTTTAATCCAGTGTTATTTCACATCTATCACAAAATTGGGCCTCGTATGGACTGGCCCGAAATCTTCTGGAATATCTTTTTCCCGAATCAAATCTATACGTTATTATTGAAGGGTTATGAAATCAGCATGTCTTGATTAAGATTTCAATAATAAAGTTAGGAATTTTGTGGTTGGTGATGAATAATGATGGAATTGGTGACGGGGGAAGATAAAATGGAAGAAAGAAAATGGAAAAGGGCGGGGGGGTGAGAGAGGAGAGTGACAGTGAGAGGTTGGCCAGCGTGTCGGTAAGAAGGCAGTCAAAGGGAGGGAGGGTTGGAGTTTAATTGGGCCACGTCAACGTGATGGACAAGTGCACGTGTTGATCGCAGCTTGAGGTCCCTCCACATCTTAATCATCACCCTCATCATCATTTTTCTCCTCTTCTCTTTTTTAGTTTTTCCTTGTTTTCCTTTTTCCTTCCCTCTCTCTTCTCTCTGTCACTAAACCCACCCCCACTCGCCCCTTTCTCCTTCATTTTCAGCGCCCGTTCTATTCATTCGCATGACCTGACCCGCCCATCAACCTCGGGTCCCCCGCCCATTCAAGCTTGTGTGGGTCCACCTCTCCCTTTTTCTTTTCATCTTGCTTTCTTTTTTCCTTTTTAATCAAATAAAGTTTATGTAAAACAGGAAATTGAGTTTTACAAACTTATTATGGTTTAAACATATTTTTAAATTTAAAAAATACTAATAAAAATATTTATATATTATCCATTAATAAAGTCTTCACATTGATAACAAGTTCTAATTCCATGACATTATAAGTTATGAATTCAATTCTGATAAATTAAACCAAGTTTATTAATTTCCCTCTTTTCTGGGCTAAAAAAGCTATACCACAATCTATTGAAATTCGTTAACCAAAAAAAAAACAGGAAGAGAAATAATTAAGTAATTAGATCATATCAATTCATTGTTAAAATTATATTGTCAGCAATTTTGATCATAGATGGGTGGAAGTTAATCGAGAATTGTTAAAAAAAAAATTTAAATAAGGTCCAGCATGCTTGCATGTATTTTATTGCATTCACCCAACTTCTTTTTCTTTTGAACTGAACGCATTTTATCATTTGGGAAAACTATAACAAGCTCCATAGAGCCCATTTTCATTTGTAGGAGTCGTGACATGAGATTATCTTGAATGTCTGACATGGTTCACACACTTAAATGATTTTTATACAAAAAATTTAGATATGTCTAAAAAAATTCACAAAATTTGCCACATTACCTAGCTGGAGAAAAATAAACAAGGAAAGATAAGCTTTTATTTTTCACTTGCTTGGTTTGCTAAGAGACAACAGTATTGCTAATCTTTTTTAATAAATAAACACAGTGTCCATAGATTTGAACAAATGCTGGGCATGTCAAAGATAAAAAGTCTTAGACGTAGTCAGAGGTTCCTGAGATCTCTTATCTCAATCCACCCAAGTGCAAAAGTGTAAGAATAACTAAAAGAATGTAACTTGATTATTAAACTAAGTTGCAAGCACTGCAATGATTACAATAGAACTAACATGCAACTTGAATTCTGAATACAAAACAATGTAGAAGGTAGCTTGTGCAGTGAAGTGTTTTAAGTGAGTTCTTAACTTTTTCTTACTGTCTTCTTTCTTCTTTGGAGCTACATTTGATCTAGGTCTATTGGTCTCACAACATTTAAAGCTCTTACGTTGAAATATCTGCCATTCATGGCACCATTTTATCAAGATTAAGGACACATCCAAGTAATGGTTTCTCTGGCTACATTATTCCAAATCTTAAAAGTCACATTTCCTTTATAACGCAGCGCTTACTTAATCTATGCAACGGCCTTGCGAGATTTGAGGCATATGCCATGATAATGGCCCCACATTCAAATAACAATCCTTCACATTTAATCACTTTGAATTGTCTAGGTTATGTTCTCTCCCTGCCTCAGCACATGCCAAGCATGGACATTTGCCTTTGAGTAGACCTAGCCTTGTCTTAATTGATGTATTATTGGGCTTGATGTTTCCTCTTCATTCTCTGTAGGTGTTTATTTTTGTTGTTTTATTTTTGACCCAAACATACAGTAATATTTTATTGGGCAAAATCTTACCAGGTTCAACTCCGTAAATGTCTTATACAACTTGTTCTACCATGCACTTTGTTGCAACTATCTAGGGCAATGGTTATTTAATTTATATTCTTATAATTAATCGTAATACTTCCTTGCGTCTTTATTATAATTAGTCACCTATAATCAACTCGCGATGACAAAAAAGTAGTTACGTCGTTGTTGAAATTTTCTAAAAAAACATGTTGATGTTTATTTCCACCCTTAATAAAAAAATCACGGACTGAAAAGAATAGATATTGTTTATTTGCTCACTGAAAATTGAGAAGGATAACATACTTGAAATAAAGTAATTAATGCTATATAAATCCTTGAAGAGTGGTTTATATTTAAAACCATTAATTTTTTGTAGAAAGCGACTCGTGTGTAGGGTAAAATGGAATACTTTAATATTGCTACTTACTCGAACCAATGTTTTTTTATTATTTAGACTAATTTAATTCAAAATATGTATTAAATTAATTTTATTTTGTTAACAAATGCAGGCAATGATAAAATAAAGTTAAAAGATAACCCAAAAAAAAATGCTTTCATGTTTTCAACCTTGCAAAATAACATACTTTTGGGAAAAAATATTCTCGACCTTCTTGTAGATAAAAAAGTGAAATATGTGACCTGGTTTTCGAGGAGCATACTCTATAGGGAGTAAAATTTCAATAAAGTATGATAAAATGAAACAAACAAGATTCTTAACGTAACGAAAATGAGAAGGGGGAATGCAAGAAATTTTACAGGGAAGAGGACGGTATTTTAATGTTGCTATATTTATTTTTCATTTGATAGTACAAAAAAGTTTTTGATGGAAGTAAAATTGAAAAAGGAAGTGGAAATGGAAGAGAGAGTAAGGTGGAAGTGAGGTTTTAAAACATGTTTGGCATGCACATAAAATTAGAATACAATTTTTAATTAAAATATTTATATCTGACGTGAGAATACCAAAGTGCTCCCAACCGAAAAAAAAATCAATCCGCCACCTGCATTCATAGCCATGAACCATCAACTTCAAAGAAAAAAAAACTTCCATCAAACTCGAGAATTGAAGGCAAACAAAATCTAACTAGCATTCGAGTATTCAACAATTGCTCCCAAGATTATTTTAAAATGGCTGAGCTACAATGTCTTAGATTCAAAAGGAGTCACGTAATTTCTCATTACCTTGGAATGACATGCCAACAAAAAAAGTTAACTCCAGTTTTACTTCATGATTCAAAAGAATCTTTCCAATGCAAATAGATTGCGAGTTTGAAGAAGGCATAGATAAATGATCGTTAGGAAGCCTTACTCAGGTTAGCAATGGGTGGCATCGACATTCAATGATGTTCAATGATTCAAGGTATGCATGGGGCAAATTGGCTAATAGTGGTGAGAAAGTCAAGGGACACCATGGAAGAGGTGGAGGAGACAATGAAAGTCGAAGGCATTTTAGTGCACGGCTGAGAATGATCAGGGCCCTCGCCTTCTCTCTTGCTTAACTATCGCTGGCTTCAACTTTTGTTGTTGAGCTCGGTTGCCTTGCCAGAGCTAGCCACTGTTGTTGTCTTCTCATGCTACCGTCGTCGATGGGAGCCGAGGGAAGGAGGTGGGTCATTGAGGAAGAAGAGAGAATATGAGATCTAAAAGGGTAAAGATGAAAGCAGGAATGATGGAAATAAGTTCCATCGAGGGCATCATGGAAGTAGGTTTCCTCAAGAATTGGGTTCAAGCATATACGACTTTTAGACTCTTGCTTTCACTTTTATCCTCTTGATTTCAATTCCAACATACCAAATAAGCCATTAATGATCTTCTGATCCTCCCTATTCTTTATTGGAAATGAGAGAACAATTCATTAAATATTCCCCTCTATTTCTTTTATGACATGCTTAAATTAATGGAGATTTAGGTTTGGATTTGATCTATTTCAATTTATAATTCATTTTATAATTTTAACCTTTTTTATAATCTAATCATTTAAAATTATAATCACTCCAAACATTTTATTATCTTCAAATTTTTTCTAATATCTTGATGATTCTCATATCTTTTATCATTTTTATTAATTAAAATAGTAAAAATAAACCTATCATTTTTAATTTTGTCATTTCATTTAGAATATCAATTCATCTATTTTTTTTCTTTTATCATTTTTATTGATTAAAATATTAAAAATAAACCTGTCATTTTTAATTTTTTCATTTCATTTAGAATATCAATTCATCTATTTTTTCATTTGAAAATTTTAAATTATTTAAATGTAAAATTTTAAATACCTGAATTTTCAATGTAAAATTTAAAATACAAAATTTAAAATTTAAAATTAAAATCAAAATCCATAAATCCAAGCGCCTAGACAGTGATAAAGGAGCGAATTCCCTGATTTGACATACCTTTCCGATGAAACGTGACAAATTAAGCATGCCGTAAGAAAAATGATAGAAATAACTTGATACGTTTTGTCCTGGGCTTTTTTTTTTCTAGAAAAAATGATAATTATGGATTTCTTGAGAACATTAATAATAATTGCACATTCTAAATTTTTAAATTTTTAATAATAGGTTATGATCCTTATTTATAATAAATTATTTTTTATTGATTGATTTAAAATCTACAATAAACTTTTGTAAATTTTTAACTAATGTTATGAAAATTTTTAAGTATGTTTTATTTATTTTTTAAGTGATAATAAAAAATTACAAGCGATTGATTTCTAATTCACGAATTTACATAAATTTTCAACTTATATTAGAAATAATCCTAAATATATTAGGTCAAAAATCTCAAGTGGTTGGCTTTAGATTTACAACTTACTCTCACAAATTCTTAACTAACATTATAAATAATATTAAGTGCATTTTTTTGTTTTTTAAATAATTTATTTATATATTGATAATAAAAAATTGAGATTTGTAACTTACTCTCAAATTTCAAACTAATATTACAAACAATTTGAAGTATATTTTATTGATTACCCGATTATTATTTATATTTTTTAGTTACATGCAAGGATCATGAACTGTTATTAAAATTTTAATAATTTAAAATATATAGTTGTCATTGATGTTTTTATAAGTTTCTAATTGTCATTTTTTCTCTTTTTTCTATGTTTTATCTCCTTGTAGTGCCGTTCTCATTTCTTAGTTACGAGTTTGGTTAAAGTTATTTATTTATATGCTACTTTAATTAAATTATTTATTTACAGTCTTGAAAGGATATTCCAGGAGAGATTGACTTTCTTATTTGTTATAAATACTTATAAATTAGAATACTGTAAACATTATTTGTCGAGAGTAGACTGAAATATATATTTACACATACCTCTTCTTAAAATTTTATTTAATTTTTTTACTTGATCGAGTTAAGAGGGAATGATGACAAGGAGGAGGCATTTGAGTGTGAAATAATGAAGGCGATGATGGAAATAGATGCGGGGGAAAATCATCTAAGTGAAATAAAGTGGCTGCTGACGTCAGCAAAAGATTCACCTTTTCCCCCGTCCCGACGCAGCAGATATAATAACTGTAAAAACTGATGAGTATAACCTATCCTCCCAGATCATCAAAGAATCTACATGACCGCTTACTCACTTCACTGGCGCCTGGCCCCATCAATTTCATCAAAACTGTATACTATTTCTCGGCAAACAAATTCCCCACTTCGCTAAACATGTTATTATATTGATTGTAAGTTGTTGATCAACAGTACTACCAGGAGATATTGATGTATAGTTCACGGACAACTTATGTAGATTTAATCTCTCATATTTTATTATAGGTATAATAATTGAAGGCAAAAGTAAAAGTGAATGGGTATCTAGCTAAAAGTTTTTCATGTGGATATAATAAGCGTTCAGTGATTGGAAATTGCAGTGCCATAATTAAGCACGATCTTGCCATGCCATGCACGGTGGCACCCCCACCCCCAACACTTTATCTCGTCACCTTGCAACAAAATCATCAGGTTACTATTTCAGTCGTCGTACTCAAAGTCTCTCTCTTTGAGTTGGCTTTTCCATGAGCGTCAAAACTCAAGTGGCAACTAAACTACAATGTAATATTTAACATTTCTATCTTGCGACTAGTTTTTGTTATTTATATTAATAATAATTATAATAACCCGATACATGCCCCGAAATTATCTCTTGACTAAAAAGTATACATTAAGAATAAGATTGCCCTTCATTTTTATTTCCGAAAACAAAAAAAAAAAAAAAAAGCTTTGGCAAGAAGTACGAGGTCGTGCTCATTTTAGCATTTTCTCCTACCGTTTGTTTAATCCCCGAAAAGGAGGCGTGGGGGCGGGGAAATCGATGAATGTAAAAAAAGAAAAGAAAAGCGGCCAATAACTTAATTAAGACCCTCGTGAAGCAGAAGATCCCGATTAATTAAGAGAAGGAATCTCCATTAATTGATGGCGATGGATCAATGCTCGGTCGCACGTACGCGGAAAGCTAGAGAGAACAAACTGACAATTTTGCTTAGAGAGAGGAACTGATTGCAGCATTGGAGCAGTGTCGCCCTCTCTCCCCAAACACAAACATTAAATTTAATACTAGTAGTAATAATTTATATCGGGAGCGAGGCGGATTTGAGAGCCAAGAGGAGAGAACACTAATCGAAAAGAAAAAGAAAAGAAATTTTGAACATGTGAGAGGGATCAGAAGCTGTGTGGTGGCCGCTGGCTTCACCTCTGATAAATACCCTTGTCACCTAGTTCACCAGGACTTTTGACTCCCCTGGCCCCCTATCATCCTCTTCCTCACTTCCTCTCTCTAATCTTCTTCACTCAAATCGCTTTCTCCCTCTACAGTGTCTCCCAGAGCTTCTGCGCTCTCCCTCTAATGGCAGACCTCATGTCCTAAGAGGGAAAAAAAGAGAAAAAGAAATACCCGCTCATTCTCACTCTCTGCTTCACAAGATGAAACCCCTCTCTCCCGCCAACTACCATGGCTCTTACCTCCTCTTATTCTCCCTAACTGTTCTCTCCCTCCAGCCTACTCCCTCCTCCTCTGGTCCTTCAGCTTTCTCGGACGAAACCCGCCAGCTTCTCACCTTCAAGAATTCCCTCCCTGACCCCTCCTGCCTCCAAAACTGGCTCCCTGATCACAATCCCTGTTCCTTTGTTCGGGTTTCTTGCCGGGATGCCCTCGTTTCTTCCGTAGACCTCAGCTTTATCCCCTTGAACACTAATTTCAGCCTTGTCTCTGCCTATCTCCTCACCCTCGACCACCTGCAAGTTCTTAATCTGCAGTCCACCAATCTCTCCGGCACCATTTCTTTCTCTCCTGGCTCCAGGTGTGGCGGCTCATTGAGCTTCTTGGATCTCTCTCAGAACATTTTGTCTGGTCCCGTTTCGTCCTTGAACTCTTTGTCCTCTTGTTCGGCTCTGAAGTCTCTCAACCTTTCAAATAATCTCCTCGAATTTTCGGGGGGAGATTCGACTGGGTTGAGGCTCAGTCTCCAGGTCCTCGATCTCTCTTACAACAATAAGATTTCGGGTCCCAACGTTCTCCCGTGGATCTTATCACAGGGTTGCGACGTCATGAACCTCTTGGCTCTAAGGGGCAACAAAATCACCGGGGAAATGAACTTTTCGACTTGCAAGGCTTTGCAGCATCTGGACCTTTCCTTTAACAATTTCTCTCTCGCGGTTCCTTCTTTTGGTGAGTGTCTGGCTTTAGAGTACCTCGACATCTCTGCTAATAAGTTTTACGGTGACATTGGTCACGCCCTCTCCAGTTGCAAGCAGCTCAGCTACTTGAACATCTCCAGCAACGGGTTCTCCGGTCCTGTTCCTTCACTTCCATCCGGTTCTTTACAGTTCTTATATCTCGCCGGCAACAACTTCCAGGGACAGATTCCTGCTGGCCTTTCTGACTTGTGCCCCACCCTGGTAGTACTCGATCTTTCCTCAAACAACCTTTCCGGCGTCCTTCCGAGCGATTTCAGGGCTTGTTCTTCATTGGAATCTTTTGATATATCCTACAACAAGTTCACCGGCGAACTTCCGATTGATTTTTTCGCAGAATTGAGTGGCTTGAAGAGGCTTGTTCTTTCCTTTAATGATTTCACTGGTACCCTGCCTCAGACTCTGTCTCAGTTTTCGAAATTGGAGTCGTTGGATCTGAGCTCGAATAACCTCACTGGCTCAATTCCTGGAGGGCTCTGTGAAGATCCGAGGAATAATTTGAAAGAAATATACCTGCAGAACAATCTGTTGACGGGTTCTATTCCACCCACACTCAGCAACTGTTCTCAGCTAGTGGCTTTGGATTTGAGTTTCAACTACTTGACGGGGACTATCCCTTCCAGCTTTGGGTCCCTCTCAAAACTCAAAGACTTGATTCTTTGGCTTAACCAGCTCCATGGAGAAATACCCCAAGAGCTTAAGCACGTTAAGACTCTAGAGAATTTGATTCTGGACTTCAATGAGCTGACTGGGACCATTCCTTCTGGTTTAAGCAACTGCACAAGCATGAATTGGCTGTCCTTGTCTAATAACAGGTTGAGCGGGGAGATTCCGGCATGGATTGGTCAGCTTTCAAATCTTGCGATCTTGAAATTGAGTAATAACTCCTTCTCTGGGAGGATCCCGCCGGAGCTTGGGGATTGTCCAAGGTTGATTTGGTTGGATCTGAATACTAATTATCTGAATGGATCAATTCCTCCCGAGTTGTTTAAGCAGTCGGGCAAAATTGAAGTTAATTTCATTAGTCGAAAGACATATGTTTATATCAAGACTGACGGTAGTAAGGAGTGTCATGGAGCAGGAAATTTGCTAGAGTTTGCCGGTATCAGTCTGGAGCAGATGAGCAGAATTTCATCCAGGAGCCCTTGCAACTTAACTAGCTTCACTAGAGTTTATAATGGTAAGGTCCGTCCCAAGTTTAATCGTGGTTCTATGATATTTTTGGACATTTCCCATAATATGTTGTCGGGTACTCTTCCCGAGGAGATCGGGAGCATGAACACTTTGTTTATTTTGAACTTGGGATACAACAATTTATGTGGGAACATCCCACCGGAATTTGGGGACATGAAAAATCTCAACATTCTTGATCTCTCCAACAATAGGCTCGAAGGACAGATTCCTCAATCCTTGACAGGCATTTCCATGCTTACGGAAATTGATTTGTCAAACAACAATCTCTCAGGATTGATTCCTGAATCCGGTCAATTTGATACCTTTCCAGCAGCCAAATTTGCAAATAATTCTGGTCTCTGTGGTGTCCCTCTTGCTTCATGTGGATCGGACTCAAGATCAAGTGCAACTGCCCGGCACCAGAGGTCTAACCAGAGGCGAGCATCTCTAGCAAGGAGTGTGTCCATTGGTTTGCTGTTCGCCCTGTTTTGCATTCTTGGTCTTATTATAATCGCCTTCGAGGCAAGAAAGAGGAGGAAGAAGAAAGAGGCTGCCCTGGACGTCTACATCGACAGTCCCTCTCACTCAGGCACAGCTAATGCTGGCTGGAAGTTCAGTGCCCGCGAAGCTCTTAGCATAAATCTTGCAACTTTTGAGAAGCCCCTTCGGAAGCTTACTTTTGCGGATCTTCTTGAAGCCACGAATGGTTTCCACAACGACAGTCTTATTGGTAAAGGTGGTTTTGGAGATGTATACAAGGCTCAGTTGAAAGATGGGAGTGTAGTGGCGATTAAGAAACTGATTCATATCAGTGGACAAGGGGACAGGGAATTCACTGCTGAAATGGAAACTATCGGGAAAATTAAGCATCGGAACCTTGTTCCCCTTCTCGGATACTGCAAAGTTGGAGAAGAAAGACTCTTGGTTTATGAATACATGAAATATGGAAGCCTCGAGGATGTTTTGCACGATCAGAAGAAAGCCGGGATAAAGCTGAACTGGGCAGTCAGGAGGAAGATTGCAATGGGAGCTGCTAGGGGATTGGCTTTTCTTCACCACAATTGCATTCCTCATATCATTCACAGAGACATGAAATCAAGCAATGTATTGCTTGATGGGAATCTGGAAGCCAGAGTCTCCGATTTTGGAATGGCTAGGCTTATGAGCGCCATGGATACCCATTTAAGTGTCAGCACACTAGCAGGCACCCCTGGGTATGTTCCTCCCGAGTACTACCAAAGCTTTAGATGCTCTACTAAAGGTGACGTTTATAGTTACGGTGTAGTTCTGTTGGAGCTACTTACAGGGAAACGACCCACGGATTCATCAGATTTTGGTGATAACAATCTTGTGGGATGGGTTAAACAGCATGCTAAATTAAAAATAAGTGATGTTTTTGACCCAGAGCTGATGAAAGAGGATCCGAGTCTTGAAATTGAGCTTTTGCAACACTTGAGAGTAGCTTGTGCTTGTCTGGACGATCGACCTTTTCGGCGTCCCACCATGATTCAAGTGATTTCAATGTTTAAGGAAATCCAAGCAGGATCTGGGATGGATTCCCAGTCTACCATCACGAGTGAGGATGGCGGTTTTGGCTCCATGGAAATGATAGACTGAGCATAAAAGAAATCCCTGAACTAGGCAGCAGGCGATAATTCTTTGGGGAAAAGGACGAAAGAAGCAGTGGCTGATGACATCAGCTCCCCCGAAAGAATTTTCCTTGGAAAAAGAGAAAACGAGTAAAAGTGGGAAATGGGAATTGCCTGTGTTTCTGCCCTTTGATGTAAGTAATATTGTTTTTATACATAAACTGTTGCTCGAACTGAGATAAATTTTTATTTTACATAAACACAGACGGCTCCAGTTGTTTCCTTGCCGTCGTTGTTCTCTAGATTTTGAAAGCATCATCGATTCAAATAATGCCGAGATGGGGCCCTGCATCTTACGACCCCAGTGACGGTGACTAAGTGAACCATCTTTTGGACCTTTGTTCAAGCCGTTTGATAGATTTGCTCGCCTCCCCGTTCATTCAGCTACATTTGCTCCAATTTGCGAAAGGATTTGTCAAAACATGCCTTTAAATGACTAGAACGCGGGTTTCTCGATTAAGAAACTCAATCCCTCCATTCATTCACGTTGTTTTTAGTTGGTAACCATGGTTTGATTAAAGCTCTTTGCCTGGAGGGAATACACCGCTCCTCTTGCAGCATTTTCCTTCTGCTGATGGATCATCATGTCTCCTTGACCAGTTTGCATCCCTTCCATCCCTCCGCTTGTTTAACCCTCTTTCCCATGCCACTTCGTCCAATTAAAGCAATAATCTATGATGTGGATGGATGGTACATGTATTTTCGTTATTGAGCGTGTCCTTTTCTCTCATTTGCCCCTCAATAAATTAACTGCATGAAAATTTGTCTCTCTGCCAGTTGAGAGACTAATACGAGATAGATACCAAGCCTTGCACGACAGTGACTTCCGACAAGAGACCTCTCAACAGCATTGGGATGGTTAATACCCAGTGCCGCACAAATCAACATTGTAGCGTTTTCACTGAGTATCAGGAATCTCAAAGACCAAATAAACTCGTTTTCTGATTCGGAAAAACGGGAGGAAGTGAGTGCATCTTGTCTGTTTCCTGACTATGTACGCTTAGCATGTGATCTGGTCATCTGGAGTTCTGGACCTGGTGAATTATATTATTTGTTTCTCTGACTCGGACTGGGAAAATGTGCGATGTGGTGGCCACCGAATTTTGACCCTTCTCGATTAGCATGTAGCTCTATAAATTAACAATGAAGAATCGTTTGCCTCACGCGGTGGCAAACATTGTGTTATAAATTACTCGATTTCGATTGTTCTGGCATAATCACAGTCAACATGTGCGCTTCGAGGACAGGAACCACTGTTTTGACATTTCCTTCGACGAAGTAAATTACTTCGATTTATTTATTTATTTAGGAAAAAAGGGAAGTGACTACTTTTTAAGTATATTGTGGAGAAGTTGGTAAACTGCGTTCGCGTATTTTGAAGCACAAGTTCCCTCCTCACAGCTATTAATTGGCAATCCACACCTGTCCTTTTTTTTTTTGGACCAGAAATTCACACCTGTTCTACAAGTTTTAAAGCTGGAAATAAAAGTTAAGCTTGAATGATTGCCTATTTAAATTTATTTTTATAAGTGTTTGAATTTTAAAAAAATATCATTCCTTTGGAGAAATAAAGCTTTGAAGCCTAATCTCAATAGGCTTTGAAAAAAGAGATCCGGGTGGCTTTTTAAACTCTTTTTTATTTTAACTTTAAGAAAATATTTAAACTTCAAATTTTAAAATATATGTTTATAATTTAAAATTTAATTTTCTAGTATTTATTTTCAATTTTTTAATATTATAATTTTTATTTTAAAAAATATGAAATGTTATAATTAAAAATTTTAATTTTTAAAAAATTTAAAAAATAAAAAAATAATGAAGGACTTAAGGGTTCATCTCTAAGCCATCTCATTTGAACGGGAGTTGAGTTTCAAAAATAAAATATTTTTAAAAGAAAATCAAATTTAAAGGCGAGACCTATAAGAATTGAGCGGCCCGTTTTTCACCCCCATTTCAGAGTAATGCATTCGTATCATTTAATATTGTCCTGTTATGTACCCTATTTCTCTGTCTCGCGCAGCTAGTTTTATTTTTTAATTATTCTTATTTTATTTTTTTTATCAACGTCCTGTCTTTTCTTGTTCTATCGTCCCGGTTACAATCCAGCTGGGAACACCTCGGTGTCCTCGAATCTGTCATTAGATTAGATATACTTGCCGCCGCTGATGCATTTTTTGAAAGTACATCCAGTGGTACGTAATAGGATTTAATTACCCCGCCCACGCAACGTCTCTGGTATTATTATTGTCCATATTTCCCTTTGAATCTGCGCCGTTGGTCCCAGAGAAAAATGCCCCATATTAGGTTAATAACTTCAATATGCCCTACTCAGAGATCTTGAAAATGTTAGTGCAGTAGAGTATGCCACTTTTCATCAGAATTTTAACGCCACAGGCATAGCGAGGCCAATATAATCAATAAAAAATGATCCAAGCCGTCATCTCAAGAAACAAAACATAAGCAACTTGAATTAAGAAAGATGGAAGTTTTAGCTTAAGCAGAGCACATGATAGGAGGGAGAGGGAGGGGAAGACCGTACGAACGGCGGCCGACCCCGGAAGTGATTGAAGAGGGAAGGAAATGAAAGCCAAGGGAAGGGGGGGAGTCGAGAATCGTGTGGTACGCACATTCCTGGCGACATGTGGAAGCGTGACACGTGGGCCACCCGGCCACCTGACCCTGTCGGAAATCTTATCAGCCAACGTCGTCTTTGCGGTGCGACATCGTCGCTTTCGGGTCCAGCTTTAATTGACTCCGGCAGTTCAAAAAAGGAAAAAAGAAAAAAAAGAAAAGGTTATATAATACACAAATAAACACCCTCTGAGGCGCTCTGAATCCTTTCGAAGTGCCGTTACACGACTGAGGCCGGGGGATTGGGCCACTATCATTGCCAGGTGGCAGAAGGGATAAAGTCAACAGGAGCATCATCAGAGAGATAAACCCGCCCCATTGATCACATCAGATTCATTCAGGTTCCGTTGCATCTGATTTCTATGAAGGATTCAGCGAGGGACCAGAGATAAGATGCAGCGGGAATACTCGCAGACACAGAAACAGTGATGGAGGAGAGGTAGGGGCCATCCTCACGAGTCATCGGCAGGGAATGAACAGCCTCAGCTCCCAGGCTCTCTTACGATTTATGGAAATTCACTGTTCATCCTAACAATAAAACAAATAATAATTACGCAACAAGTGTACGGCCCCGCGTCCGTCTTTCGTCCTATGTCGGTCGCGAACGCTAGCTAGCTAATTAATCAGATACAGTGTCCTTAGGCAGTGGAATACGTAGAGGGGGAGTGCGAACGGGGCACACGATGGAGGGAACGCGAAGTGTTGGAAGGGGTTTGTTTTGTTGGGTGGGGATGCAGAGGGTCGCGATCAAGTGCGGGTAGCGGCTACATCTGCCCACGTGCGCTCGGCCTGGCACAGACAAACCGGCACAAGGCGAGGCCTTGTATATATTATTGCGGGTGTTAAATGAATGGGCTACATGTGTGGTGGTGGTTGATGAATGATGATTCAAGCTACGTTACTGATCCAATCCTTGGATGATGACAGGGGATGCATAAATGGGAGAATGAAAGGGTAGGTGAAGGGGCTCTCCATCCGACCTCTCTAGATCGCTCTATAATAAAGGTAGTGTTCAACTCATGGGTCACGTTTTCCCATTCCCACTCGCAGTCCCTGTCCAGGATTTGTTTAACATCCTGAGAGTATGAATATAAACGAAGGAAGACGCGAGGGTTTTACGTGAAACTAGGTTAAACCGATATACTACGGAGAGAAAAAGTGCCTTAGAAGTGAGGGGAGGATGAAGGTGGAGGTCACGAGGCAGCACCGTGGTGGCTCTCCCATGCTCGAAAGCTCGGGCTTGTCTTTTTGTCATGGCTTTAAGCGAATCAATTCAGTTGACGCTTTCTCATAAACCCACACTTTGTTTTAAACTTTTTGAATGCAACATGCTGCTCCCGCTTCCCCCCATTTCTTTGCTCTTCACATTTTCCGACTCCCTCGCTCCAGGTTTTGTACCCTCTCTGTTTTTTTGTTTTTAACATTCAAACGGATAAATAACAGAGAATTCCCTTTCTATGAAAATACCATATGCGGTCCCAATTGAGCTCATCGTGCAACAACAACTTGGCGTTGGGTGTCATTTTTGTTCATTATACTTAACTGTCAGGGATTTTATTGTTTCCTAGTTAAGCTTGAATGTTATTTCAACCAATATATATGTATGACATACTAAAAGAAGAAGAAAAATGTAATCACACCCTCAAGTCTCAACTGGATGGATGCCTGGGCTCAAAGTCAGTGACCTGCAGAACAGTTTGTTACTGGAATGAGCGTCTTTAGTAACTCAAGGTTGGACAGATTGCTGATCCAGTCCAAAGCTCGAGATCGGGCCAAAAAGAAAAAACTAAAAGTCCAAACTCTCGATTATAACACGCTTAGGGAAGCCTCAAGAATCGACGGGATACATGTCTGGTCCATAACTACTACCCAAATTTCTTTTTGACCTTTTACTCCTTTTACACATAGTTGTCATTTTCCAACCTCTGAACTCTTTTTGTTTGGCTCAAAAAAAAAACCCCCCCCCTGGGGCCCAAAAAATGCACATGCACAACCTGACATATCTTCCCATGGCAAAGAGAACTCGCGCAATACTTGCGGTTCGGACTCGCGACGTCGGGGTACTTCGCGCCATTAAGCTATCAAGGCATTGTCAATTTTTTTTTTATTAAAAAAACGTTAGTCAATCACCGGTTTTTATTTTCTTTGGTTTAAAAAAATAATAACAAAATTTGAGTTTATCTATCACCTTATTATTATTATTATTTTTTGGCCAAAATCACCTTTTTTTTCCAATTAAGGTGACATATAAAGACACATCTATTTGCAATACGGTTCATATTGAATTCCACAAAAAATATATAATTATGCAAATCCAAAGTAGTTTTCTCCTAATAACTGCATAGCAAACAAAACAAGAATTTTAAGGAATAGAATTATAAATAATAAAAAACGCAGGTGCCTAGCCTACGCCAGGGTGAAAAAATTTGAATTAGGTATGGAGAGAAGCAGGAGTCAAATAGAGAGAAGCAGGAGTCAAACGTCCATATATACAAGGGCAGAATTATAAAGAAGAAGCTACGTATACAGGGGTAGCTCACAGACGAAGCTGCCGCAATGTTTGTCTATTATTGGTTTCTGATATTGAGACAAAAGAGACAGCAGAAACACTTACAGGAAATACATGCAAAGCAAACTCACACTCACTCTTACACTTAAAAATGGAAAAAGAGTGAAAACTGAAAATGAACCACTTACATCCATACGATAACCAGAATAGGATACATTGCCAATTTTCACTCTTCCCTTCGGAACATAGAAACGTTACCAAAAGAAATTGGTTAGCTGGGAAGGAGCTTGCGAATCTTCAAGATCATTCGAGGGAGAGTGTGCGTGTCTCCCTTCGTACGTGGTTATTACCATCCTCGGATCCTCGGCCAAGCGTTCCACCCTCTTCTTTACCCGGCAATTGTCTTGCGTGCAACGATAGTAGCTTCTACACGTCACCAATTAATTACACATGTTGAATTAATCCACAAAAAAAGAGTTGAAGACTAATTATTGAGAGCTGGCCTACTGCGAGCAAATTAAGCTTGCACAAAATAAAAAGCTAAGCTTGGTAATGCATCAAGTCTTGCATAGGCCTTTAGGGTCCTAAGTAGTAATCACTCCTTTTTAACACGGTCAAAATTTCAACATGGTCTCCTGTTCAAACATACTGTCGCGAGCGTATATCTTTAGAGAGCACAACACTTATCAAGGGATCCAGCATTTTAATATGTTTGATTAATGATTGTAATCATTCCGGCATTATTCACTAAAATTAAAATCATTCCAAAGCCTGTTTGATAAAGCAGACTAATTATGATGAAACAAATACAGACAGACATAACTAGGGGTTGGCCGGTTGGAGAGAGAAATTAAACTATATCAATGTATCAGGGTACAGCCCGGCCGATGGAAGCCTCAATCAAATATACTATAATGAAAACAATCTTTAAAGTTTTCATTTTGCGTGCCTTGACGTGGAGTGATCATATCAGCACGAGAATTAAAAGGAAAACAAAGAGAAGTGATTTGGAATAATGCGTAGGAAATGAACACATACCTGGGGTGCTGGGTGTTCTTGACCACCTTCTGTCCGTACTTCCTCCACTTGTAGCCATCATCCAAGACATCCACTTCGCTCATGGTCTTGAAGCAAAACCTAGGCTCCCTCACCTTCCTCCTTCCCTTTATCTTCTTCATCTTCATTGAAGACATCCCTAGACAATGACTATTCTCTTCTCCACCAATTCTCTTACTGCCCAAGCATTCGCTTACTTCTCCCCAACCCCTATTCATACACACATTCATTATGAATTTTCGTTAGTTGCAGCAGGCTCTAAACATTTCCTGTAAAGTTTCTCACAATATAAATCACCAGTATAGTTGAAACGTTTCATAACAAGGGACCGGATTTTCCAAAACAACCCTTTCTAGTTAACTATCCTATATGTATATTTATTGGAGAATTTTTCGACAAACAGTTGTTGGAGTTTTCCAATTTAAAGAAAGCCAATAGGAGCAAGCTAGCATGCATTGGTGGATGTGAAAATCAAAGTGAGATTACTTTACCATGGATTTAGTGCACTTGATGTGTTCAAGGAAATGAGGTGGGTTGGTTCTCCCAAGCAAGAAGCGATGTCTTGCCTTGGCTTTTGAGCTGTGGCTGCAAATAGGGTTTCCGTTAGATTTGCTGCGCTAGAAGCTGTCTCGGACGCAAGCGAAGGACCTATAGTATGGAAGTTCTTCAAAGATTGATGGCAGCCCGACGAAGGAAAAGTCAGATTAGATGGGAAATTAGGAAGGAACCCCAACTGTGTATGCATCAGATACTGCTGATCCTCGAACAAGTTACCACCATGGTTCAAAATAGATCGTGTGGTTGTTGACATCACTTTCTTCTATCAGTATCTCTTTCTGTCTCCCTATAATCTCTTTAGCTATGTCCAAAGTTGCTGGGTACAGAAAGAAAATGACAGGACTTTTCTTATTGAAGGAACCAATCTGTTTCTGAGAGGTTTGATCTTTCTAGGGCTTGGGGAGGAAGGAGCTAGAGATTACACCGTGAACCGAAAAGCTGTAACTGACAACCTCTCAAAACCACTTTCCCTTCTGGTTGTGGCTCTCTTTCTCTCCACGCGAATTTCTGAATTCCTACGTTGGCTCTCTCTTAAATAAAATCATAAAGGGTGAGAAACTAGGTAGGTATACAATAAAATAAAATGAGACCAGGAACTCACCGTCGCACATTAATATATATATTTTTCAAAAAAAAAAAAAGGAAGAAGGCGAAAATATGCTAAAAAGTTAACCTTGAGTGACTTTTAATTTGTAACGTCTTGCTTTCAACCAAAGCTGGCCTTGATATCTGCTAGCTGCAGATATATGGTATTGTTAATCGTCAAAAGCTTGGAAATTCCATGTCCTTCATGGTTAGTGGAATTACACTGTGTGACAGAGGAGGTCAACATTACACGACAAAACGACTCAACAGAGAAAGTTTGGTGCCTTTGCAAAGTTGTATGAAACTTCCATGCAACAGCCGGTCACTGTAGCTAATTATAATATATGGGCAAAAGCGAAACCTGTGTTGAGTGCAAAATAATAGAAGCAGATTCATGATTAAAAATATAATATAAAAGGGAAAAGTATGATCATTCTTTCCCCACGATCCTCACCACACAAAATCTCCGCTAAAGAGTGAAAAGAGAGCGGGGTGAAACATATATCTATCACTTTTCTAGGGTTTTTCTTTGGCTGGTTTTAATATAAAGTGATCACTTTGGGGACACCATATACAAGAAAAAGAAATCACAGAGGACAATGATGATGAATCTTGGGTGCATATCTACCTATATCATACCCTGCTCTCTCTCTCTCTCTCTCTCTCTCTCTCCATCGTTGGGAAGGATATCATTATGATGAGTGAATGTGCTTTATTTGACTTTTTTTTGCAGCAAAAAATCTCGTCGCCTTTCTCGCCCCCCTTTTCCTATTCGGCTTTCCAAAACTCGAACTAACCCCAGAACCCACCAACCTTTTTTCTCAAATTCCAACCCAAACTAACTATATTATTACTTGTCATTCTTGGATCAATTAAGCGTGTGACATTAATCATGGTTAGCTAACTTTCACTTGTTATGTGTTGAATGTTTGTGGACCATTCTGGCCATTGAAATCACAGTTTATCTACTGGCTCAAATTTAACCATAATTCAATAATTATTATGTGGCCTTTGTACTTCATCCTGTTTCTTAACTCAATAAAATGATGAACTTCATTTGCAGATGCTAATGATCAATGAAGTAAAAGTAGCTGCGCAGCTGATGGTAATCAGAGTCCGCAGTCCCTGGCTTTGATAGGTAAAGACTGGATTATATGATTGATGAAACCCATGAGCAATAATAAATGAATGCATATGTTTTTTAACAAGCAATGAAAGTAGCTAATTAATAATTTTTAATATTGGCATCAGATTCATCGTGATAATTTGCAGCCCCTCAGCAGTCAGCAGCCTTATAGACCTAACCTAAATATAACCCAGGAGTAGAAATTTGAACATATATGTACTTGTTTTTTATTTGGGCTGTATTGGAACGTGCACTCCAACTGTTCAGGTACTGCGTTCATATGAGTTCACGATTTATTGTTACTCTGATCTTCATTTTAAAAAATGCTTCTTCTTCTTCTTTTTTCTTTTTCGGACTAACAACTGTCTGGAAAAACGGGTAGGGAGGGGGGATGTTATCCGAGGCGCCATACTGCACTTTCAACAAATAATTAAATTTCCATAAAAAATATTGTATCAGATGGTCTTTTCCCAAATATTGTATATAGTGTGTTTGTCTATTTGTATACACACTATATACTATACACCGTATGCACATTTTTGTCTCTAAATAAAAAATATTTTATTTATTAGTATCTCCAATATATTAATATCTAAACTACGATTTATAACAAGTCATACAAATGGTGTGATTTATAATATGTCCCCTCTGAAATAAATGGTCATTTGTGTTTATATATGTAATGTAAGATGTATAACCTGCAGCGATCTGTTAAGTTTAAGAGAAGTGTAATGAAATGAAAAATCCTCCAGTGAATAGGGTATATGCTGGCGTTAAGCTAACGCGGTGATGACGTCAGGAGGAAGACGTACGACGGCAATAATATCTTGTATCATCTACAGAAATCCCCACTAGGTTTATTAATGTGATGCAAATTTAAATGACAATGCTTTCTTTCGTTCTTTCTTTCTTTCTTTCTTTTTTTGAAGGGTTTAAAGTTTAAAGTTTATAACCCTTAAGCAAGTTGGAGAAACTAAAGAGCATCCCGTGGCAAACACACATCATTTCTTTTTGTCCCTCCTTATAGCTCCCCATTATGCCGTTCAGATTACCTCCTTCATCATTCGTCCCTTGTTTATCGCTCACCCTGCTTTCCTTTTCTCTTGGCAATTATCATCCACTTATCTTTCTTAGTTATATTTTCACAAGCACAGCGCTCTCACCCTGCTCTCTTTTCTTGTCATGATTAATTAATCTGTACACAAATTGGAATTCTCATGTATTTATTTTTTCTAGTTTCTATACACATCCTCAATTCAAGAATGTATCCCCCGCTCGCGTTTGATCAGAACTCAAGTTGTCTTTTATAATTTACTGAAAGAGACAAAGGCAAGTGTTCTGGGTCAGGTGATGATACTGACAGCTCCATTGCCGGAGTAGCTACTGTAGCCATTGAATTTATCTTTTACAATTAGGCTTCAAATTTAAAGAATTTTCTACCCAAAGACAGCTAGTACTATTATTATGCAGGAGAAGCAGAGATGAAATTGGAGTGGGTGGTGAAAGAGATTTCAAAGTGTGCGTGGAGATGTAGGAAATGATTAGGCCACGCACCTTCCCTCAAGTGTCCGTGACTGTAATTGTTGTCTGCTTCTGATAAGATCCTGCCTTTGTCAGAGACAACCCATGCCCCCTCCGGTCACTTACAAGCCCTTGTGACAACACACTGCCATTCCTCTCCTGTGTACAACACTACATTCCCAATTAAACATAACTATACGTTGTCGTTTTTCATAAAGTCTGCCATTCTTCATTATTATCACTGCACTCCTATTTTAGTTAGCTCTACTTTTTTCCGTCGAACTTGCAATTAATGCCCCGGAGTTTTCCACAGAACAACTACTCTTAACAATGCTTCTCGGACTTGTTAATACATAATCAAGAATGAGACTAACATGAATTACGTACATGGCCGGCAGTTAAGTTGGGGTGTGTATCTTATATGCAGTAACTTTTAGACAAGTAAATGAGATATTGGTCAAACTCTATGTAGAAAATCTCAAGAGAATAAAAGCAGGCCGGCGATTCTTAACGAGCGAGAGGTGCAGCTTTTTTTTGGCACACGCGCACGGATTTCAGGTTGACTGGAGAAAAGAAATCGGAGAGGGCTGGTGAGGAGGGCAAGTTCCTTAGGGTTTATTCCAAGCTGGAACTAGTGACTAGTGAGCTCTATACTCCTGCACATTCCCTAGCAAGCTACGTACGGCAAAAGCATCAAAGCATCACGTCAGTGAATATTCACGGTGGGGTTTAAGTGTATAGAATGAAAGTGACTAAAGTGCTTCATGTAATTGTACATCAAGTGCGTGAAAATGACCGAAGTAGATGTTCAATTGTAATTGCTGAGTATTTTTCGACTGCTAAAGTGGGCTTCTGAAGACGCCATGGGCATGCGTGCACACATGATATAGTTGCAGTGTCACTGGTGCCAGCGTGAGCTTTAGACGTCGATCGATGTATGATGTGTCAGAGATACGTGTATAATCTGATCTTCGTCTGTCGTCTTCTTTTCGCAAACCCCAAAACCCACCTTGTCCGTTTGCTGTCCCTCTGAAAACTGTGAAGCCACAAAAACAGAACATCGAGGGAACAACCCATCATTTGGTTTCTTTCCCAACAAGATCTTAGTATTCAATAACGAAACCCAAATTTATGATTATGTTCATTTATCCAAGACTAGTCTCGTAGCCTTTAACATTAGCTTGAGCGTGCTTGATGAGTTACGAAGCTCTCCACTCTTGAGTTGGACATTTAACGAGTTTCAAACAAGCCGCGTCTGTCTTGGAGACCAGAGTGATTCAATTTCTGCCGTGGAAGAAAGTTGATATTAAATTGTAGGTTACAGGATTCTATTTATGATGTATACGCGGAACGAACATCAGGCATTATGAATAACTATAATATAATTTGATTTCAATATATAACGTTGCCTTTTTAACTAAAGTAGCCCCTAATAAATAATTAATCAATCATCCATATACAATGTATGGTGGATGGATCACAAATAACTACATACGTCATCGGGCACTGATGGTCATCATAATTACTTTCGCTCCCCCCCCCCCCCGGGTTTTTTCCCATACAGGTAACCGTTGGCCTAAAAGTGACATTCTAGACAATGCTTTAATCTTTAATATACAATTAAAGCTCATGCTTTTCTAATATATTTTATGCCAAGATAATAGCCGGACACTTGTACAGAGTCTGATTTTCATCCTAATTAAGGATAATTAGGTAATGAGATAGGCCTACCCTAGAGAAGGATTATCATGTCTTAAAAGTCTTTGTTATTATTACACATGTTTGTCATTATAAGTCACCCATGTATACACTTTTCTTTCTAGCTAACTAGGCAATTATATATATTTGACATGATAATAAACTTTGACGTTGTACAAACAAACGAAATCATTTCCTTGTCAAAGAAAAATGAAACTGGTAGCTATAGTGATCCTTACTTACTTTTCACTCATCAACAATAACAAACAACGGACTTCGATTCCAACACTCATCTGCTTCGCCCAAATATAAGAATCCTCGGCAGGTGTTCATGGGAGAAACATATAACTTGCATCTTGCAAAACATAACTAGTAGTGCCCGGGCATCTAACGCGACCACCGAAATTATACAGATGGAATTGATTTCCCGGTGTTGAGAAATGGTTTACTAGATACATTAGGAAGCCTCAGATCTGTATATGCTGAATCAGCTCCACATAATGTAAGTGGTTAGCTTGGGTTGAAATTGTAGTAGAAGATATCATGGAATTGACGTAGCTTGATTGCCGGTGATATAAGCTTTATCTATATAACATTAAACCAAATGCTTCAAATAATCATCATGACAGAGTACCCTTGTGTTATGCTTCAAATTCAAGTTACTAGAAAGATATATGTAGCAGCAAATACTATCAACTAAAACTAAAGGCAGAGTGTACCCAAAAGTCAATGCACACTATAGCCTGGCCTACCAAGTATCAATTGTATTATATTTTCACAATCAATAAGGGTACTTGTTTCTGCTATATAGATAACATGCCTCTCATCCTACTTCATTTTTATTTTAGAGTGGTATATTTTGACACGCAATTAACTCTGTTCGGTTGGTCGGAAGAAACATTGAAAATTTTTTGGTGGTAGGGCAACAGATTAATAATATATGACAAAATAATATTTTAGAATTTATAAACGTTTCCCCATTATTATATATTACTGCTTCAAGAGGGAACTGGTGACATGAGAGTGGAAAATGTGTGACGAATGTAGAGACTACTATAAATCTAAGATTTGACTTTCATTTATTTGTGAAAAAAATCAAAAGTTAAAAAGTCACGTCCATGAGTATGACAAGACAACCTCACATGTGAGTTTTTTTTTAAAAAAAAAACTTTTTTTCGCTTTTAGTTTTTTCTTCTTCATTTTTTAATCAAAGGTTAATATAAAATATACAACAGAACATGAAGGAATATGTCAGATATAATAAGATTACATCCTATTTAAAAAAAAAAAAAACAGACGTTACTCTCACTCATGCTTTGGTGGCTGCGGCGGATTAGGACGCCTCTCCGCTAGAAAACGCTTTGTGCCCTCCAAAACACTGAAGAAGATTGAGCCACCTATCCCTATCCACAGTACTCTGGGCCCAATGCCCTGTCCTCAGTCACAAACATTCAAACCCAAATTATATCGTTTTACGTTTACCCGTACTAATTTCGAATTAAGCTGAAACGGTATAGATCACAAATAGATGAGGAGTCTGTATCTATAATTTTAATAAACTCAAAGGGCAGAAGAATATGTAAGTTATACCAAAAATAGTTAAAAAAAAAAAGATGAATACTAAATTCTGTTGACACGTCCCAGTTTCTCTGAAGCTCCACGGGGCTAAATGTTGAGCATGATTTGAGGAAGACTAAAATTGCTTTTTATTCGTGTGGATGCACACACTTATGCATGCAAAATGCACGAATAATGACATGTACTAGCAGACAAGATTTTACTCGCAGGATGATTGATCCTCAATCTAAATGTAAGAGGGGGCTGTGGCGTTAATGAAATTGCTAGGAGGGTAAGAACAAAGTCACTCATACCATATTTACAATGATTATCATAGACAAGGACATGACTAGGATGTCACGCATAGCTCCACCAACCACCTCATGATGAGGAAAAGGACTCCACCAATCACCATATCACACAATAAACAATTACTTGTCAAGCACAGAAATATGAAGCGCCCCACTTTCTCGAATTTTTCACTGCAACAAGACCCACTTCCCCAAGGAAACAGCTTTCAATTCCATGCAAGACACAGGAAAAAAAAAACGTGGTGCCATAATAACAATGACAGGATTCTGCTAGTCTACCACGCAAGCTACTGTGTGAAGGAGAAAATGGAGATAGCCCATACCTTCAAAAATGCCTGAGGTCCCTCTTCCTTGATGACAGTTTGAACACAATCCATGATTCCTTTGTATCGGTTTGGAGTTCCCTTACAGTCACAAAGAAATACACAAGCCCACGCTCATGGCTTCATAATTGGCATTGAATTCTGTACACTCTAAAGCCTATATGCATCATGATTACTATACTCTACCAGTTGTCTTCTCTGCTTATGAAATTACATGGTAATCTTTGAAAAAAAAAATGACATCAAGGGCAGGAAGCTAATGATCTAAATCTTACCTGAATCATTAACCTCGTCTTAATGACATCAAGAGGAGTAGTTATAGCGCCAGTCAGTGCACCTAAAATCAAAATGTTTTTAACTAACCGCATTTTCACATAAGTTCACTGATACTTTCTGATGAAATAACATGTGCAATGTCCGCACGTTAAATATACGTTAGCATGTATAGACGGGGCTATAATATTACCAGCAAAAGCACCAACAATGGCATTTTCCGGATCGTTCAGATTTCTTCGCGCCTAGCCAAAAGGAAATGCAAGTCACATCATCATCAAACGCAAAAGAGCAGCATGAAAAAAAATCCTGGATGTTGAATGACAAATTGAATCAGGAAACTAAATTCACACACACACACACACACACACACACACACTCAGAGGTAAAGAACTTGAGGAGCTTACCACCAACATATAACCTATTCGAAGCTGCTCATAGATGCAAAACTGAATGGCATCAAAGGGCAAATCACGCAGCAGAAAAGACCCATATCCCTATAATTTCATAGATCAACATTAAAAAAACATTTTAACGCACATTCAATGCCATGCCATGGGAATGGAGGTAATCTAAAATTCGAAAGGGAGATAATGAGATGAGAGATTCCATACTGCATAAAGTCCTTTAATGCCCTCAACAGAAGCAATATAGCGGACAGCAATAGCAGGTGAAGTGAATTGCCCAGTTTGGATTCGTTGCTTAACAACCTAAGGATCATTAATGAAATTGGTGTTGCCCAGTGAAGCTGATTTCAATCATGGAAATACCATTTTTATGCACAAGGGAGTCAATCTACCTCAGTTGGAACACGAATCAGTGAAGCAGCAATGCCCCCTATGGCACCTGCAGTCTATATAAAATCCAAAATCCATATGAAATAATTTCATTTCAAAACAAAGGATTGAAAGAGTTTACATCAATCAAAAGATATCCAGGCAACAATAGAATAAAGCAATTGCATAGACTTAGTATCAACTCTAGTAAGGGCCAAACAAATTCCAAAAACTTCATGCCCCTAATTAGCCAGCTTCCAGGCTTGGAAAAACACGACAAGGCAATAAGGAGCATGGGTCTTGCTTCAAAGTTAGCTGCATATGTATCAAATTGTTTTCAGGGCAATACTGAAATTTGACAAGACTCCATAGTTTGGCTGGATATCCAATATGTTAACATTTTCAGTAAGCAGTATCTTACAAAATGAGCAAAAGCACTAAGATTTTCTGGCAATATCCTTGACAGTGTCTGCTTTACGGGTTCATAGACTCCAACAAACAGAGCAGACGCCCTGCAATTTTGGAACAAATCAATCCAAGATGTTATGAAAAGAACCCAGATATGGTTAATGATTTCAAATCTTGATGACTAGAGAACAAACTGCTTTAAGGTTAATAAAAGAAAAATGTGAAAATATTCACTATCTAGCATTAACTATGCATAGATATCGGTTAGGAGTTACTGCTGTTGATTTTAGTTTTTTAAAGAAGAACCTAGATCAGGAGAGGGCCAAAACCAATGTGCAAAACTCATGATTTGGGATTTAGAAAACGCTAAAGCAGAAGTTGGTGTTATCTTAAGCCCAATCACCCTTTCAAACAATGAGAACCAGACTTGATCCCCCTGCACTGCAGTGCCATGTATCATCAAAGACCATCCATTGTAAGAAGGAAGAGCAATGATTCCTGCTCATAGAAAGCTTAACCAATGGAGTATCTTGGGCTAGGCCTACACCTGCCAATATCTTTAGAGTTTTAAGATTTTCTAGCTGACAAACAATTTCTGATGTTTGAGACACTATGCGTTCCAGAAAATACTCACGGTAAGACACCAGCAAGATTTCCTGCCAATCCAGAATAAAGGCCTTCCAGCACTAACTTTTCTCCCCCACGGGCAGCCTGTAAGAAGATGATACATATATTTGTTATAGATTTGGATAAATGAGAATCATTTAGATTGCAACAAAAATAAACGACATAGCTATAACGTTGTGGGTTCACAAACTGAAACAACTAAAGGTTCATGATGAATATCTTTAATAGCCAGTAGACAAAAGTATTTCATCCTAGGAAAAGCAAAGTTGCCTCTTATCATTCATATTGTATTTTTCCCAAGAACGTGACCTAGCTTAGCTGGTAGACTGCTACACTAATTATAAAAACAAGGTAACTATGATAGAAGCCAGTCAGAGAACTCGAAAAACTATTAGCATTGCAGTCTAACAACTCAGAAAAAAGAAATAAGGAAAAATTCTAATGAAGTTGCTCTTAACGGATAGAAAGTACAGTGGTAAAACACAGAAGAAATAGCTGAAACAAAAAGAAGGTAAGAGCAAAAACAAAGAACTGCTAGGCTTTAGAGATGCTAGCTAACTCCAGCCCAAACGATTCTGTCATTTTCCATGACAACTCCAACCTCAAATCCTCCTACACATGCCCCCAAAAGCATCCATACAAATTCCATTGGCGTCCTCTGTTTATCCTCCCAGTGTTCCATGCCTATCTAATCATGTTAGTTACACAGCCATCCCTGTAGCTTACCTCACCCTTAGTTCCATGCCTTTATCATCTAGAATAAGAGGGGATTTTCGTTATATTGCATCGAGAAGTAATGAGTTCAGCAAACATTTAAGTAAAAACACTAAACGGCCAATCTTCATATTATTTATGGTCATGGTAACCTGCCTGCAAGCGTGTCTTTATAGTGTCAATAGGGTATAAAGCTGTTTCAACAACAACTCCAGCTGTACCTCCGGCAACTAAGCCCTCTGCAAAAATTCCTGGGCTCGTTAGAAACATCAAAATGCAGTTTAAGAACCAGTATCAGATTCTACCACTGTCAATAAAATAAAAGATTAACTAAGGGTAAAAACTATAGGCTTTCCTCTCTTTTATAGAGAATGGTTGCTAATCAACGAATATCATCTAATTGTACTCCCTCAAGAAGTACTCATTATTGCAGACACATAATTCCTACCTATTCATTTCAAGAGAACAGATCTAGCATGATATCTTTAACTACAGTATAAAACAGATGTGATTTGGATTGATTTTAAAAATGTATTATGAATACCTAACATTTATATGCAGGTACAGGCACAGCAATAAGCTAATTACCTTAGACAAAACCATGTTCTTCGTAGTTTCTATTTAACAGATTCAGGCCAAAAACAGTACTCAAGACGTAGAACGAGAAAATAAAAATTTCATACCCTATAAAGCTTATCATGTCATCATATTTATTATTGGACAAAGAGAAGATTTGAGGGCATGGGATAAGATATCCTCCAAAATAGACAACAGAAAAGGGAAAGCGCCCAGAAATGCTCAGAAAATTACAAGTTTGATCATTCTCTTTGCACATCAAACATTGGGTACCCGAACCCCCCCCCCCCAAAAAAAAAAGAAAAGAAAAGAAACAAACAAACAAACACAGTCTCTAGTCTCAACATGAAGAAAAAAGCATTAACCACAACCATTTCTTTATAAAATAGGACAACAATAACGTTAGAATTTCTTTGTTAGGAACATGTTATACTTGCCAAATAAGGTGCGTAAAAAATCAAAAGGCTTTTCCTCGCCCATGCTGACTGATGCAAAAGATTTTCTCATCAATGAGTTATATGTCCTCTTGGTACAAGCATCTGCAAAACCATATTCCCTGTTCAAGCAAGAAGCAGAGAGTATAATCCAGTGGAAGACAGCACGAGAATATCACATATGAGATTCCCACCACTTCCCCATACTTGATCTGTTTGCTCAATCATTCCGTGAAAGACAATAATATATTAAATTTAGTTATGTGTTTTTTATCCCCACTATACCTCGATCTGGATATACCCCTAGCTTACAGTGACTAGTTGACTGTGCAATATAAAACCTTCGTAAAGAGCAAAAATCATCTCTGTCAAAAATTGATAAGGTGCTTGATAATGCTCATAGGACAATGTACAATTATTAGAATCCTGTTTAGAATTTAGATATAACAATCTAGGAACAAAAAAAAAAAAATTTCCATCATGCAGTTACGTAACTGTTCTGAAATCCTTGAGAGCCAGATAATTTATATGAACAGCCCAAATTTCAATTATGTGAATTTATACTTTTTGGTAGGTACTTGGCAAAAGTCACACATCTTCATACAATTATAACAAATATAAGAAAACAATTATAGTTAGAGTTAGAGAGTCTCTCTCTATACTCCTAGCAACCAAATAATCTTTGATAATCCTTGAATTTACTGGAAAGTGGAAACTATTCCACTTGCACAGGTATAATTCGAATTTCTACACAACGCCATATATGAATTAAGTTGTGGTGACACGTGTTACCTGGTGATCCTATGGAAGAGGCTTCAGCAATAATGGGCAGCGTAAAGGGACCCATCAAGGTCCAACAACTAGGAAAATAAGAGATTAACCGAATCAACTAGTACCCAACATATACCATAACCAGTAGTTTGTTAAACAATTTAACAGAAACGGAAGAAGTATTCAACGACATTCCTAAAAATGAAAGCCTTACAACTATTGGGGGGATAATAAACAGCCAAAACTATAACCGCAGCAAGAGGCTGCTTCCAGAATACTTTGTGAAAGCAGGGCTCATAATCTGATTACCCTCGAGTCCACAAGCAAGTTACAGGAAAAAAAAGGAACAACAGAAAGAAATAGATACACTGAGACAGAATTTTTACCGGTGACTGCAGTGAGTGCGAGGGACCTGAGACAGGCGCTGGCTGAGACAACGGATAGAATAGAGAGACGATGTATGATAGGCCCCAATCTCCCGGGTGGTTTGATATTTATTCTTCCAGATTTATATTTTAGGATACGGATAGTGATCGCGTTACCCGACTGAAGTTGGGTTTTTAACCCGACCCATAATCAAACCAATAATGAAAGATTACTTTTAAACTTCATTATGCACTGATAATGAAGTTTAAAAGTAGTTTCCATCACGTTGCTCGATTATTTAACTACTTTTAATTCAATCCTAATCTAAAGAGCGAAACAAAATTTTTACATTTCCGAAATCTTTGCTGAAACTTGAATTATTGTATATTTAGATCAAGGTAATGCAAAGAAATAAAAGTTCCATGTACGTACGAGACGTGCGATATATTAAGCAATCGTTAATCATCAAACAATACAGGAAGAACGTAAATGATGAAATTTATAATAAATGATCGTATACACAAATTACAAGTTTAAATAATGTAATGCACTATGGTTGAAACTTAATTTTCAGGCTAAAATGTGAACCCACATGAGGAGTTTATACTAAGGTCAAGAACATGATTAAGAAGGCATTAATCAATAATAGTCGTCTCATCCCATGCCCTCCTTTAATCCTGCTCCAGCTACTCTGTATTTCTATTGGAAAGAAGCGATTCCCTGAGGATGGATCATCATCGCTCACAATTTGACCCTTTCCACTGAAGCCACAAGCATCCACACTTTGGTCTCTAACTTAAAGGTATTGGTTAAACGCACAAGATCAGAGGTTCTACAAGCTATGTATACGTCCCCACACGAACCACCCGGTGCTAGGCTTGAAGAGTCCGCACCTTGGCACGCATAGCTCAATGCATTCGCCACCTCGTCCATGTCCTTCTCATCCTTCCTCAGCACGCACCATTTTCGCTCTTGGCACTCAACCCCTTTTGCCCCTGTAGGCATCTTGTCTCGTCCTTCCCCTGTAAAATCTAGCGCATATTTTGGTGCCCCATCGAATCAAAAAATCCCCCAGTGATGCTCGAAATTGCCTAAGACGATGCTTTTCAAGTCTTTGTCCAATAGCGAAAATAAATAGGCTTCTAGGGGTCCTTGGTGAAGAGGAATCCCTTTCTTGCTTGCCATTTTCTTGAGGAATCCTTGGTTGAACTCCGGGTTAACATTCTTGTCACCGTCCATGGGCCAACCAACTTCTCCGACCACAATTCCCGTGTTAAGATAACTGGCTTTTTTCAACGACCAAACCAGGGTATCGAAGTTTGCATCGAACACGTTGGTATATTGTTTGTTCTTGTCGGTAATCTCTTAGCCACCGTCAAAGAATGCGAAATCTTGAGGGAAATTCTGGGATTGATATAAACAGAGGAAGGGATATATGTTGACAAGAAATGGTGACTTGTTGTCGTTAAGAAAGCACACTATCTATAACATAACATCGTGAATGTCACTGCGAAAATCCCCATCCGACGGCATGTTCAAAGATGATTTGTAAACGTCAGCGTTCAAAGGCATGGTGACCTTGACTTGAGCTCCCAATCCAACTTCCTCCAAAGCCTTCTGAATATTTTGCATTTCTGAGACCGTGGACTTTATATACGAACTGTTGAAACTTCTCAAGAATGGTTTATTCCCAACAGCCACGTACCTACTAAAAATATGTTAAACTTTGTCCATAATGAAACAAAGAGCCTTACACGAACATGATGCGATGCGATTGATTCCTTACTTGACATTGACACCACCCTTGTACAAATGTTTGGAGATGTTATGTTTGACCCAAGCTTTGGCGCATCGAAGCTACGAGCAAAGTCATGCAATTGATCATGGGGAATTCCAAGCACGACTTCAATGTCGGTGCCAGCATTGACCATCTAAGAATCTATGTCGAAAAGCTTAACCCTGTCGATTCCATTGTCCTTCAGCATATTTACCATAATGGGAGGATCCATCGAGTGGGACGCTAGTGATCCCTAGTTGACACTAAGACCTGCGATCCCTTGCCCTTTTATGCGAGCCACCACCAACACCAAACAACATGCCCACATTAGGAACTCTACACGGAGTCTTTTGTTTTTGTGCGCGCATGCATATTGATTTGTCGTGACTAATTTTCTTTCTCTTCTTTAATCCATCGAGCTTTTGTAACTAATATATTAGCTTCTATTGACATATACTATATCATAACAACTCTAACGTTATTTTAATTTACTATCTATAGTTAAATTTCCGGGTAGATGCCTATGATAAAAAATTACAATATATAATATTTATATATTTTTATTAAGAGACCTGTTATTATGGAAAATGATCATGAAATGCTTCTCGAACTCCTTACCCTGTCCATAGATATGATATAATAGTACAACGCACGAATAATCTTTTAGTATTGTTTCAATACACAATACTTTCTCAAGAACTTGACAATCTTTGAGTGTATCAAAAATTTGATGTGTGTTCTATCACATGCTACTTTATTTTCAGGACACAGGGCTTGCTTCTTCTTCTTCTTCTTCTTCAATTATTTCTATAAATAATATTATATTTTTAAAATTTTATTCCGAATATTGTCCTTTTTTATAAGAGTGAGAATTAGTAAAGTTCTTTTTAAACAGCCTGCTCACTTTAAAACTCAAAATTACAATCCCTCTCTTTGTAAAAGAAGTGTTTTTGATGACGTCAAAATGTGAAACAGATCACTAATAATATTATATGAAGGATAAAGAGGTAAAAATACTTATAAAGTGGTTCGTCAGGAGTACTCAGTATAATAAAGTAAAAAAAAATCCATAACATTATATGAGTAAATGTAAAAGTGTAACACACCAAATTTTTTTTTTAAAAATAATTTAACTCAACCATGGTTGGGTTACAGCCACCCAACACATTCTTATATCAATAATTTGAATATAAAATATTTTATAATTGGCTTCAACTCACACACTATAATATTTCAGATAAATTTTTACCTCCCACATGCCATTAAGCTAAATCACATTTGTCCATCCTTATACTCCCAACAAGTAAAATAAGCAATTTAGTCAATTTTCAACACAAGCCAGTTATTTGGCCTTATAATCATGTCATTTTAACCAATCCAAAGTAAACCAAATATTAAAATTACAGTCATCCAAATTATACCAAAAATAGAAATAGTTTGAAAGGCATGATTACATTTATATATTCATATAATTGACAATAAATAAAAAGCCCTAATATTGGCAATATAACACATTATAAATCATAAATTAAATACTCAAAAGAGACAGTGGATATATACCACTAAGCCTCTGGGACTCCTCCATGTGTCACTCGTGGCTCTTCTCCTGAAAATTATTAACCACATAATGAGACTCAAAAGTCCTAATAACCAAAGCCAATTTATGATAGTGTATACAAACAATTAAGTGTGTGCTTAATAAGTGAGAATTAAAAATAATATAATTCCAATAAATATAAGAAATATTATAATAAACACAAACAACCATCCTTATATCCCTCCATTAACCTCGAGCCGTAGCCCTCACTCGGTGCTAAATTACCCGGCCAAAGATAGATTAGCCCGAGCCCTTACAAGCCATCTATTGAGCTCCAATAGGGACCACGTGGCACATAAATACAACAATAATAATAAGTCTCCCAACACCTCCCACGATAATTAAATAAATTCATAATAATCTTGCACAATTATACAATATTACAAAATTCATAATTTTCTCAATAATCACCCAATTAACAAGAAGTAACACTAATCACAAATTAAAAGCATGGTTACCTTGTGGCTTTTTCAATAAATTATTCCTTAAAATTTCTCTCTCACCACAATCTTCACCAGTAATACAATCTACAAATAACATATTATTTATAAATATTAGTTTCAATTTTTGAAACTAATAAAATAATTCTAATAATAGAATTAAAAATATAACATAATTCCTAATCTCAATCTTAATACAAATCTATAGTTAATACTATTAAGTAAAATTTTTAACTCTTCTTTTAATTATCAATAAACATTAATAATTTAAAAATCAAATTTTAAACTAATTTCTATTATCAAAATTTTCTTTTTATTTTATAAATTCGTACCTAAAATACCCAAAAATTAAAAATTAAGTCTCTAGCTTAGAATCATAATCCTATAACCATAATAATTCATTTCTCATCCCAAATAATCATCTAAACCTCAATAAATCAACATATATTTTCAGATCTAGTTTCGAATTTGATCCATAAGCCACAGATTCAAAGATCATCAATAAATTTATACTCTAGAACATTTATTATACTACTGACAACCTCAAAAATCATATTTATTCAACATAAATTCATCCCTCTTCTAGATCTTAAATTTTCTACCACTACAAAATCAGAAACTAAAGAAGAAGGATGACTAAGAAAAAATTTTAGAACACTTACTTAGTCTTAAAAAGCTTAAAATCACATCCTAAATATCCTATTAAAAACTCTTACCTTAAAAATTTAGATATTTCGCATCTGCGACTCGCGTTCTCTCTGCCTCAGCGTGCACGAAGGAATGAATGAAGAAACGAAGAAACATGTGAGTTTTTATAAAAATTCAGTGGGTCCCACACATTTTTTTTATTCTTTTCTCTCTCTTTTTTTTATTATTATTATATACATAATGATTGTTGTGTGGCGGCCGAAAGTAATTTTATTCTTCTTCTTCTTCTCCCTTTTTTTTAATACCTTTTCCCTTTTTTTATTATAATACTAATTTAATAATATTTTTTTATTTTTTTAATTATTTTTTTAATTTTTTTAAATTTTTTTTAGAATTATATCCTAAGTTAGATTTAATAATCATCTCTTACTAATTTTCTTACCTCTAAATATTATTTTTTTTAAATTTCTATTAACCCAAATTAACTATTAAAATTTATATTTGGATGTTACAAAAAGTAACTAAATTGTTAACTTTGATCTAACACCATTAACTTTAATTATTAAATGCTGACTGTGCGTGTCACATGTCAGTCTTTGTTAATGTTGACTAATAAATGGGCAAAAATATCCACGAACTCATCAATTAGAAGCAAAAACATCCATAACATTACTAGAGTTGGTGCAAAAGTGATCAATCGAATCCCTTAAATGTTGACCATCTTGCTGATTCCTGAGCAGAAGTTAACCATTTTTTCATTGACATGGACATAAAATATTCTCAAATAAAATTCTCTAGAGGTTAATCAATGATTGTATGAATATCATGTGAGAAAATATCATTTTGACCAGATATCAAATTAAATTACTTGTTTCTTTACAGTAGTGGTAAAAACCATTTAAGAATTTTGAATCTATTATGAATGAAACTGCTTAAGGTTGTGACAATATTCTTAAGGTAGGGCCGCGTAGAAGGTGTGCTCAGTCTCAATCTCTGATTATGTACAACTTATCTTACTATGTTAAATTTTATATTTTGCATACAAGAAAGATGAGTGGTGAGGGAGGGAGGGGGCCAAATACATATGACGATGAAAAGAAATCATATGGTATGAATTTTGACAGATTAATCATTATTATACCTACTAAAATAACATTATTGGTACTCATACGATAATCGATTGACATCCGTAAAAATTTATTTGGGAATATTTTTAATCTACATCAGTAAAAAAAATAATTAACTTCTATCTAGGTGTTAGTTAAATAGTCAACATTTAAAGAATTTGATGGATCGGTCACTTTTATACCAATTATGATAATGTTATGGATATTGTTGCTCTTAGCTAAAAATTTCACGGGTATTTTTGCTTTTTTATTGGTTTATTTTAGTAAAGACTAACACATGGCATGTATAGTCAATATTTAACGATCAAAATTAATGGTGTTGAGTCAAAGTTAACGGTTTGATCACTTTTACACCTACTCATGTAACATCATGGGTATTCATATTCTTTTTTTTACTTTAAAATATTGGGTACCCCTAACTGATCACTTTGTGAGTATTTTTACCTTATACTTTTATATAAATTAAACCTTACATAAAAACTAATTTTGTAATTCAAGTATATTTTTATTAAATAATGAAGACGAAATGGAGATAAAACTTTCTGATTAAAGAGGTTGATAAATGAATGCACGGGGCACCAAAAAATTGACGGATCATTATTAAAGGGGACGAACGTAAACAAGTGGGTTGTCCACATGTATACCACCAAACGTCTGCAGCAACTCACGTGATATCACGAGTCGCACTTTTATGCCTTGTTGACATGCCGCCAAACTTTTCACCGCCTCGTATCTATCGTTACAAACTCTCTGGGAACATAATACATATGAAACGTTGTTTTCAAGTTTGATTAACTTAGTCTTGGATTTAAATATATATGACCACCTTAACCCTCCGAGTTACAAAATAAAATATTTACTGTTTCACTTTCAGCACGCACAGCCACCCCCTCGTTGCTCTGGTTCTGATACGGTTTCCGAGATTCCCGGAAAATATCTGCAGAAACGAGCAAAATAATTATATTGTAAGACGTTGAATTAATAACAAGCATCGATTGGAAGGGAGCTTGATTCTTGAGATGATCACATTTCTGTTTCGTGTTCGTTTTCTAGTGCAGTCTTAGCAACACATAAGAATGCCTCCTCCACATTGTAATTCTCCTTAGCAGAGGTCTCAAAATAAGGCATGTTCCCCCTGGAAGCACACCATCCCTTGGCTTTCTTCTCAGAAACCTACAATCAACCGCTTCACATCAGATCAGAAACACTACTTGATTTCAAACATAAAAGGAAGCGGATTAAAGTTTCTTTTTTTGTCTGTACCATTCTGGTTTGTCCATCATTTACGTCAACCTTATTGCCGAGCAGTACAAAGGGGAATCCTTCAGGATCGTTCGCATCTGACTGCACAAGTCAAAATGCCACCAACGACAATAAGACAGCCTGTGACTGGGGAAAAAAAAACAACGAAAATAGACGGCAACTGAACTGAGACCTGTTTAAGAAAGTCGTCGTGCCAATTGTTCAGGGTCTCAAAAGTTTTATTTATATTGACATCATACACAAGAACACAACAGTCTGCTCCTCTGTAAAATGCAGCGCCTAGACTATGAAACCTTTCCTGCCCTGCTGTGTCCCAAATCTACAGCCCCATTCTCTTCATTATTTGACAGCAGAAATTTAGGCATCAGCAACAAAAGAGAAGAGTAAATATGTACTCACTTGCAATGTTACGAGTTTGTCATCCACCTGTACTTCCCTCGTCACAAAATCTGCTCCGATGGTGGCTTTATATTGACGGCTGTACTTTTTATAGACGTATCTGAATAGGTGTTAAGGTTCACAAATTTAGATACAAGTGACTATGACCTAACTGTGATATTAGTCATGTTTGAACAGTCCTAAGTAATGCGCCAAAACGTCATGTTGGTTCATTTCCAAATGCAACCATGACTTGACAGAGCTTCATTAGGAAAACGAAAGGACAGTTCCTAACTCTCACACGGATTGTATTCAGACAGACAGTTCCGAGTTATCAACTTCCATTTGGTATGTAAATGGATACTGATTTATCAACGAAGTCTTACCCACCCTGAAGAGAAATTAAAGAAGGTGTAAAGTTCAGATCCTTATCGCTATGAACAGAGAATAAAGGAAAGAGGAAGCATTCATACACAAATCCGAACATACCCACTATCGCCGAGGACGATGACCTTGAGCAGTGTTCTGTTTCTGTGGGAAATGTCCATAAGGGGACCCAGAAATAACTTTCTTTCTGCGTGTTAGAAAGAAAAAAAATTGGGGAAGTAACCGTCCAACAAGAGATGGTAGCAACAAAAACAAAGAGGTCAAAGGGATATGTGTGTGTGTCTGTGTGATACAGAGGGGGGGGGGGAGGAGAAGGTGTTAGTTGACCTAGTGCAGTTTAGGGAAAGGACTAATGAGAGAGTTGGCTTTATTGCTGGATTAGAAGTTGAATTGAATGATGTGGCAGGAGAAGCATGTGAGTGCGAAGCCCTGCCAACGAAAAGCAACACAGGATACAAGTGCCAGCCAGCCAAGTACTTGGGCCACATTGACGTGCTTCCCTCTCCTTCATATCCGTCTCTATCTCCACTAAACCTGTTCAAATTCATCACTTTGTTAGCTCCCACCCCATTCCTTCACCTTCAAATCACATCCATCCTATACATTATGACCCTACAATTTCTACTAGTATGTTATTCTGAATTTGTCAATGCCATTTTTTTTTTACTCGGAATTCAAAGCCTTTGATATTAGCACACTCAACAAAATCAATAAAAAAATTAAAAACCTATAACATTCAACTATCAGCCCAGCCCCAGATAGTTAAGAAAGACAGTTTTGATTCCTTTTTCTTGAATAATCCTTCAGATTCCCTAGAGAAGGATATTAGTTTTTTTAAAGATATTAGTTGTTGATAAACGTTAAATAAATCATAATCATTATTGTTGTTTTAATAATAATGGCAGGCATGATCTCGGATCTCAGCCCAATCAATGTTTAGTAGAGCCCAAACCTGGACTTGGTGTCTGTTGGACTACTCAACGAGGACCACTAGAGTGTTTGTTATTGGCGGTGTTACATGCATACAGTCCAGATCTTACGCGTTCGTCAATTGGCCCAGTAGAGTGTTTGGAATTGGCTGTTTTCCAAGAGAGACGACAAAGACAAACGAATGGATAGGGGTAAACATGTCTATGAGATTAATGTATACTGCCACATAAACTACTTATATTCTGCACAAGGGACGTCGATTAGGAATGCTCTTCCCTTGGGATTAGGTGGCTCGATTTAATTAGTAAAGGAGAAAGGTACAAAATTGTCTGCATTCTATAATTAGCAAATTAGGTGAAGCTGATTAATCAATTTTATTGCTTTAGTATATTATATAATATGAGTATTTAACTAGTTGATCGATAGTCAATTGGCTTGAGATTTGAGAAGCTGCGAGGAAGCCCCTCTGCCTTTTCACTTTTCTTCGTCGAGATCCAACGTGGTGATTCTCTAATTAAATTGGCCATGAAATGATGTAAAACAGTATCCATTGACTGGCACTTGCAGTTGATGGATCGGAGAGATGGTCGGAAAGAGACGCAAGACGTTGATATGCAAGGTGAAAGGCGACTCACTACTGATATTGCGTGCAATAACTCAGCTTGTATACACGTCATTCCCAATTGAACAAGTTAGTGCAGTATATATAAAAAGGGATTCCCACCGCTTGTTTTAACGTGATAGATGCACAAAAATAACAAAGAAAGCGTGAACTATCAATGTCAATATATAAAATCTATGAGAAACTATGTATTATTTATAAGCCAAAAACAGAGAAACTGAGGTTTGAAAATATGATTATTACACACTGAATTCACGTATTATTGTTGCTACGGGAGAGATGCTAATTTAGACCGTTTCTATATTTATAAGCATCGCCGTGTTAGTTACGGAATGACCGCTGAACAAGGTTCCCACTTTTGTCGACCGAGTGGCTTGCTAGCTTGTAACACTCTCGTCCCGACAAAGAACTTGTGCCCTTTTGTTTTGTGGAAGGACTTTTGAACCCCTTAGACTTGTGGCTTTCTATTATTAGCTAGGGTTTGGGTCATCAATATTTAACTATTTATCTCTGGGTTAAACTCCACATTCCTTGTATTTAGACTTTGATTTTTCAGGGCAAGTCATTGTTCAAATCATCTCCCTCATTTCCTTGCAATTTCACGTCATCGTCTTATTAGGAATCCCCCTCTCTACTTTGTATGATCCAATTAGCCCCAGCATTCTGACTTTCCACTCCTCAACCAGCAGTGCTACAAACTATTGAAAACGAGAGTGGGCGTCCCTTTCAATTTTTTGTTAATATATATTTTTATACTTACACATTGATGCTTCCCATTATTATCGAGTAACTTGCAATTTTTCTTATAGAATTCAGAATCCCCGCACTTCTTAAGAATTTTAACCGTTAATTTTTTTTTTAATAAATGAAGGACATGTCGGGTATCAATATAATGCCAGCTTTCTCTTTGTTATGGTCCTAACAACGGAAGAAAAATGATTTAAAACGACAAAAGAGAGAGCCAACTAGTATGAACTGAACTTTATTTTTGAGATCTCCTGAAGTATGAACTCAACTTTTAACCCTACAGAAAAAGCGCCAGGGAACCTTATCTCCAAGATAATGATCAATATATTGTTCGTATTTTTATGGTTATTAAATTAGATTTATTCTTCGAGGGCATCGATTCTGAATGATTCTCATAAATTATTTTTCTTTTAATGATCAATCAGCTAAAGGTGTTGACAAAGCCATATAAAGCACTTATATCATATAGTGAACTCATCGGAGAGTGCGTTATCATAGTACAGCAACAGACACAAAAAAGAGGCTCTTACAAAAAGGTAAAAATTAAAAGAACCACTAATCTGCGGAGCCGGGGTTGCACTATTGTCGTGAATAATTGAAGGGAAAATGACAATAAAATTTTATCAAAGAATATAAATGTTAATTAAATTTATTGAAATGTTATAAGTTATCTAAATTTTTTTAATACTTTTATGATTTTAATGATTTTAAGTTAAATAATTAAATTATTCACTGTTAAAATAAAAATAATTGGTTTGACTTTATTTTTTTAATTATAATTCTTATTTTGTGAATCGTAAAAATTAAATAATACATCACAACTTCTCACATGAAGTTTCTTTTATAATTGATGAACAAATCTTAAAAATAATCATTTCTAATTACAAATTTTATTTAAGCAATTATAATTTTCATTCTATAAATTACAAAAATTAAATAAGAAATCACAACTTTTTATATGAAATTTTTTTATTATTAAAGTCTAACTTTTAAAAATAATTAGTTATAGCTTTTATTCAAACAATCACAACTTTTATTTTATAAATAATAAGAATTAAACAAAAAATCACATCTTCTCACATGAATTCATTATTTTTTTAATTTAAACAAGAGACAATTTAATCATTTAAATTTAAATCATTAATGTCAGAAAGGCCATTAGAAACTTTAAAGAAATTATGACACTTTAAGGTACTTTAATTGGAATTTATATATTTTGGTGGGATTTTATTATCATTTTTCCATAATTGAACTACTCACTCAAGTTTTATTCATGGTATTTTTAAGAAGTATGCTATTAATTATACATCCCTTTACCTCATTATTAAATATTCGTGAGAAATAGTATGTATTATTGAAGTTATTTAAGGCTGAAATTTTTTAAATTTAAAAAAAATTAATGAATTTTAAACTTTTTCTTAATTTCTATAAAACATATTAAAAATAACATAAATAGGATCAGAAAAAGTATACATGACACACCAGCTAGAGATACAATAATTTTGAAACACTTTATAAAATAATATGGTCATTAAATTACTTTAATATATGTATTTATGTATGTATAATCAATAAATTTCATGCAAAATTTGTGAGGAAATGAACGACAGATGATTAATTATGATAATGTGAAGCCATTGTATTGACGATATTAATATAATGATTATAATATAAAATTCATAGAATTCCACTATTTATAAATTATATTATATAGTAAATGATATGAAGAACTGTACGTCTATTTAAGCGTCAGGAAAATTTCATTGGGAACCCGTTGACAAGATTTAATTTCAATCAAAATTATTAAAATTATGGAATTTCATTGTACACATGGAGGATTGAAATGATTTTATTATTTTTAGTGAAGCTAGACGTATGAACAACTCGTATAAAAAAAGTTAACAAGTGATATATGAAAAATAAACAAGTGACATAGGTAGAATTTGCAACTCTTATTAGTGATATAACGCCACTATGAATATAACAAGTAAAATCAGGTAATGAATATAGAAAAAGAATAACTAACGTAAATAGAATAAGAGTTGTAAATTAATAATGGTATTATACTATTAATGAAATTTATAAATTTTACCTACATCAAATGTTTATTTTTTATAATTAATTGTTAATTTTTTTATATGATTTGTTCATACTCTTAGCTTCATCAAGGACAATAAAATTATTTCAATTAACTTTTTAATTTCATTTCAACCGCTCATATGTATAATAAAATTCTAGAAGTTAAATAATTTTGACTGAAATTAAGTAAGTATTGAAATTTTACCTTAAACATCTAACATCTAGAAAACACTGAAGTTTTGGGAAAATAACGAAGCTGAGTGACGATGCTGTACGTCATGACAATGGCGTAACCTTTGTGTCCACGTGGACCAGTTAAGAACCTCAGTGGTTTAATTCCCTCCAGGAAGTTTTTTTATGCGAGGGATACTTCCAAGCAACAACGCAAGAGGGTAAACAAGACCTTTAGTTCTTGTCAGATATTATTAAATATATCCATTGGCAGCACGCCAAGGCCAACCTAACAGTCATAAAAAGCCAATATATGCCTTCCCTTTAGTCCATTTTCACTATTGATTCTTGCTGGGTTTGCGATGGACTACTATTTTGGAAGCCCTATTGCTCCTAGCCCTAATTACTCACAATTCTCTGCACCAGCAAATTCATCCTCATCCGATCAGTTCATTTCGGATTATTTGGTACTGGATAATGGTTTTGGGCATCAAGAATCCTGGTCACGCAGTACAGAATCATCGGAGAAGGCAACTAGCGATGCCAGTGGATTTAGTGGCGCTGCTGACGCTACCTCTTCTAAGAATAATAACATGCAAGCGCTTTGTCTCTCTTCTTCCTTGTACAAAATACTTATATTCTTTTATTGCGTGGAAAGATAAGATATTGAATATAATTTTGTGCAGAAAATGCAAAAACAATATCGAAGGAAACAAGAGAGAGATGAACCGAAGGATCGCGTTCAGAACCAGATCGGAGCTTGAGATTATGGATGACGGGTACAAATGGAGGAAGTACGGAAAGAAATCAGTGAAGAACAGTCCGAATCCAAGGTAATATAGAAAATGTTTACCTTAATAATTCATTTTTCTCTTGATCTGGCGGTAAGATGATGTGTATAATACCAATTAAATGTTTTATCTTGTTAAAGAATTACTGACATAATTGACAAACGGTTGAACTAGCTAAACAAATTGATCGTTCGGCAGAGGCTCTAATCCTCATCGAATTAATCCGTAAAAATTAAATATGTATAGTGGATGGATGTTCCGGCGGCTGATTATATATACTCTATGGTGGCTCGTGAACCTCATGGTTTGGGAGTGCTGTCATGGACCCCAGCTAGCTTATATATGTACATTCTTTTTCGCTTTTGCAATTTATGCTAAGCAACTCATTTATATAATTAACTAACTATCTTCGGGGTTCATTCTATGTGGGGTTCGATCGTCTGACCAAGCTGCTAAGAAAATGTTTGATTGATTGATTCGTTTTTGACATGTAGTGTCTATTTGAGAACATGGGCGTGTCCGTCAGGTATAGTGATCTCTGGCAACTTGACTGATCCCTTCTTCATGCTTGTTATAGCATTATTGAGAGTCACCTTAGCTTATAATTGAACAGCAGCCTCTTGGAACTATTGGCAGTCAAAAAGTTGAGCGGTTATATATAATGCTAGACGCAGCCTGGTGGCAGTGACGCACACACACACACACACATGACGAGCAAATTAACAGAGTAATTTACGATGTGTTCCGTGAAATAACCATCCAGTAGTTAAGCTGTAATTAGAGATTGAGTGTTGCGTGAAATAATGACGATGATGGGTGCAATGCAGGAACTACTACAAGTGTTCCTATGGAGGATGCGGCGTGAAGAAGAGGGTGGAAAGGGACAGGGAGGACTCGAGTTACGTGATAACGAGTTACGAAGGAGTGCACAACCACGAGACGCCGTGTGCCACCTATTACTCCTCTTTCGTCCACCATCCTAATCCTTTGCCCTTTCACTCAGCAAACTCTTCCTCTTCCTAGCTGGCTTGCTACTATCATTCCGCATATATATTGTGATTCCTATCCTCCTTGTACACTAGTGTAAGGATTAATGAGCCCAAACTCTAATTATTGATTAACCATCCAAAACACCGTCTGGAACCTATCTAATCATTTTTCCATGTAGTGCACTCTGGACTATTTTGATTATGCGTGAAATATATAAATCCATACCCACACGCGCATGTATGGTATATTCTTCATTTTTTTTAAAAAACAATGAAGACGCTAAACTATTTGAGGGAAAGATAAACGGCGGGACACAATGGATTTAGTTTAGATATGTCAAACTTAAATATTTTTAGTTGTTTTTATTTAAAAATGACTATCACTGATTAAGTAAGAGTAAGCACACTCTTTGGACGGATGGTACTGACAGAGACAGCCAAACAAAGAGCATGGAGTTCTATAATCTGTATATTTTGGTGATTCGTGCGGACAACTCCAACTAATATAATCGGCAAATCTTATTGGTCCAAATTATCAAATGTTTCATACCAAGCCATGTTGTGTTTCCATGGTTGACCACAATCCACAAGCCAAGAAAGTAGCGTTCTGCACACACTAGAAGGAAAGCAGACTTGAAGCTATTGGCTAATTGATCTAACCCAGATGCAGGATGATTTGATACACCAGTTCTCTTTTTATCTGGAATATCCATAATATAAAATATAAAAAAAATTATTATTTATTTTTAAAATTAAGGTGTAATGCATCTGCCAAAGGACATACCTCACTTATTTGGAAAAGACAAAACTGGCTTGAGTTTTGAGATCTGAACCCGATAAAAAATCAAAGAAAGAACCAAAAACTTGTTGGCCCGTAGGCGACGGGGGATCTTGATCCGTTATCTTTTTGTCGTCGTATGTACATGATCCGTTTTGTTTTGCCCAGAAAGGTTTCCTCCGGAAAGATGGACAGGGCCTACCCATAAAACATTACATTGGTCCTATCGACGGGATGAATCATTTATTGGGTTCTGATCTTGGTTGGATTCTTGGTTATTAAACTCTGATTCGGGGGTATTTCTTTCTTCAGTGACTGGTTGGCAAAGTCCACCAAAAAAAGCCCAAAAAAAAAGTCGAACAACATCCTCGATCATTCACGGGAAGACGCTGTAAGACCGAACATGGCATCTTATTTTGCATACTGTTTAACTGGTCTTGTTTTGCCTGATTGAAGAAACGGGATTTTTGACGATCTTAGGCAACCTATTTGCAATATCCCATTTTCTTGGTGGATCGTTTGTTACTTAACTTCATCTATGACTTCGAGCAACATCAACTTCTGGAGCTTGATTTTCAGTGTCACTGTCAACTTCATTTCTGAGATACCCGCTTTATAGATTTTTTTTGTCAGATCAGTTGGTAAAGTCGTTAGATTTCTGAGTGATGTGGTAGATTATAGCGTTTTCTTCATAGATGAATGATAACCTGCTATCAGATACCTACTATCAGATTTCTGCTCGGATCTTGGCGCATTTCTCACATGATACGGGGTTTATTGGAAACGCTTTGGTTTCCATGTTGAGAAATTGTTCGTTTTCGTGGAGTTTGAAGCTGGAACTTGGTCGGCGATTTTGTATGGTCGGCTCGTAGAGAAAACATTTGACTTTTGGTTTTATTGTCTTATTTGGAGTTGATTCCGTGAAGAGGGTCTTGGGGAAAGCATGTTCCGAAGGGACCGTAGTAGAGAGAGTAAAGAGCAGAACGGTGGGCCGCCATATGGGCAGGTTAGAGTGCTCGTTGTTGGAGACTCAGGTACATGATCCTTCTTATTGGTGTGTCTAATGTTAGGCCTTCCCATTACATTTAGCGTTGCTGTGGTGCCGAATTTTGCTCTAGCGAGAGGCTTCGCAAAACTAAGACTCGGATTGTGCAGGGTGAACAAAATCAAGTTATTTCTGTAATTGATCATTTGAGTGCAGGAGTTCTCACGTAAATAAATATCGCTGGACCTTTGTAAGTTACGACAATACTGCTTGAAAGTCTTAGAGTATGGAACTACGGAAACTAATTACAATGATGAGACCCTTAGAACTACCATCGGAGTTTCTGAGAGTTATGTTGCTATACGCAAGGTGAACATATTAAAACAGGATGGTTTTGATACAATAGCAACAGCAGGAAACTTATCCCACTAAATGAGGTCATGAGACTGTATTAATAAGATATCTGAGTTTATTTATTATTTATGTGCCTATTTTACCCATTGATGATTGCAAGATTCTTTTGAGTTTGAAGGACAGCTTCCTCAATTTTTACTGCCATAAGTGCATTGAGGTTTGGACAGAAAATATATAAATCAAATTGCCTGTAATCAAGTGGAACTATTGTCGCTTAGTACTTCTTAGCTTTGAGGAGAGAACTCGTTGCTGCTTCTAATTCCATATTCTGTTGATTGGGTGGCTACAGACTTTGTCTATGCGGGATAGACTGTTATGCATGTAAACGTATACTGGTATATGGTGTCTCACTGTTTTGATTTTGAACTGTGTATGTGTCCATCAATAAGATATTTATGTTTTCTATTTATCTGTATCACTTGGTCCAAGAACACCAAAACAGCTTAGTAAAATTATAATCATTGAGGGAAATAAGCTATTTCCTAAATTTATACTTCATAGGCTTGCATGTGCTTCATTGTGAAGAAAAGAATTGATTTCTGCACCACATGTTGTCTTGTCCTGCTTTAGTTCTCTGCCTCTTTGATTTTTCTCTTGACCATCTTGGCATATTGAACTTAGCTGCAGATATAACATATTTTCATATTCCGGCAGGTGTAGGGAAGACTTCTCTGGCTCACCTTATTGTCAAGGGTTCTCCCATCATTCGCCCTTCACAGACAATTGGTTGTACTGTTGGTGTAATGGTAAAGACTCCCCATTCTCTGGTTACTCCATAAAATGCATCTTTGTGCTGTTGTTGAATACTTGAATTCTTCACCTAGTGTCCTCTATTGCCTTTTTTTTTTTTTTTGGCAGCACACAGCATATCGGAATTCTGGTAGCTCTTCAAATACCCTCAAAGGTGATTCTCAGAGGGATTTTTTTGTTGAACTTTGGGATGTGTCAGGCCATGAACGGTACAAAGATTGTCGGTCTTTGTTTTATTCACAGATTAATGGTGAGCAACAATCCTCTTTTTTCACTTTCTTCTTTAAAAAAGGGGGGGTTTACTTTTATAAGAAGTTATGAGTTCAATATAGTGGAGCATAAAATGAAAAGTCCTAGAAGATAAGGAGAAAGGTTTATGATATTTAGATATTCATGAAGTTTTTTTTAAGTAACTAAGATATTTAGGTAAGTTCAGTCTTGATGGTTCATTATGGTTAGAGTTGGTCTTAAAGCTTAAAGATCACTTATAAATGTACTTATATATTACTCGGCCATAATGATCTCACATTAGCAATGAGATTAGAACCCATGGTCTTTTGGGGTATTAGTTGCATCGGTACTAATTAAACCAACCTTTGTTGGCTTTGGTTTTTATATTCTTAAAATAAATAGAATGTGATTAAATCTTTTGTTTGGTGCCATAAAAGAAGTTGTTTGGAGTTTTCAGCCTTAATCTTATCCTTTCAATGATTATCTCGTCCTATTATTTTCTGTAATTAATTTTATCCTTAATAACTTTTTTTTTTCTCAAGTAATTGAGCGGAGGTTTGAACCTGAGACCACTTGCTAAATAACTACCTAATGACTTTTTTTTATCGCCTTTTAAATTTTAATGTACAGGAACTTTCTAAAATTTGAATTCATTAGTAACTAATGATTATTGAAGGCTTAGGCATTAGGACTTATTTGGAACTTGGCTGTGTGGCTATTTTGACCAAGGATTCTAGTTTGAACTTCATCTGCAGGTGTAATTTTTGTTCATGATCTCTCACAAAGGAGAACAAAGACTAGTTTGCTGAAGTGGGCAGCTGAGATTGCTGCAAGTGGAACATTTTCAGCTCCTTTAGGATCTGGTGGACCTTGTGGCCTTCCTGTGCCGTATATTGTTGTTGGTAACAAAGCTGATATTGCTGCAAAAGAGGGCACAAGAGGAAGCAGTGGGAACCTTGTTGATGTTGCACGCCAGTGGGTTGAGAAGCAGGGTTTGCTTCCATCCAGTGAGGAGCTTCCTCTGACTGAGAGTTTTCCTGGTGGTGGAAGCCTTATTGCTGTAAGTGTCTCAGCTAAACTATTTTACATATTGGTCTTTCTTGTTAGCGTTCTCCTTTCTCTTTCTATGCTTAAAACAGCATTCCTACTTTGCAAAAAATATTGTGTTGTGAAGTTTTCACGGTGAAGTGTAATAGCCTGTTGTTAATGTTTATTATTTGTCAGTTTGAAAATGTTAAAATTTTGTGCTTTTGTACATCCATATCTGGATGATTCTCATGATTTTAATGACCAATATTTATGAAAGAATGACAGCACCTGAAGAATGGGTAGACTTATTTTACCAATGCTGCTGTGCTGGTAGCATTAGGCCTGCTAAATATGTGCATCGGTGCTCCATGGTCCATAGGGCCCATGAATTAAAATAACACTTCCCTTTCTCTTTCAGCAGTAGTTTGCGATTACTCCTTATAATGAATTCAGATCGCACATTGGCTACTGTGACGTTACCTTTGGAAGTTTTTTGAAATGGTGATTCGTGATTTCTGTTGCCCTTGATCAAATCTTCCTGTGCTAGCTATTCTGATGACGTAACAGAACAGATTTGTTGACACTTGATGTAGAAATCTGTACCTTTTTGCCTTTTGTCGAGTAGTTGCTAACTTATTATACCCGTGGTTATTTGTTTGTTGGACATCTGCAGGCTGCAAAAGAAGCAAGGTATGACACGGAAGCTGTGATGACATTTTTCCGAATGGTGAGTATTGTCTTCATTATTTCTACTTTTTGTTTTTGTTGTGGAGTATCGTCTAAATTTTCTGGTTCCTCTCCTGATAGTTGATCAGGAGAAGGTATTTTTCAGATGAAGTGGCTACACCAAATACGTGGTCTGTTTCTACATGGTCTTCTTCTCCAGTTCAGAGACTTCCCCAACGTCTAGATGACGATTCAACCGACGATGATTATCAATCCTATAATAAAAGGTAATTCAGACCTGGCTTGCTAAATAATCTGAAGCCGCAGCGTTTTATATTATCACCATTATACCTCACTCGTAGAATTTCTTTCGGAGAAGGATGCTTGATCTTCAATTTTCAGTTTAGGGTAGATTCATTGGCTCATAAAATAAAACAGAGAGTCGGTTCATTGTGGAACAGTGACTGTAGAATTATATCTAGAATCTTACATGTAGTTGTACGAATAGCACTTGCCATATTTTGGGCTAATCACAAAACTCTGTCGGTAATTGCAGTATAAACAGAGATCCTTACAAGTATAACACACTTCCTCCCCTTCCAGCTCAACGAAATCTGACCCCTCCTCCCACGCTTTATCCTCAACAACCAGTCTCGTCTTCTGTAAACCATAGTTACCCAAGATTTTCTCTGCCTGGTTCCTCAGAAATCAATGCTGCCACCAGAACAAGGCGCTCGGATATTAATGTCTGAGAATCTCTGTATAATGGAAATCATACATTTGCTAATAGTATACACATGCAGTATTCTTGAAGGAATGAAGTTGCTTGTCTTATATGAATTATATTCATGTGATTGTAAGTGGGTCCTGTCGATTCTTTCATTGTTTTTAGAGGCATTCTTCATCAGTGTTGTTTGGTGATCTGAGTTCCCAGTTTGGTGTAGTCTATCATGAAATGTTCGATTCTTTTACCAGACTTCATTTTTACTTCTATTGAAACATTTTGCTTGACGCAAATATTCAGACACCCTTGGCTGGCGGCCTTGTTTGTCAATTACGTGCTTCTTTCGGCCGAAGAAATCATCAAATCTGAGGTGACTAAAACGATGTGACGCAACTCCCTGCAAACCCCGTCGGAATCCGGATGTCTACATAACTAACTTCTCTGCTCAACTATTGGCTTTAAATTTTAAAGCTTTCCTTCAATCTATATAAAAGACCAACCAAATTCAACAAACTAACAGACTGATCGGCCAAAAGATAACCAGAAAGAATAAAGCGTTACATGCCACTAAGATTTTAATTCAAATCTTCTTAGAAATAAATTGACTGTCAATTCTTTTAGTGAAAAAAATAAAATAAAACAGATCATAATCAATGTTACCTCTAGGTATACGCAAGCAGATTCTTGAAGTTGTTTTCTGATAAAATTATACTTAAAAATAAAATGAAAGTACTTGAGTTCAAAGGCGGCATGGTTTGCTGACATGTATATATATATATATAGTGCTATATTTTAAAAAAATGAAAATCAGCTAGAGGCAATGTAAAGATTACCCCAATTATTTGATGAGTTGAAATAGCGGATTCACTGATAAAGGCATCAAGGCTCCACGAATAATTGAGACAGTATTTGTGGAAGCCAATCTGCTGGCTGTTATTTTCACGGCTGTCCCCCCTCACTTCTTTCATTGACGCGTCGTGCTTGACATTTCAACGTGTGAATTACTCCCTTCACCTTAAATTATAAAATAACTTTCAAAAAGTTTCATCGTTCGAAATATTAGACAATTGAAAAAAATAAAATTTTATTAATAATACTTTTTCAATACCATTCTATAAGTAAAAAAAGAATTGAAATAAAATTATAACATAATTATTAAGTGTGTTAAGACATTTTTTAAAATTTATAGTTTTGTTTTGAAAATGTAAGTTTATAAAGTGTTATTATTATATTTTATTTATTTATTGACTTGTATTATCTTATCTCAAATTATCAAATAATTTAGGATGGAAAGTGTAACACCCTCAAATTTACAAACCGATTTTTCACAAGTTATTAATTCAACAAATCTTTTTTTTTTATTTTTTTATTTTTTTATTTTTTTCATTGAATCCTTATCATGGTAGAAAAATTTCTACCACGATACATCCAAGACAATATACCACAGGTCTTAAAATATCTCAAAAAAAACAATTAGAACCATGAGGGACAGACATGATCCTCATAGCATGTTATTCAAATCAGATCATAAATCAAGAGCGACAGACATAATCCTCTTGGTCATATAAATACTTTTAATAAAAAGGATTAGAGTTTACATGCTTCACAAAGAAGATATGTCCTAAGTTGGCACAAGATACATTGTATAATCTAAAATAAGAGGCAACGTAAAAGATGGTGTCTCATACACCATAGTTACACCTCTGGTGCTTTCTCGGCCGGACTCGCTCCTGTAAAAATGTTAACCACGGGGAATGAGACTTAAAAGTCCCCAGTAACCAAAAATTAATATGTAATGATGCATGCGGATGTAACTAATCATGCGATTGCTAAGTGGGCACACAAAACATTTAACCGAACAATATTTTCAAACAAACCGAACAAGTATTTAATTGCATGACTGCACCTTATATCCTCCTTTCACCATGCTCGGACGCCAAATCACCCGGCCAAAGGTGAGTTGGACCAAGCGACACGCCACTCATTGGGTCCAATGAGGGCTTAACACGTGGTAATAATTAACCGAACAGAAATTCCCATTAACACCATACATTAAAATACCCTGACAAGTCATGCATCATTCAAATATCCAAACAGGAATATATCCGAACAATAATATCTCATCATGATAAACAAAAATAAATTTTTAACCCACTTGGCAATAATTTCAAACAAGTATATACAGTATTTATTTTCAATAATTCATAATTTTTCCAAACAACAAAACAACACATAACCATTCACAAACACACTCATCACAACACATTAATAATGGTTACCTTGTGTCTTGAATAACAAGTTCCCCTTCACAACTCCTTTTTCACCACTATCTTTGTCAATATAATCTACATAATTATTTCACAATACTATATATTAATTTTACATTAAAATAAATAACTCTAATTTAAATAGTTAGAAAGTCTTAGATCTATAATCCATATTAACACTAATTTAAGATTTATGCCTCATTTAACTTCCCAAATTCTTTTCTAAAATTCTCGTACCCTAATAAACTATTTTTTTTTATCCTCAAATCACTTCTAGTATCACAATTTCATCCTTCTATATTCTAAAAATTCGTCCAAAAATAAATTAAATTTTTAAAATTATCCTGAACCCTCAAATCACCTTTCTATAACCTCAAAAATACCTATTCATACTTAAATAAATATTTAATAATCATAGGTTTATCCCTACATCTCAGATTCCACATAAATTCAACCATATAGATCTAGATTTTAACTCAAAAATTCTTAAACATGAGTTTCAACCTCAAGAAAATATTCTATAATATTTATTATATCCCTAAGAGTTTTAACCTATATTTTTAATCCATCATATCATCAGATTTACTATCCTATAGAAAAAATCCTAATCAAAATATTTACTCTATCCTACAAAATAATCATATCACTAGAAAGCTAATATTATTTAAAAAATAACTATAAAATTAATTTTGTAATTAAATAAATTTTTAAATGCTAATCTAAATAGGAAAGTTAGAACATACCTGAAGAAAAAAGAAAATAATCCCCCCTTGCGAGAAAACGCCGAGCAACGTGAGAGGAAGAGAGAAAAATAATATAAAAATGGGATTGTGAGTCCCAAAATTATATAAAAAAAACTATAGGTTTGAATTTAATTATTCAAACCTTTGGGCCCAAAGTTACAATTTTCTCTAAATTGCATCTTAGCCTCTCATGCTTCCTAATGCACACACCCCCTCCTTTTTATACATGAAGGCACCTCTTCTCTTCCCTCATCTAACCAATGTGGGACTTAGAAACAACAACCTTCCACCCCCCCTTTTTTTTGTTCCTTCTACCTTCTCTTTATTTTTTTAACACACACATAAAAAAAATTATTTATGTATTATATCTTAACTAAATATTGCTTATGTGGTTTTAAATTTAAATTTTTAAATTCATAATTAAATACCTAATCATAATATTATTTCTAAATAACCTCAAATAATATAAATTCCTATTATTATCATTTTTTTTTTCTCAAAACCTAAATTCCACAATTTCTTTATTATATAAAAATCAGGATGTTACAGAAAGAGTATTGTTATGTAAATTAATCAATGTCAAACAACGTGCTTCGACAAATCCAACGCAGTTTGCTCTCATCTTCTGTCTTTTTAGACAATATCATCCCAACTCTGCACCAATTCCGCACTTGTCTTCCAATTCCGATGGTTAGAGCACTTGAGTTAATAAATAGACATTTAGTTTCAGGACTCCGAGAGAGAAAAATGTAGTTTATTTTGAATTTTATAAAAAAAAATGATACAGATTTAAATTCAATTAGAGAATTGTGATGGTGCCATGTCCTATACACTAAAACATTATAATATTAAAGTTAAGAAATAGACGGTACTCACGGTAGATGGTGACATTCTTGATTCTTCCATAATCAATGAGCAACACAAGAATCAATTTATGATTCATCATACTGAATAATAACGCGGAAAATACGAAAATATATGATGGTAGTGGTAGCAGGAAAAATAATAATAAATTTTTTAAAAATATATAAATGATAATTTGATAATTTAAAATGCCATAATTTTTTTAAAGTTTTTAGGGACTTTTTGATCATTAATAAATTTATATAAATTATTAAATTATCCTTATTAAAAATAAATAATTCATAACTTTCCTTCTTATATTCTCAACAGTGCAATAGCAAATAAGAAATTTAATATACAAAATTGTGATTTGTTATTATATTGTTGTAAATATAAAAAAAAGTTATAAATATAAAAAAATTGTGAATCATTTATTTTTAATAAACATAATTTAATAATTTATATAAATTTATTAATAATAAAAAATTTTAAAAAATTATGACATTTTAAAAAATTATGATATTTTAAAAAATTAAATTATTATTTATATATTTTAAAAAAATTTTACTGTCACTTTTTCATAATAATAATAATAATAAGTCCTTCTTCGCGTCAAATAATTGCACCACAAGAGAAAAGGTGGGGTCCCCCAGTTTTGGAGATATCGCGTCAGACCGCCCAACCTTTTGTTCAATGACTAACTAAATTCTCTTGTATGGTCACCGGGGTGTGGCGTAGCCTCTAGGCATCAATATCATCATCAGTAGCATCGTGCTCTATCTCCTTTGCGCTGCTGCTTCACAAAGCGAAGCTTCATTCTCTCGCTCTTGCTTTGCTTGAATATTCTGTTACTTTAGTGGATTTTGAAATATAATAGTCTCCATGGATGATCGTAAGGAGGTAAGTTTTTCTTTCTCTAAGTTTTTTTTTTTTTTTTTTTGCTAAGAAAGGTCGGAAACTGGATGATTTTACTCTTTGCTAGGAATTGGCGTTTCTGCCCGAGTGTTTTTGTGCCTATAACAATTTGCCGAAATGAGACGGTTATTAGTTTGTGAGGGGTTCAGGCCACTAATCTGCGGAGACGATTACAAGTTTCTATCTGTGCTAACTGATCTAGATTTCAGTAGAATTACCTGAACGAGAGCACTGAAAGCTAAATATTTTTTTTAAGAAAAAAAATTCAAACCAAGCTTGTCTGTCAAAGCTTGTATGAATGAAATTCGAAAACTCAGTTCGATGGTATTCGCTTTAGAAAAACTCCTGCCTGCGGATCCTTCTTAAGTTCTTCCCGCTCATATTTCCTGCTCTTCGATCTATTTTTGGGTAATCAAACCATTCAATTTAATTTTTGTGGGTCATGCAACCTTGATGGCTCTCTTCTTTTGGTTACATTTTCTGAGTGCTGGTAAAACTTTTTTGGCCTTTTGGTTTTGACTATTTTAATCTGTCAAAATTCAAAAGTACACGGAAGCATGATGAGTGATGATGCTCTTTCCATATCCGTTCAATTAACCAATTCTTTGTATTCAAACTTTGAAATGATGATATTACTGTTGCAGTCCCACGAGAAATCTAATGAGTCTTTCCAAACAGAAGAATTAGTCAACTTCGTCCCTACGATTCTTACCCATGTTTCCCTTATTCGCTAATTATTTTTTCAAAGTTAAAAACTTTTTAAATGAAAAAAAATCCTTTTTCTCGTAAAAGAATATGAAATTCAGAGAAGTTGGTGGTTTGTTAACTTGTCTGCAGTATGGCATTGGATTAATCAGAGGCTAATAAATGGTTATATTGATTTTGCAATCTCAACTTATCAAAATTGATCTTAATTTACTGGGCTGCCTAATAGAGAACTTGTATTTATTTATCGTCCTTTATGCTATCATTTATGCCGGTCATTATTGATAAAGAATGATCCTTTCCCTCTAGAAAACTGCTCCCTGGTTATCGGTTCCACAGTTTGGGGACTGGGATCAGAAGGGCCAAGTACCGGACTACTCACTGGATTTCTCAAAAATCCGGGAAATGAGGAAGCAGAACAAGACTAATCTTTCCAGGGCAAGTCTGGGTAATGAAGAGGAGCTCGTGGCTTCAACCACTGCCAGCGTCAACACTGGGCACAGTGAGGCCCAGCACCCCCACTACCATCAAAACCACGAGTCTCCCACTGTAAGATTATTGGCCCCTTTTTAATTTATTCTTTGGTTACTACTTGCTAGTTAATATATATTGGACACGTAAAAGCCATTATCATACAATCAGTGGCTATGACGAAGATTACAGTATCCGGGTTCCATAATGTTATATCATAAAATCTCAAGGAAAAAGAGATTCCAGGATATGTATAATTGGAAGAAATTAGAGAATTTCTATGTACTGAGGTAGCATGATTTTCTTTCTATTTGGTTGAGGATGAGTTTGAAGGTAAGGTAGGCGCAGTTCATGCATTGTTGTTGTAACTGACACTTTTTAACAACACAAATCGCTTGTCTCTCTCCCCTTGAGAAGCCTAAAATCAATATGTCAAGCGCACATGACACTTTCTTATGCAGCTGGCAATTCTAGCTTCTAATACCATGAATAATTGGGTCAAATGCATTCTGTTCATTTCTAAGGGGCCTTAAATTAAATTTTGTAAAGAGGGAAAGATGACCCTATATCTATTTGTGGTTATTAGGATTAGTGATGTAAAGAAACCTAAGTAGCTGACATCTGTAAAGCGGTAGACTCCTTATAAATCACATTCTATTACAAGAAATTGGACAGTCTCGCATATAAAGCAATTCTAATTTTTATTTGTCTCCATCCGCTCAGGATATAACTTTCGTAATGTAAGTGTGTCTGGTGGAAGGCTTACTCTCTTATCTTAGTAAGAACTGGATGAGGACTAGACATAGGCTAAGGAATGAGTTGCATTGATTATTAGCTATGGCTTATAAATAATGCAATTTGATATAGAGTTCATATTTTATATTGATATACTGTAAATCAGATTCATCCTCTAGATCTACAAAGGCTGGTCTCAATGATATGTGTGTTTTCTAAAGTAACGTATAATAATCATGCAACTGAGCAGCTAGTTTTGGAATTTCAGCATGCGCTAGCTATTTGGCATCTTTAACGCCTTGATTGTTTAAATTTTTTTCCTGCCAGACAAGGAAGGGCATCCTAAGCTGCTTCAACTGCTGTGTGAAAGCATGACATGAAAGGGCACGTGCACTGATCTTCTGAAGATTGTGAGTGGTGACAATTGTGCTCGTACACTTTTGAAGAAAACTTACCTTTCCTTTCAATGCCTTACTTTTGCATCAATGAATGCCATCGGCTACGATGATAGTTTTAAATTTGATTAACCCAATTAGAGTTTTGCAGCTAAAAGCTACTAAAATGTAAATGGCCGTTGTGAGTAGTTTTGCAGCTCATAAGTTATGAACCTCTCACCCAACCCCTGATATGTGTTGTGAGTCAATCTTCGCAGGGAGTAGTGAATTGAAATTATGGAAGCTGTGAGAAAAAAAATTTAGGAGACTGTGTGCTCGATCCCACCCCAAGACTTCCATTTGCTCTGGATCAAACTTATACACACAGCACACGCCGCATGTACTTCCTTTTTTAAAAAAATGTAAGGTAGTTTTAATCAAATTTCATTTTCAATAAAGTGTTTACTTATTTTCAAACTAATCTTATCTTTTCATATTTATCCCTATTAAATACCCTACAATAAATATAAAATTATTATCAATAGGGGCACTTTAAAAAAAAGCAATAATTATACTTCAAAAAACTCAAAATGTCTTACATTTTTTAACATCTAACTTTTTAAAAAATATCTTACATTTTTTAAACGGAGAGAGTGTACATATAAAGAAGGGGAAAGTATTGTAATTCTTCTAATTCACAATATAAGTTATTATTAATTAATTTATATTTTTAAAAAAATTGGTTAAAATTTTGATTTTTTTTAAAAAATTGATTTTTCCAATCATATTTTTTAGTGGAATAAATATAATATTTGACTTACTGAAAATATTTTCATCATTTTTTTAAGAAAATGACAATTTATTCCATCATAATTTTTTTATTTGAATAAAATATAATAAAGTAAATGTATGATTAAAATATATGTAAAATTCATTTAATGTTTTATTTTTTAGAGCAAGTAAGAAGAGTGTTGAATTTTTTTTGGTCAGAATATTGAATTTTGGGCAAGGGCAATGTAAGTGAATTAGGGGTAATTAATAGACGTTTTATCCTTTTGGGTGACCCCAGCCCAACTCAACACCAAGTGAGGCTTAAATTTTCGTCCCCCAAAAAAATAGATGCAAGGCCTGAATATGCTTTGGGACTGTTACAAAATTGATTATTTCCATTTATATAAATAATGTGATTCTGCTTTCCAATGTACCTATAAAAAAATAATGATATGATTCTTTGGATTTTTTTATTTAACTCTATTTCATAATTTGTTTAAATATAAATGTAAAACTAGGTAAATAATGTTTGAAATCAATGAAAATTTAACTTTCATATTGAATTTCGGATAAGTTATAGGATAATGGAGAAATTTATTTTTTTAAAATAAAACTATTGATTTTTTTTAGTTTTCTTAAATTCAAAATGTTGCTATTATTAACTAATGTCTTTCAAGTTGAATACAACTCCTGCTTCTCTCTGTTATAGGGTGTTTTTGAAAAGTTTTTTTTTTAATATAAAACATTCGATATATGTTAATTGTTTTTTTCAATATTATTCATGTTTAAACTTATTAATTATAAGAGAAAATGTAATAGAAATTTGAAAAATTTTTATTTAGAAATGGATAAAATTAAAAATATATATTTTTAAATAAAATTAATGACTTGATCACTTTTCTTTAGTCTTGGTAAAGTGATTAGAAATAGCATGTAATGATAACATGACAAGGGTTAACAAAATGGTTAGAGAGAAAGTTATTATGAATTATGAAGTTTAAGAATGCCGCGCGATTTGAATTTTGTCCAAAATTGGATGTGATGCATTGCTAATACTCTGTCTATTTTAAATTATGAGATATTTTTAGAGGAGTTTTTTTATCTCAAAATATAAAACACTTTAAGTAGATTAATATTTTATTAAATATATAAATTTTAACATCATCCTTTCTCTCTTTATAATTAATTTATGTCCTTTTTTTTTAATATATTTAATGATGAGTATTTTTTAAAATTTATATTTTTATTTTAAAAAGATAAGATTGTTAAGTATATTTAATGAGATTTATTAATATGTAAAATTTTATTTAAAATAAGGGGAGTAATAATTTATAAATAACTCCATGAAACTTGATGCGCCTCTTCGTTTGCCTCGTGCGAGCTGCCTAATTTTATCTTCACCTAGATTTCATGGTGAGAAGTTCATTGCTGGCATGCGAAGTATCGTAACTCCCTTCACCTCGTTAACATGTAAAATTATTTCATTCGTTGAAAAACCAAGACATTTGCTTTCTAAAAATGTCTAATCTCCCTGATTTCATTATTTTATAATTTATAATTTCATTAATTTTGATACGATACTCATAATAACTAGTAAATTTTCAAAACTAGATGTGGGCAAGTTCTTTAAAACAATAAATAAAAAAAGTGGGTCATTTTAATTAATTTTTTTGGCCAGCAATTTAAATTAGTTGAATCCACGGAACTAAATAGTTGAATTTGAATCCGTCGTGATCATGTGTCGAATTTGACATGATCCAGGTTTGTCGACGCCAGTTTATCAACTTTAATATGATTTTAAATCTGAACCAAAACCAAAAAAAAAAAAAAAAAAAAGGCTGAACACAAGTGAGATTGTCGGTGTTCGGAAAGATGGGATGATGCAGCATTGAAGTTGATTGTTTCTTGTTACTTATACACTCTTTCTGATTTTCGATATAAAACGAAATTAACTAAATTCATGTTAAAATCATAATTATATTTTTAAAATTATTTAAAAATATGTAACTTTTTAATTTAATTTTATTTATAATTAATAATCATAATAAGTTATTGTTTAGAAATTCAAATGAAAATGAAAGTATGAGAGATAAGATTAAAAAAATTAATTATTTTAATTTTACCTTATCTTTGAAAGGGGGAAAAAATTCGTCTCAAAGATGAGAGGATGTTGTTCACTTTCTTGGATGATGGATCATCGCTCTCAGCGATGGAGGATGATGGACCATTACTGTACTTTTTTGATTATTGCCTCTCGAGTCTCGCCCACCACTAATTCTTCAGCGGTCCCGCGCGATCTCTCTCCCCAAAATTTTTTCTTTGTCGAAAACACTCAAACTCCCACCCCCAAACCCAAAAAAAAAAAAAAAAAAAGTCGTCTTTTCATATATGATAACATCCTGCAGATGTTCTCAGATACAAGCATCTGTCCTGCTCCTATCGAGTAAGTACTGCATTCTTTTTTGAAAAAAATATATAAAAAAATCAATTAATACAATTTAAAAAAATCAGTTACATATAATAATTATGTTTGCAAATAATAAAAGGACTAAAATACTCCTATGCTTGATCAAATAAGTCTGCATTAATATTTTGTCTTGAGAATGAAAACTATAACTTTATGAAGACTAATCTAAAAAAATTGTGAAAAATGCCTATTAAAATGTATAATTTTACTTATAAACAAAAATACAATGTAAAAGTTTCTACAAATTTAACGTAAAATGGAAAGTAATTTTGTCATGATAAAATTGACTAGTGATCATTTTCCAATAGTGAATGCATCATCCCCTTGGCAGTATGTATCATCCCACTGTTACATGTAATATCTTCAGTCCATCTTAAATTCACAATTTAAGATAATACTGTGCATGTCAACAGTGGCGAAGCCAGACTTTGGGTCAGGAGGGACAAAATTATTTATACATTCACAATTAAAAAAACTAATAAAAATTATTTAATAATTACATATTTTATAAATTGTCTCTACATAATTTCATGTTTTGAAATCATTGAATAATTAATTTATTATCAATATTTTTAAATATATTTTTTTTCAATATAAGTCACAAGACAATCATTCATTTATAAATTTTTCATTTGATCACTTAATAAGTTTTTCATAAATTTCATAACAGAAAATATTCTTTCAACTATTGTTATAGCAATAGGTAATATCATTATTATTTTTAAGAAAAAGTAAATTAATAGATAAATAATATGTCTTACAGTTTTAATTAATTTTTTCGCAAATCTGATTTGAAATTTCAAACAGGGTGGCCCAAATTATTCCTTTTCTTATTTTCTTGAAGGTTTAATAAATATTAATTTTTTATAAAATAATATTATTATTTAGATATATTGAAATTGGAAGCTAAAATTTATTGAGCTTTTGAGTTAAAAAAATTTATATCTAAGTCAAAAAGTAATATGAAATGAGTTTAAAATGTAAAATATAAAAAAGAGGGATACAAAATATAAAAAAAAGGGCCTCCCCTCAAATGCATGTGGCTCCACCACTACATATCAATAAACTCAATAATTATATTTTGCAGACTTATTTTTTAAAATAAAAATATAAATTTTTAATAATACTGTTCATTTTAAAAATGTCATTCATTTAATACTTTATTAATAAAAGAATATTGAAGAAAGAGAATATATAGAAAAGGTAATATTGAAGAAGTATCATTAATGAAATCTTATTTTTATTAAATTATCTTATATCTTGGAATGCTGATTTTTTTTTTTTAAGTTTCTTATAATTTGAAATGAATGGGGTATTTTGGAATAACAAACTACCTCCAGTGCTGTCTTATAATCTGAGACATAAGAGCATACATTTTATTTTTTGTATAAACATCAACATACAATAAAAAATAACTTGCTCCGCTGAACAAAGAGGCTTGAACTTGTGCACTTATATGCATGGTAGGAATTTGAGCTTTTGGTGCGGGAAGAGGGAGGAAAATAAACCAGGATTTGGAGATGGCCACTCTATAATCAGGCGGTGGAATTTGGATTTTCTCCACGCACACACCCCCTCTCTCCCTATGTATCTTGCTATATTCAATCTCATCTATCTGTTATCAGGTAGGCGTAACATGAATAATAGCAATCTAAGCTTCTTAAGTATCATTCTGGTTCAATTCATTCATGAAAATGTGTACGGAGAATATCGCTTGAAAGATGACAATTCCTCAAGTAATATTTAAATCCTTCAAGAAATTATACTCAAAACTATTTAGCTGTGAGGATATTCTGATGGAAAAAAAAAAAAAAACACTCATCCATTTGCCTGATCTATCATTCAGTTTTAAGAGTGTGAGATTGATTACACAGTTGGATTTCAATTTACATCTGTCAAAAATATATTTGAGAGATCCAATTATTTATTAAACTTAATAAAAATATATCTTAAATGTAGTTTGAATATATTTTTAAAAATTATTCAAACAAATCTTAATAGTTGAACGAGTACATGACAAAGTGATTACATAATAAATATATAAATGGCCATCAAACTAAATGGATAATTAAATTAAACATCGAAGAATGTATTAAGAGAAGACTGGGATAAAATATAAGTTTTGGCACATGGCTGCGATATTAAAGTTGGGGTTGGTGAGAGAAGCTATCATCCTCCTACTACGCTGCTTCGCCTTCCTCCCCCCCACCAACCTCCGATTTGAATTCAACTGAAACTCAATATTGGTTGGTGGCGTGCTCTCCTCCTACGTGGCCACCCTGTTCCACCAGCACTCGTTTGACTGCATCTCAACCAAAACCACAAATCTTTATACGACCGATCGATAATAATTTTTAGTTAACAACAATACAACTCCTGTTTCATGAGAATATGGATTCGTCAATTACTCAAACATGTATTTTTTCTCAAATAGTACATGTTCATATATTTAAAGCAACCACTCATATGGAGAACCAGATCTAAATTTTCTATAATAATATTTCTTTTGAAGGTAAACCTATGTAAGTGACAATAACTCATTTCACAAGCTGGGTTGGTAATGAATTATTGACTAAAATAGAATTTAATTTCATATTATACGTGAGGTACGATTGTTTTTAAAAAGGTTTGTGATTTTTTATTGTTGAAATTTTAATATATCTATGAAATAATCTTCAGACATGCAATGATTAAATCGAAAAAAATTAAAGCAAGAAGTGTAGGAAGCTTAATCCAAAAAATACGAAGTCCAATAAACTAAGGCCAAAATAAAAAAGAAGAATAAACAATTGAAAATAAACGAGACCGACCCAAAATCACTGCTAAAATTGTGGTGGTAACTAGTAACTACATTTTCAATGCATTGACGTCCTTTTTTTTGAGTTCGTTTTTCTTTTTTTTTCTTGGCCACATCTTTCAGACTTCGTTTAGTGCGCGGAGTAGTTAGGTACTGCTCCCGCTAATCATTTTTTAAAAGAAAAGAAAAGGAGAGAAAAATTACCAGCCAGTAGTGTGAAGAAACCGGAATGGGGAGCACCGTCAGTTTCAGTTTTACATTTGCCTCTTTCTCGGCTTTCAGACAGATCCTCTTTCAATAATCAATAGTCATACCTCTGCCCTCGGATTCTATGTTCGCATCGAGGAGTATTTTACGATTCCAGCTATTTTGATTAGGTTCCGACTCGATTAAGCGGGTACTTTTTGCCGCGGCTTCTCTCCCCATAATTTATAAGAGGTGAGATTCTACATGTTAAGAGATTTTTATGTGTTTCCTCTGACGTTTTCTTAGCATACGAACGCTACAGATTACCTTAATGCCATATACAAAGCTGGATCATCTCATGCGTATATTCTTTTACGTGCTTGTTTCTGGTGTTGTTTCGTTCACTAATTTTCTCGTTTTATTACTTTTTGTTCGTAATCTGGATTGAGCATATTTGCTGAAAAACTCTGCATTCACAGCTATAGCACCCTGGAAGTCGGTTATTTTGCGGGGACGCCATGGATGCTAAAGCGACGCAGAGGTTGCAATTCTCAACCTTTATTCATTACGAGAAGTCTGGAAGGAAATTCGGTGGTTCTGTGAAATTCTCTCGAGCTTTTAAAGAACCGCAGAAACTTAATGTTTTTGGTTTGCAGCCGGCAACTGCAAGACCTTCCCGCAATCGGCGGCGGGCGGCCCCTTTGGAGGTTTCTTGTTCCTACGACAATTTGCCAGGTTTTTGTTAATAGTGTTATATTTTGGCCACACGGATTTGTCTTTTCCAGTTTTTTCCAAACGTGCTCGTCATTTTTTGAGCAAACCAATATCTTCGCTAAATTTCCCTCTTGCTCTTCTATTATTGGTTCCCTTTCCTCCTCTTACGCAATGAGATCTCTTGTTCGAGGAATTAAGATATGCTAATTGTGAAAGAATCAAGGATAACCTGAAGAAGTTACAATTAACTATAGTTGAAACTGTCAACAAATTGGGATGCAGGAACCATGCCATAATTGTGTGGAGTTTGTAATTTTTTGTCAAAAATATGTTTATATCAGGGTATTAACTATTCCGTGCTCATTATTCTCCTAAAAATACGTTTTCTTGAGACATGAACTCGTCAAGATTACCGGTCACCAAGGTTCTTTTCTGAAGCCTGCGAAACATTTTCAAATAAAAATAATCAGAAGCTAGATTTTTTGTTATGAAACTTATTTAAATGTTTGAGCATAGATATTTGACACTAAACATAGTGGAATATCTATATTGCAACACAAGATGTGATCATTGTGAAGGGACAGTAAGCTCACCAGCTGGAACCTTGAGACTGGTTTCTGTCTAGGTGATCCGTATAAAGACACATTTCTGAATTCTGAAATATATGTTATCGTCTGCGGTTTCAACCACTTACCCCTCCAGTCAATAGTTTTAGTTAGAGGAAGTCTCTTAAAAGATTTCTCGTGGGAGAGCATTGGGTTTGTTGCTGTGTAGTGATTACTTATATTTGCCTGCAAGAGATTTAGTATATTACTTTAGTATCACAAGCGTTAGCTATATCGATTATTAATTGTTTATTTAAAATATCACTCTTGTAGCTTTGACATTGGACTCTGGAAGTTTAGAGGCCCCTCCTGATGAAGAGTTAATGTTACAGGTAAATCATGAGACAATTTGTCTTTCAATTGAGCCAATTAGTCTAGTGATGTGACACCTTTTTCTTTATGCTGTTAAGGGAAGGCACAAAAAATGGTAGTTTAGCTCAGTTTGTTGCTTTTCTAAGCAACTATATCCCATTATCTTACTTGAAGTCAATAAAATTGCAGACTAAGACACAAGAGATCGAGCCTTATTTAAATGGACGCTGTATATATCTTGTTGGTCAGTCTCTTGGTTGAAGTCCTTGTACTTAAATAATATGCTTGGGAAGTATGATTACTTTGGCATTAATATTTTGAAGTTGACATGCAGGAATGATGGGGTCTGGGAAGACAACTGTTGGGAAGATTTTGTCACAAGTGCTTAGTTATTCCTTTTTTGATAGGTTAGTGAGTGATTCACTGTTCCTTTTTTGAAATCCATTTCAAGGCAATTGAATATTGCATCAGTCGGATACCCAAAGACTAACAGGCAGGAGAAAGAATGAACTTTGGTTACAAGACATTCTATAAATTTCATCACGTTCAATATTGGATTTGAACTTTGGCTGGCGATAATGCTTGATTAATAGTGAAAATTCCAAGAAGATATGACATGTATAGTTGTATTTGAAAGACAATAACATGGTCTCAATAATCTGAGGAGTATGGTCTACTTTGGTGTATACGATTATGATTGAAAGTTGTCATATTCCTTGTCATGATACAAGAGTCTAATTTGATGGACACATTAAGTATGGGCTGAATATTTTCTGCACTTGGTTCCTTCATGAGTGCTTTAGTGATGCATTGGTGGAGGATGAGGTTGGTGGAACTTCTGTAGCTGATATATTCAAGCACTATGGAGAGGGTTTCTTCAGGGACAAGGAGGTCAGTTAATAAGCTCAACTTTTCCAATTTATGTAATCTCAGTTTTTCGAGTTTTTTTTTTTTTAAGTTTGGTGAAGCTTCAGATTACCCCATTATAATAATCAAATACTTGTTCTTTTACATTTTCAGACTGAGGTATTGCGTAAGCTGTCACTTATGCATAGACTCGTAATTTCTACTGGTGGAGGTGCAGTTGTGAGGCCCATCAATTGGTATAACAACTTTCATACAAATTAGAGAAATTTTATCTTCAAGTATTTTGTGATTCACTGTATTCTCAATTTAGTCCATACATGTTATTCAATCTTCATATGTGGATTGCCAGGAGATATATGCACAAGGGGATTACTGTTTGGTTGGATGTACCTTTAGAAGCATTGGCCCGGAGAATTGCAGCCGTGGGAACTAATTCTCGTCCACTTCTGCATTATGAAGCAGGAGATGCATACACACGGGTGGCTATTTTTTTTCCAATTCTTAGCTCCCCGTTCCCTTTACTCTTATTATCATTATGAACAGCTCAAGACATCCTTTGCAACGACTAAATTACTATTCTACTAAATAATTCAGCTGCATGGAATTTACTTGCAGGCTTTGATGCGTTTGTCTACACTTTTTGAAGAAAGAGGTGAAGCATATGCCAATGCCAATGCTAGGGTGTCCTTAGAAAGTATGCCCTTTCAAACCCTTTTCATTTGTAAGAAAAATTGGGGTCCTGTTCATTATCTGCGGGAACACAACGGAAATGGGACTTCCTGTTTGTAAAGACTTTAGTTAGTGTAGTGAATGTGTAAAATAGTAAATACAGCTCAAATTTTTGGCCTTGTTATTGGTGCATTAGGCATGATTGTCTCCTGAATCATGAATGCTTCCTGCTTTACTTTGTCCCCTCCTCACCTCCTCTCCCCAAAAAGCAAAATGCCCCAAAAAAATTCCTGTCACATCCCATTTTGATCTGAAGTTCCAACATTGATGGCACAGTGCTGTTGTTTTGTACAGATATAGCTGCAAAACTGGGCTGTAGAGATGTGGCAGATATCTCACCTGCTACTATTGCTATTGAGGTCACTATCTTTCTCTGCCTGTCGCCCTACTACTGGCCTCTACTTATTCAAGTTCTTTTCGACTAAATTGAATATATTTTTGTTATCTTGATGCTTGTGTATGCTGTATTTACAGGCGCTAGAACAAATTGAGTGCTTTTTGAGGGGTGAAGACGGCCATTATGCAGGGTTCTAGCTCAAACATTGACATGAGCCTGTGCTTGTGATATAATTACGTGCATCATGGCACACGTTCCTAGTTTGTGTTAGGGTGATCTGACTCTCCATGGCTTTTGTAACTTAAAAGTTCTCAATTGTTCTTGTATAGAGTGTAAACGCGGATCTTTAAAAGTGTATTGTATTTTATGTATGCCTTTCATGAGTTTTGTTTGTTCTATAGAAACAATCGACTTGTTTTTCAGCGCCAAATGGTGATACATTTCATGGAGAGCAACTACGAAGCTGTTGACCCTTGTAATCCTTTGCAATTTGACACCGGAAGAAATCATGCAATGCTAGCTGTCCCCTTTAACCAAAAGCCGTTTCTAACCAAATGAAGTCAATGAAACTGCAGCCATCGTCTGTCAAGCTTTTTTTGTTATGCTCTGGGTTAAAGGAGTATAATTGGAATCCGGAGCGAAAAGCAGCATTTGGTTGAAAAATCTATTAAAAAATATTATTCGTAACTAAATTGTGGGTTACATGACAAAACATAGGCCTTTAGGGTGAGTTTTATTGTTTATGATCTATAAGTAGTCCTATTTTTATCTGTCTTATATATTGATATCAATTCATGAACCGTGCACATTTGAATTAAGCATTAAAAATATGAGTTTGAATTTTTAGAAGCTTTGGCCAAAAAAAAAAAGAATTTTTAGAAGTTTTTATGATGTGTTTGGATTGATGAAAATTTCAATTTAAAATAAATATCACATTTAGATATACATAAATTTATGAATTTAAATTTGAACTGCAAATTATAAATTTTTTGTAATTTTAATTTTTTTTTACATTCTAATCATTTGAAATTTTAACCACGTCAAATATTTTGTTCTATTTACATTTTTATTATTAGTACCTCTATAATTTTTTTATCTTATCTTTTTTTATCAATTAAAAAATATATATAAACTCATGATTTATAATATTTTTCATTTTCATCTCCAATTTAAGTTTAACTTTTCTTTTCTTTTGAAATTTTTTAAACTGCTTAAATATAAGATTTTAAATACATAAATTATAAATGTGAGATTTAAAATATAAAATTTAAATTTAAATTTAAATCCAAATTCAAATACATTAATCTAACTACTACTTTAAATTATTATCTTTTCAGCCTATTACATGAGAGAATATATCTAGTTGTGTGCGCGCGGACATGGAAGGGGGCCATACAGAGTGAGAGAGTGGAAAGGGCAAGATTAGAGAGAGCAGGTCTCCCACTTCAAATTGAATTTGTGATCTTATGACCCAATTAATGGAGCTGGCTTCAGTGATAATATCTAAAATTCTTATCCTCTTTGTGTGAGAGTTAGACTGACCACTTAAAAATGTGGTTATAGTGAGTTGCCTGTTGTGAAAAGAAAAGGTAGACTAACTTGATAAAGAGTTATAGTATTTAATTAGAAATTTTAAGTTCAAACTTTAAAAATGTAGTATCGTTAGTGATAGAGCTTTTGCTCGAAAGGATCTTGAGCCCCTACCACTATTGATTGTGCCCAAAGTCATTAATTAATTTTTTCAACCAGAGATAGCTATAAAGATAATCCTTACTGGGACATCATTATTGAGGAAGCGAGAGTTCATCTGATGTTCATTTTTTGTGTAGGGAAAGAAAAATAATAGCTGATTGTCTAGCTAAGAAAGCTCTTACTTAAAAATAAAATAATCCTTTTAACCTTTGATTATCCCTATTTTTCATCTCTCATCAATGCGCTGAATTCTAAGCTGGTTTCTTTTTGTTTTTTATTTTTAGATGTATATTTTTTTTTTGGTACTTAGTTAATGTGAATTTTATTTTCCCAACAAAGAACAAAAGTTCTGTAATATTTTTTTTTTGAAACACACCTCACTTTCTTGATAATTATTTAGCAGACTATATTATACTACACGCAAAATTAGGATCTATTTAATTTTTGTTCTCATTTTTTATTTTTTAAAATTATTTTGCAATACATTTTTTCACATATTTTTCAAAAAAAAAGAAAATTTTTGGTTATATTAATTTAAAAACATTTTTAAAATTAAAAATTTTATCTATAATGATGGCCACCGATGGTTTATGATAATTATTGATCATGGTAATTATAGTTTTCAATAATAGAATATAATGTATTTTAAAAATAAGAAAATTAAAATAAAAATAATTTTAAGATGTTTCTATTTTTTATTTTTAAAAAAATATTTTTAGAAATAGAAACCAAATAGCCCTCAGTTTGTGACTTTGTGCTTCTTTAAAACAATTTCTAACTACGATTTTTTTAGTTATTTTTTAAAAAATATTCATAGAATAAATCATATATATTTTTATATAAATTTTATTAAAAATATAGGAATATTATTTAAAATTTTATTTTTAAAAAAATTGAAACAAAAAATTACTTATTCTTTAGTTCAAGCGTTTTTTTCTTAAAAAAACGAGTAAACCACTTTTTCCACAAAAATAGTTTATAGAGGAGTATTTTGAATGAAATATGGAATTTAACAATTGAATATTATAATTTTGATGACAACAAAAAGCCTAACATTTTACATGGATTGTTTTGGTCGGACTAATATTGTTATAAAGTAAATATTCTATAACAGATACATCAAAGTTGAGATGGCCGAGTTGGTCTAAGGCGCCAGATTAAGGTTCTGGTCCGAAAGGGCGTGGGTTCAAATCCCACTCTCAACATAATTAGCTTTTTTTAAAAAAATATTATTATCCATTTCTAATTTTTATCGTCCTCAACCGTGTGAAAGACACAGCACAGAGGAAGAGATAATGTGGATGACAAGCATGACATCTACATCTCTGCCTAAGCCAGTCTTCACTCAGTATCATTTTCATCCCCGCCGCCCAAGACGCCTCAACATCAACCTTCCAGTCCCAACACGGCGAATCAGTGCTTCCTCCGCCGCTCCTGGCGTCGATCTCAATACTCTCGAATCTGCCATTGCTCAGGTTCCATTTTCTTATGTTTTCAAGTTCCTTTGTCACTTCATATAACCTTACTTCCTTTGTTTCCATTCCGTTATGAGTTGCTTGTCTTAGTTATTTTTGTATTTGGTTGGTTAATAGTTCTTTTTATATTCGGTGGTTTAATTTAATATTAGAGAGAATGACAATTCCGAGGAACCAGGTTTCAGAACACTCGATATGTTTAAACCAAATAATAATAATAACAACAACAACAACAACAACAAACAACAACAACAACACACGATATGAAGGCTCCCCGAAAATTGAGTTCAATTGAGATTCCTTGCCTTCATTTTTATGTTCCCGGGCAAGCCAAGTCATTTAAAAGTCCAGAATGATGCGATAATTACTTCGCTAAGTTCGCTTAGGACGCTAGATCCTGTCGTCCTTGATGTGTAATTGAAACTTGAGAGGCATGTATTTTTGCAGAAAGATAGTAATGCTGTTAAAGTGGTGCTTGATCAGCTGAATGAAGTTGGGTGGGCCAAGAAATGGAGTTCTCAGCCTTACGTTTCATGTCGTACGGTCAGTCTCCATTGCAAGTGTGAAGTTCTGGGGAAGTTCCATCCAAACATTTGACTCATCTTCCAATTCGTGCTTTCATGCTTATGAATATAATGTATACTTTTTCAATGCTTCCAATACTTACCCATACCACATGTAACCTTAATTGGTCGTACAAGTTTTGACTGCTCAACTCTGTGAACCAGACATCACTTCGAGAGTTGACATCTCTAGGAATAAAAAACGCTGAGAATCTTGCAATCCCGAGCGTCCGGAATGATGTGAGTTCTGGCAATTAATTTTAATGTCAAATGGAATCACCTATACTTTTAGTCTCTGAGATTGAATGCCTTAAAGTTCTAATTAGGAAAACATAGCATTGGAATTTCTTGTATGCATACTTGAAGCGGTTCACTCGAATCTTTAGAGGTCTTATATATCTAATTATGCAGGCAGCTTTTCTTTTCACGGTGGTGGGAACAACTGGCTTTTTGGCTGTTCTAGCTGGCCAGCTTCCTGGGGTATCTCCAACATCCTTCTTCTGTGTTTATGTGTGTGGATCTGAAAATAGGTCTTGTAAATCCGTCTTAGAACTGTGATAGAAAGGAATTTTGTTGAAGCAAGGTTTTTCAAATACCATTCTGCATGTATAAATTTCAATGTTAAGAGTGGAGCTGTCTTTTATTCAACAGAAGTTTAATATAATGTGCCTTGCATTTCCATCTTTGATTAGTGCTGACTCTGTAGGATTGGGGATTCTTTCTTCCATACTTGATTGGAAGTATTTCCTTAGTGGTTTTGGCTGTGGGTAGTATATCACCTGGGTAAGTTTATTTTGAGTAAGATGTGAGTGAATGCCTTCCATATTCAGTGGCATTAACATACTAATGCTTTTATATGTTATCGCAGTCTTCTCCAAGCTGCAATCAGTAGCTTTTCGTCAGTTTTTCCTGATTATCAAGAGAGGATCGCCAGACACGAAGCGGCGCACTTTCTGAGTACTGTTTCTTTTCCTTTTTGGGTTTACATGCTCAAAGTGAAAGCATTTTATATTTGTAACGTTCCAGTATAGTCTCGAGCTAATGAGTAACTGTTTGGCCTTTGATCATTATGCATTATTCTAGCTGCTTATCTGCTTGGCCTTCCCATCCTGGGGTATTCACTGGATATTGGGAAAGAGCATGTAAATCTGATTGATGAAAGGCTTGAAAAGCTCATCTATAGCGGGCAGCTTGACGCTAAGGAGCTAGATAGGTGTTTGCTAGGCAGCCTTGTTTACTATTTACTCTTAAAATCAGTACAACGACATGCCATATGACTTTCAAGAACCAAAGACCAAAATGCTTAGAAATTAAGATGATAACAATATTAAAAGCTTGATTTTAATTATATATTTTAGATTGGCTGTCGTGGCAATGGCCGGATTGGCGGCCGAAGGTTTAACATACGACAAAGTGGTTGGTCAATCTGCTGATCTCTTCACTCTCCAGGTTTGACATTGCTTTTCTTCTGAGATTTGGATGTTATTACCCTAAACTAATGTGTGGGCGAACTACTCAATTATTGTCTCAAAACCATTGTATACTTTGTTTTCCTTTAGAGGTTTGTAAACCGAAGCAAACCGCTGCTCAGCAAAGATCAACAGCAAAATCTCACAAGATGGGCTGTGGGTTCTTCTAAACCAAAAGCTATGCAATCGATGTTATTATGGATTTGAGAGTTTGAATCGTATCACAATTGAATGTACCTTTTTTAAATGCGTTTTTGCACTTGAACGCTGATGCTTGCAGGTTTTGTTTGCTGCTTCTCTCTTGAAAAATAACAAGACGATTCATGAAGCCTTGATAAGAGCCATGTCAAATAAGGCAAGCGTTCTGGAATGCATCAAAGCAATTGAGACTGCAGAGTAGTACAACATCAAACCTTTCCCAGCTATGAAGTGCGAATCACAGATGAAACTCTAGCATAAGCATGCTATATGACGATGAACCATATTTGAAACATGAAGGCCAATTACTTCTTCCTGTTTGTTTTGTTTTCTTTTGGTCCGAAAAACTGATTATTACTTCATAAATCAGACTTCGTTATTTTTTTGTAAGTTTTTTCAAATAGAGCCCACTCTTAGTCCCTGTCTCTTTCTTCTCACAAGCGGGCAGTGGAGAAGATTTAAACTGTACATTATTGAATCTTCATTTAGTTCAGAAGTTATTGGGTATTGGCTTATGTTACTTGTATGCTTGTTCTTGTCTTCTGATAAATTTGGCCTTTGTCTTGATGGTGATGCTTCAATACGTTCACTTGAATAAATGTTCAAAACAAACAAGTAAAATAAAAAGAGCAATGTTTTAGTACGTACAAAAATACGTGACTATTGCACCACGGTAGTCTTCGGAGCTCGTCCTGACAAGATCATCCTAAACTTCGAGGGCTGCTTTATTGGGTTGTGGCCAATTCTCATAATTTCACATTGCTGTAACTAAAATCAGAGAGAAGTGTCCTACTTCTTCAAATTTGTTTTTCTTTTTTTGTTTCTTGCTTGCTTTCGTTCTTTTAGTTAATATACTTTCTCGAATTTGTTATTAATGAGGACTCGCCTTTGATTGACCAAAATCAGCCATGATCTTGTGCAATTTTAGTTGGTCGTACTTTTAGTGTGTGTGGGGTTTTCATGTAGAAACCACTAAAATCAAACATGCTCTTGACTACCAAATAGCTGAGGATTCCTTATTCAAAGTCGCCCATACATTGACAGCATATCTTTAAGCTTAGCCGCTTCTCTCTCCAACCTATCAAAGCTCACAGATCTTGGAATTCTCCAACCCCAGTTTCCCAACTGCATTTATTGAAAAGAAATCAATGGGCATGGATGAAATCATCCTTCTAAGAAATTTCAGGGGAAACTTGTGACAGCAACTTCCAAAACGCTTTTTCGGTTACAAGGCATCTAAAAGTTCTCTTTCTTTTATTTGAAAGTTTTTTCACGAGGAAAAATAGTTTGTTTGAGGCAAAAAAATACTAGTGTTCCTAAAACAAAAAAATAAAGACTTTACATGATAGTTTCTTTGGTCCTATATATGATAGTCTTATATATTAGTTGCTTTGCATAAATAAGTGGAGCATTAATTATCATCATTTTTTTCAAAATCCCCCCTACTTCATTCTTAAACCATTTTAATGATTTACCTACCTTTCTTCAGTTTTAGTGAAACAGTTAAATAATGCCCTATATTTAAGATAGGAGGGAATAGCTTTTACCTGAGTTGCGGGAATATTCATCCTTGCAGAGCTTCCAAGTCTGAGAATATCCTGCATAGGTATTATAGCTGTCCGAGCAACGGAAGATAGTACCTTCTGAATTAGCGCCCATGAGATGTCATCCTCCTCTGTTAATGAAAGATAACTCCATACCTGAAATGTGGATGCAATGAAACAAGCAGATGTTAGCCTTCTCCAAGATTTTTAACAACAAAATTTTTAGTAAAACATATACCACTGACATTGGACTTTTCTTCTTGCTTCAAAGCTTCCCACCAACCTCTGATCTGTAGCAGAAAGGGTCAATGCTTTTACATCAAGAAAAATAAAGATACAACAATTCTCATGTGATAACTAGAATATACAAGCCTTTGTTTGAACACACAGGCGCAAACCAGAGTCCTCTTTAAGAATATAGATCCCAACCATTAGAAAAAAAGTACGGATTAAGAAGTTCTTACAGTGTCATTGTCGTGAGTCCCTGTATACACAACTTGATTGCACTCATGATTATGGAGCAAATGAGGGTTATCAGCATCACCACCAAATGCTGGACAAAGGGAAGAAAAATTATGGCACCGAGACCTCAGCAGTAATTCTCAGTCTGGTGATGGAGCATGGAAAACAAAATTAATTATTACCAAATTGGAGAACGGCCATTCCAGGTGCTCCAATATATTTTCTTAGCTGAACTACATCCTCAGTAATAACTCCCTGCCACATAACCCAAATATTCTAAGACTTTGCCACAGATGAGTTGAAAAATTGTCAGAAACAAAATTCATTTCTTTAATACATACCAAGTCTTCTGCTACTATATTAATCTTTCCAACTGCTCTGGAAACAGCATCAAAGAAGGATTTTCCAGGTCCTACCTATCATTTCAATGTGATGATGAGAAAATGAAAGATTATCAGGCAGATTATGGGCTGAGAAAACAAATAGAAGGCAGAGGTGTAGAACCAAGTGGCAGGGACCTAACCTTCCATTTTCCAACCATTGCTACTTTAGCTTCTGCAAATTATAGGCCAGACACTTGTTAGCCAAACGAGAATAAAAAGCTGAAATTAACTTAGGGTATACTAACCAGAGGGAACTGCCCAAAATCCAGAAAATCCTCTAAAGTGATCAATTCTGAATTCATCATAAACACTTTGAGCACATCGTATTCGGCGTATCCACCATGAGTACCCATCTTTTTCCATGGCATTCCAATCATACAAAGGGCTTTTGAATAATCAGAATGTACAAACAAAAACAAGAAATCAGTTATTTAAAAGGAACAGGAGGCCAGTTACAATCTGAATTCATCATAGAATGAAAGCAATTAAAAATTTGATTAGGAGGAGTAGGTGTAAGTAACAGGATAAATAATTGCTGAAAAGCAACAGCAGAATTATCAGGTGATATTTACAGTGATAACTGGTTAAAATAGCATTGAAAGAGAGGTACAAGAAAACTACACGGATAAAGTCAGGAGACATCTTGTTGACCTCTATTTCAGTATGATAAGATGTCTTAAATAAAGAGGAAGGGTAATTTAAGTTGGCGTCAAGACAAGAATTACTGGAAGCATATGGATAACTAATGTCAAACCTGCCCCACAGCTGACCAGTTTCACTGAATGCATCAGGAGGAACACCACTAACTAAAATAGGAAAACCTCTCCTGTTCTGTCAGACAAATACAGAATTTCTAGTGATTGAGCAGGACAAAATGGATTTAAAAACATGCTTATAACAGACTTCAGAGTAATATTTTAACTCTTTTCAGGCTACCAACCAGCAGAAATTGGTTCTTATTTGCCCAAACATCAGCACTGTGATAACCCACATATATGGGCATGTCTCCCATTATCTTAATTCCCCTACTCCGGGCATAGTTACAAACTTTCTGCCATTGCCTCTGAAACAAGAATTGTTGGGCAATAAATATTTCAATCTGCATGGTAAAAGCATAAGTGACTCATCATGACCACTTCTAACTTTAATATGCATACAATGTGAAAGTGGTAAAGATAATTATAGCTAATTTCTAATCTTACAAAATCTTTCTTGAGTTGGTAGATATCTTCTAGAGCTACAAGATGGCGGTTTCTTAAAGGTTCAGGCCAATCATACCAGCTCAATGTGCTTAGACTGTCATCAATAGCAGCAAAATAAGCTGCATCTTCAAGCCAGCCTAAAACATAGAAAAACTATTACAGCACTGCAACAAACTATTCTCCACTGAATTGACAGACCTTGCATAAAAGCCCTGGAACCAAGAACTTATATAGTAGTCAGACTGAGCCATACATTCTCATATACATTTTTGAGAAAAGATATGCATATGCAATTTTTATTGTTCAAGATCTCTTACTTATTACAACCTGTCAACACAAACCCTGATATTTCCAACTTTTACACCCTATAATCTAATAGCCCATAAGCTTCAAAACCCCTCACTGAGCAGGAAATACAGGGAAAAATTAAATATTATTGCACAGCGTTCAATTGAATTATTACCACCACAACTATAATGGTTTTCAAAAAATAAAAAATAAAAATTTACACAACAGCTGTTATTTATTATTTTGCACCTTATTATGTTTAAATGAAGCATTAATACATACCAAAACAAAGAATGTATGAATATAAACAAAAGAAGAATAGTAACTCATTAAGTATCTCACTTGATATGTTAGGGTCCCTACAAAAATTCTCAAGTTGCCTTTTAAGTTCCCCTTCACTTGAAATGAGCCTCGTTGCAGCCTGCAGATTATTTCAATGAAAGATTTAAAAGATACTACCAGAGGCATGCTCATTAACATATAGGAAATAGAGCAGCTCTGGCATCACAAATAGCCACAGAGAATCTTACAAGCCCCTGCCAACCAATGTAAGACTAACAGTGTTACTTGTCTGCCATCAGCAGTTGTGATTTTGTAACCCCACAGTTGTGGAACTAGACTTCTCAACTATGATGACGTGGTATTTGTGCATTATTATTAAAAAACCTCTAAAGTTTAACATCATAAATTGCCGAGCATGCTACTGAATAAAGTTCAAATTGCAGGAATTGGTATGAGAGATGAAATGACTTCAAACTTTCTTGATGAAAATCATAGATTTGTACTGGTTTTCTTCTCCGTTGCAATACAGTCGAGTCTGTTAACCATCCTTTTGCCCCGCAACAAGCTCAATCTAAAAGCCCTTTGACACACTTCAGAAGGGGGTGGGGGGGATTACACAATCAACTAATAATTAGCGCATCAAATTACTAGAGAATATTTTTTTTTTATTAGTTAATTGTTCAACTAAAGTAACCTATAGATGCAATTTTCCTTGAATACAATAGACTATGAGCAGTAAAGATGCTTTGAACAACTTACTTTAGCAATCAAAGGATCCTTAACATCAGCAACAAGTGAGAAATTCACGCGTTCAGCGTCACTGCATGCATTTAATGTTAAAAATATGATAGACAATAAGACCCAAAAAGGAGGTCAAAACTATGCTCCCAACTCATATCAACGTTCCTCACATTGGTTTTGGAAGCTCATCCTTGTACAACAATCCGTCCTTAACAAGCTCCTCTAGAGAGATCAAGAGGGTATTGCCACAATTTGCATCCTGCAAGCAAACATCAAAGCTTGTTCTCTTGAGCACGCAAGTAATATAGTTCAGCCTTGATCCTTGACAACTCCCTGACACCCAAAACATTCTTAACACACACACACACAGAGGGTGAATAAGGACACTACGTGCTTGTGAGAAATTATCCTTGTAATATACTAAAATAGAGAAGAGGATTGACATTATGATTGACATCTTCGAATAGTCCTTTCTACTGACAACATCCAACTGTTCTTAACTTTGCTGTCAATGAGAAATTTTGATATAGAGATAGACGCCTATGCCTAACTGCAAAAAATTGGTAACCTGGCCTGCGTAAGGGCATCCATCTTCATTGGTCTTTCTCCCGGGAGGAACAAGAGGTAGGACCTGCATGACATGCACTATTGTTAAGCAATCAAATGAAGGAATATCAACCAGAATATTTAAATTGCATTACGAAGGAAGCAAAATAACTTGAAACTAGCGCAGGAAACTATTGCTAACACAAATTACAATTTTTGCAGATTATATAATTTCTTAGTCCTCACACATCAGAATAACCGTGCCTTAGTTATCTTTTATCTTTTGGCCGCTTCATATTATACAAATTTCCGGATCATACATTCTGTTAAAAATCACTAAGATCAAGCGACGATGACCATAGTGCCTCACACTGTTTATCTCGATAAATGACCACACATAGGAGCTATAAACAAAAGCAGACATAACCTGCCAGACGGAGCAACCAGCACCGTGAAGCCAGTCAATGAAACGAAAGGTCTCGTCTCCGAGATCGCCAATTCCGTAGGGGCCTCCAAACGACGTCGGATGGAGTAGAATTCCGGCTCTTCTCCGATCGTCTGGGCCTGGCTGGGGCAGCCAATTCCCGTAATCATCAGGTAAATCCTCACCAACGCTGACTTGAGCCAAAATACTCTGGCAATGGATCAGCGAATCAGTTGCTTTGGGTTTGAACATAGCAGAGCCAGAGAGGTTAAGAGAAGTCGTTGGATGGTGGGAGCTCCACCCACAACAGGAGAGAGCGCACCATGCTTGTGGGTAAGAGGTTGAGATGGACATGGCCATCTATCTGAAATGTGCTCCGGAGACACTTTTTATTAAAACCTACGAGAAAAAGAGAGCCTCTTTATAGATTGATCGCAACATGGCTGCGTTGGGGTAGAGTACTAGAGTGGACTCAATCTCATTGTTCCAGCTGAGCGTGGATCAGATGAAAAATCTCCTTCAACATTTTTCGTTTCATTGAGGGGTATTTCACTCAGAATAAAAAATTATTATTATTAATTATTAATTGCCAAAAAACCGTAGTTCTAAAATTTAATTTTAGAATTTGGTTTAAAATAGTTATTTGTTATATTTGGAGGTCCCTGTTTGTGATTTTCCCTAATTATAAACCATCCATCAACACTGGCCATGGTATCAATTATGAGATTCAAGCCAATTTCCTTTATGTTTTTAAGACTTAATTTTAAGAAAATAAATACTAAAACAACTTGAACTAAGTTGTTGGCAAAAAAAACAAAAACTATCGCAAAATCAGTAGTAATTCTATAATTTAATTTTTATATTGCAACAAAAAATGAAATGAAAACTGAAATAATGAATATTAAATTTCTTTTCGTGATTTGAAATACTAGTGAATTAATTACTGTTAATATAGTAATAAATATATTCAGGCTTCAGCACGTATTGAGGCGTTCACGGGGGGAAATGTTCAAAGCAACTCGCCGCATTGCCACCTTGCCAGGTCCAAAAAATTAAAAAGCACTGCATTGGGATCTAGGGAAGGCTTTTATATTCATCAACTACGTGCCTATCACCCGGGAATAATCATACCGTGTGAAAAGGCAAATGAGGGAATTTACTTATAAACTATTCCTCTTATTTTTTTTTATAAATCATTTTTATTAATTTTATTTTTATTAATTTCATCAATATTAATATAAATATATATATACATATAAAAAATAAAATTGTATAGAATTTTAAATATGTTCTTATATAATAAATTTAAAAAATTATATCATGTTACCTTTTCTCTCTTACAAAAAGTAATTTTAAAAATACATTTTAAATATTAATTAAAAAGTAACACCATAACTTATAAATAGGATTAAATAAATCTTTTAAAATATAATTTATAAATAAGATTGGAGGAAGTATTTTTTAAAAATACATGATATTCTAATTCTCTTTATAAATCATTTTTACAAACCTCATCAATATTAATATCAAAAAAGTACAAAAAAATAGACACGTATAAAATTTTAAATATATCCTTATATAATAAATTTAAAAAATAATTTCATGTTATTTTTTTTATAAAAGATAATTTTAAAAATATTTTTTAAATATTATTTAAAAAGCCTCACTATAATTTATAAATGATATTAAATAATTTTTTTAAAACATACCTTATAAATGAAATCGGATGAAATATATTATATTATGAGATTTAATTCATCAATTATTTAAAATGAAATGTCCAATGCCTCTCTTTAAATTTGAAAGGACAAACATTTATTTCCCATGTGGTGCCCACTCAATTTTCACAGATGACACTCCTCTTCCTTTTACGCACAGTTGATGGAGCTCCAGGAGAAGTCATCTCTCCTCGTCTGGAACTTTCGGCGAAGAGAGGAGGTTGATGCTGTTGATAGAAAAAGAGCTTGGAAGAAGGCCGTTGCTGTAGAGTTTGTTGGAGTTTGTTGTACTCCAACATGCACAGGGTTGTTGTTCACGGCAAAGGAAAGGAGCAGAATCTTCGGCAGGATAAAGGAGAAAGGAGTCTGGAGGGAAATATGATAACCTAAATAAATTTAAAAAATCTTAAGGTGAATCTTAAGAATTTAAAAAAATTTATTTATACAGTATTTACTCAGGCTGCTCGAATAAATATAGAAAAAATCTAAGCCAAGTTTAAACCTGAATGAGTTTAGCATGAATATCCAAATTTTTTTTATCATTAATAAAATAAATTATTGATTAAAAATATTAATTTTGTAAAATAAAAATTAAAATTAGAAAAAAATAAAATAAAATACAATTTAAATCATTGGGATATTTAGGCCAATCCAAGTAAACTTGAAAGCTAAAAGGATTGGATTCGGATTTAGTTATATAAGTTTTTTTACATACTATGATAACTTAAGCTCAATCTAAATAAATATATCCTAAATAGAGTTCAGTTTGAATAAGTTTGGCTTATTTGAACTTTTGGCTCTAACTAAACGGAGTAGAGGCAATGGCGGGACGCCGCTAGGTGACGGCTTGATGGAAGAAGCGAACATCAGGGAGACTAGTGAGTTTGAAGTCCGAAGGTGTGCGTCTGCGTTCCATGAAGTTTAAAGGAGCGAAAAGGATGGATATTATCATTGAAGGATTGAAGAAGCATGTAGAATATAGAAGGAGAGAGGTCACAGCACTCCACGCACGCGAAAGACATGTGGTCGTTGCTACACTCTAAGATGGTTTACCAATGTCAATAAGCGAAAGAGATTGGAATGAGGTCAAGCAAGGAAGAAGTGAGGAGGATATGACGGAGGAAGACGACAAGAATAGGGTTGGGTTGCTGAGCATGCAAGAGTTTTCAAGTGCTGGATGAAGAAGGCAGCGAGATTGGTTAGGGAAGAGGCTACACAAGGACAAGGCCATGGAAATTGGTGGAGCAATGCATGAGATGATAAAGCGATGATAAGAAAGAGAAGATGAGATATGAAAAGAGGGTCAGAGAAAATGAACATGGACCCACAATACAAACGTCTGTCTCTTTATTTCTAAAGGGAAGTGTTGGGCGCGAATTATTTTCCATCACCCCATAGTATAAAATATCATATACTTTTCGAAAAGTAATTCATGATAAATTTACTCCTTTATCCCTTCATAAAATATAACTAGCGTGACGCAATCCAAATTGTACGGTAAATATATGCGAACACCGTAACAATTAAAACTAAACCGGTCAACTAGCAGCTTAATAATTTGGAGAAAGGGAGGGTATACAATTTTACTGGAAGAAAAAAAGGCACTTAGAATATTTTGGTTTGATATATAATTTTTACTAAGCTTCTCCCGTAGCGTCATTATTATTTGCCGATTTACTCCCATCCATCTTCGACGTTAACTCCAGTCTGCAACTTGTGTCCAGAAATAACAAACACAAGAAAAGCGAAGACACAACACAGGGAAGGGAGTAGGACGCAGTATATATACAAGGGATTAGAGTTCGTCAGACCAATCGCTTTCATAGAACAAGCCATCGACGATCTGATCAATCACGGAGTCGATGAAGGAGTTGCAGCCGACGGATAAGATTCGACCAACTCTGGTTCGGGCGCTGGAGAACCATGCAAACAGAGCCGCGCATGCTACTGCACCCAAGCACACCCCTCCTGCTTCTGTTAGTCCTTCGATGTCCATTTTCCCGAACACGGAGCTTCCCGTCATTAATTCTTTTGTTACCGTCACTGCAAACACCATCTGCACCATCACAATCCCCTTTCATTACAATTAACATCTTAGATGTGAATTTACACGGTGTTGCTGCACCTCGCAGATTCAAATCAAAACTAGGTACAATTAGAATGGTACTTGCCAGTAAATCGTGAACTTGCTTGACGTTTTCTGTGAATTAAACGTGTTTTTTTCATTCCTTCCTAATAGATTTGATGAAAAGCTTCGAGGTATTTGCTTACCATAGCGAGGCGACCAGAGATGATCTCGAAATCCTGGCTTTTCTTATAGCTCTCAATGTAGTCGGACAGCGTCACGAAGAACGGGGACACGCCATCGGCACCATCATCGCCTTCGTTCCTAGTCTTGATCACCCCGACTCGATCAGAGCCGTATGCTCTCAAATTACTCAACCGCGGCTGCAATACGATGTTGGTGCTTTCTGACTCCGCCGTCGTTTTGGGTTTGGGGACCGAAACCTGAACCGGACCAGATTGCGATCCCCTCGACCTAGTAGCGGATCTCGGGGACCGCAGCCGGCAGTGCGGGGTACGAGTGGCGGACGCCATGAAAGTCACAAGAAGGAACAGATTTGGGGAGGCTGAACAGTGAATAGTTCAGTATTTGATTGAGGCTATCGTGGGGAAGAAGATGGGAGTAGTAACGTTTCGAGGAAGCGGGCCCTGATGGCTACGCGTCAATTCCTCTGTTTCACGGATGATGGAGTGAAAGGGAAGTTTAAAGTTCATGTGGTCACCGTGCAGTCGTTTTAACGAATCATTAAATAAATAATATATATTGTTTAAATAAGATCATCAAATATATTATACGGGTGCGGGGTAGTGATGGAGAGGGAGGCTTCCAGAGTTACACGAGAGGTGAGGGCGTGAGGCTAACAAGTAGAATACGTAGCCCGCAGAAGTATCAGAAAAAAGAAAAATAAAAAAGAAAACCCAAAAAACGAGCAACATTTTCTCTTTTGAGAAATGCTTAAGGGTTTTTTAAAATTGATGGGATTACAGATCTGAATGACCCGTTGAAATTTTAAATTCCAGATCTGCAATATTTCCCTTAAATCTCCATATAGTTGCAGAGTTCTATTTATCGACAAAGCAAAGATAAAAAAGGACTGGCGCGACTGTAATTAACAAGAGGCGAATCTCCCAGAACCAGACATCTACTATTTTTGGCCGATGAACGCAACTATAATTTTTAACAAACAAAAACTACAGAAGAGAACTGATAAAGGGAGACACCTATGTCATGCCACAGTAACTGCAAACGCCGTGGTGCCAACAAACATCCCCTAACACGCCGCTGATAAGTCTGTCTAAGTAAACGAAGTCCTAAAGGAAAGGAAAATACAACTTTAGTAAAAGTTTGAGACTCAATGGACCAAAGAGCTCGCAATTGAATTTGAAGTTTGCCGTTATTCCTGGTAACACAATATTCCCATTGATGAACGAGACAGAGACTCCAACTGATAGTGATCCATAGAAATCTGGATGAACCATGTCTTCGCAACTGACTGAACTCCACTAACCAGTAATTTGAAAATCTCCTAGTCATGAACCAGACATCTACTATACCCCATGAAATGATGAAATATTTTAGAGATCCAAATTTGATCTAATATCGATGCTAAACTTGCCAAGGCGGAACAACAGTACTGTTAAAGCCTGACAAAAAATATGGTGAGATCAGGCCCAGAATTCCCTTCTGGGCTCAGCATATACAAAGTTTCGGAATCCTTTGAACCCACAACGTTTTCAAACTGGGCCCGAAAGTATGCCATCTCAGCATCTGATCCGTCCACGTCGGAGTTCCCAGGAAGCACACCGGCACCCATGGACACAGCCTTGAGAAGCTCCATTACATTAAGGTCCTCCTCCGTGGCTTCCCTCTTCACGCCATAACCGGTTTTCTTGCCGTTGCAGAACATGGTCCACAGAGGCTCGTCTCTCAGCTTTATCTTGTCCCTCTCCTGCCGCTTCTCGCATTCCAAAGCTATCCTAACCACTCCTGCGCTCATCTCTTTCTGTAATGCAGTCGTTTGGAGGGCGAGTTCTATCACCAGGGAAGGTAAAAATCTAGAGGTTTCTTGCACGGCGAGGCTCACTCGTCCTTTACGGTAACCGAATAAAGTGCCGGTGACCTTTATGGCGTGGGAATTGCGGCGGTGATGGCACTCGAGGTGGGTGTAGGGAAGGGAGGGAAATTTGCAGGAGGGGGTTATGACGGGGAAGGCTCGGAAAACGGAACGGAAGGCTCGGAAAACTTTGGTTCTGTGTCTCTTTTTGTGGGCTGGTTGAAGGAGGGTATGGCAACGGGACGGCGGCGGCGGGGGCGTCGGAGGGGTGGAGGAAGAGGAGGTTGGGGTATTGGCGTCTGTAAAGGAAGAAGACCAAGAGGCTTCTGAGTGGAGGGAGGAAGATCTGAGTTCTCGCATGGGTGGTGGTGGACGTCGAGGACGACGGACCTGTAAAAGGAGGGAATCAGATCAGTGCCATGAGAGAGAGATTCGGGTTTTAGACATTAAAGTGGGTGGTAAGAGTTTGCGGTTGAGGATCATTCTTCAGAAATTATTTTGCCTTATATTAGGCTTCGAGGCATTCAGTAATGTCTATACATGATTAAAATAGCTTGCGCTTATATTTCTACGAAACAAGTCCGTTATATCGGGAAAGATATTACTTATTCCAGCCATTACACTCAATCCCTAATTTTTTACTTTCAACGCATCAACGTCAGATTTAATATTTGGCCTCTGCTGCATACCTTGACATTGACCAACCAACTAGTCTCTATTTTCTAGTGTTACATACAAATGCGTTTTCTAATTTGGGTATGCGTGCTAATTTACAGTGAGAGGTTTGCGGAAAGGCGCTGACTCTGCTAACTTGAACAAACAGCTTCACAGCAGAAAATTGAGCTTCCGCGAGGCAAGTGTTTTGGCTTCTATAAACAAGTTCTGTGATCACAGCACGTGATTGCTTATCTTCTACGTGCAGTGAAGAAACGCAACAATATCCTGCGTTTTTATGTATAAACAAAAATTGAAGTCCACATGCGGGATGAGCGATAGATGATAGCCTCCAAAAATCTTCACCCATGAGGTTAAAAAAAGTTCTTATTCACTCAAGAATAGTGTAACGCATTAATAATGGAGGGTACCAAAAGAATATTTCAAGTTCCTTGCTAACCAATCTAGCTTGTCTCCATCAACCCGAGGCCATATGGGTCGTCGAAACTTGAGTGTTATAGTGACTTTAGCAGAAAGCACTCGAGTATGACATGAACTGCTTGAGAAATATTGCTAAACTGCAATCTTAGGGTGAATGGTTACTACGTTCCAACTTACGTTTGCTAGAGATTCTGTAACAGCTGATATGTGATGTGCTCATCTTCAAACTACACAATCAAGGTTTGAATCAAAATCCAATAACTAATTACAAAAATAATTGGCTCATGTCATGGTGCATATAAAGGATCTATATGTGTGCACGTGTGTATATGCCCTTCGCCCTTCATTGTACCGATTAACCACAGCAAGAAAGGGCAACTCTCGCATTTATTGTAGTGAAAGTCATATGCAACTATATATAAAACTCCTTAACAATTATGAGAGACAAATTAACTTCAACATTCACTTAATAATTAGAATAAATGTAAAATTCCTAAAAAAATGCTCCTCCACTTATCATACACATTTTAAGAAATGGAAATCTAATCTTGTTTATTACTTTGGTACAGGGGAGAAAAGCATCGGATCCAATCCTAAAACAACACATGCTATCTTCAAGGAACTAAATTATATCTTGTTGGTTCATTGTTAAAAAAGTTCACACAATGGTGTTCCAAATTTAGTCGTCATGGACTCTTTATGATGTGGAAAGTAACTTGATGATTGAAAAATAATAATAAAAAGCTTGGGATGACCTAATACGCAAAATGAATCCACCACTGGTTTGGGTGGCTTTCTTTCTTTTTTTGGGTCAATCAGTGGGGCAAAACTACTACATGTTTTAACTAATCAAAGCTTTTCAAAATAAAAATCATATTCTAGATAATATCAGAAGCCTTTCCATCAAATGATATATGTATGTATGTATGTATGTATGTATGTATGTATGTATCACTAACGGAAAAAAGCGGTATACAGCTAAATGTAGAGGGGCATAAAACAAGAGTTTCTTCATAAATGAAGAAGCAGCATAGCCTGCCAAGACCGTGTCTCTTTGCTGCTCCCTAGTTGTTATCATCTTTGAATACTTTGTGCGATGATCATGGAGAAATTAATTAGAAGTACGTCAGATAGAGATTTAGAGCGCCAATCTCAGATGCATTATTTCAGTAGCTAGTTGATTTTTCTTTTTTCCTCTCTCTCTCTCTCTGTTTTTTGGGAGTTAGATACAAAATCTTGATATATATGTTGACTTATCTTTCAGAGGCACATATTTAGCTAGACTGCTAGAGGCTTTCAAGCAAATATAAAGTGGGTCGTTCCTTGCGCAGCTTAATCAGCAATAAAAAGTTTTAAATCCTTAGTTCTTCCCGTCATATCTCTACCATTCAACCCTGTAACGCAGGTTTCCATCTGCATCATTATGAACTGCATTCTGAGCAATAGCCATGTTCATGGGGTTCTCTCTGAAGCCAGTGAGCCCTATCTCTGTGAAGCTTTTCGGAGCAGCCTGGGACATAGCAGAGTAAAACGGACCATTGAAACCCGCAACATCCGCTTTGGCCGACACAGAATTAGCCAACTTGTTGATCTGGGCGGCCCCATCATCTGTTTCTGTCTGAGCTTGATCTTCTTGTTTCGTACCAACACAACTTTTGTCTCCCTCTGTTTCCCTGTAGTTGTTGAGGTACACCTTCAAGGGTCCGACGTAGTTCTCGAACCCCAACGATGTCATAGCCCACAGAAGATCGTCGCCGTTGATTGTCTTCCTCTTCTCTCTCTGGCACTTGTCGGATGCTTCTCCCGTAATGAAGCTTATGAACTCAGACACACATTCTTGAACCGTCTCTTTCGCTTCCTTTGAGATTTTGGCATTGGCTGGAAGCGCCCTTTTCATGATACGGCTAACGTTGGCGATGGGGAGGAACCTGTCCTGTTCTTTGGACGAGCTGTCTGAGATGTTCCCAGAAGTTGGGCTTCCCACAGGACTGGTTTGGTTATTTCTCTTCCCTGTCATGTTCAGAAGAAGATTTGGAACAGAGAAACCTGAAGCTAAAGATGGTGTGTGTTGTGTCTGAGTGGGTGAAGAGGCTCTTAATAGGCCAAGGCTGTCAGGACTGGGGAGAGATATGTCTATCAAAAGGAAAAGTGGACAAAAGGCGATTGGATGTTAGAATATATGGGAAGATTAAGGCAAAGCGAAATGCGATGAAGGCTTTCTCAAGGGATGGCCGTTTATATAAGATGCAATGCAATTCTCTCCCCTCATCACAATTAAATAAACTAATAATACTCAAATTGAAGGAGAGATAGTCATTTTGAGGTCCTGCGTGTATAGATTGAAAAACCAAGGTGGATACATGTTCCAAGAATTATTTGTTTATTGAAAAGCCTAAGCAGATGCGTGTTGTGAGAACTATTATTTTATGCAATTTGATGATTGACCTCCTCTGTTTCTATTGGTGAGCATGAAGTACGACTGGAAAGGGTCAATGGCGGCAATAACATTCAAATAATTATCAATTTTGGAACCCTGTGGACATTTGAAAGATTGTTCAAATTAAATTTGGGAGCAGAGACTAGTATCACATGAACCTTTGACAGACTATAAAAAATATATTTCCTTTTAATTGATTTTGAATGATGAAATTGTGTTTCCCTTAAGGTTCTTAATCTTAAATTACTTGGTATATATCTGTGTGTCTCGATCTTAGGACCATCAGTGGTGGCTTCTAGAGAGTGAGAAAAATGCTTGTGAGATAGAGTGATAATAACCAGATGTCAGAACGGTAATTGTTCAAAGTTACAAGCCAAATGATGAGAGGATGATTGTGGAAAACGGTTCGCTACAAGACAATATACTTTTGTTAATTGAGTTGGATTTTTCATTGGTTTGGAGCTCAAAACCATAACCTATAACGTGAATTCTTCGCACCAGTGCTCCTAGTATAATTTTGTACGGCTGGGAAAAAAGAACTCAACAAGGTAAGTGGCAGTAGCATCTGTGCTCTCTACTTTTTCTATTGCTCTGTGCCCCTGAGATTCTTTGATCACATCATATCAGTATCATCTCAAGGCATCTCCACCCTCAGTCCCCAATTTTCTACTTTTATACAAGACTCGGTGCGACTATATGAAGCTAGTGTTCAGCTAAATCAGGATCAGTGAAGGAAAAACATTACAACGCAATAGAAGACACTTTATTAGTTCCCTTGGAATATGTTGTCAAGTCTCACGAGCAAGCAGAAAATATCAGAACTCTGAGCACACAAGCTATCGAACAGGCTTCTGACACGTGGAACCCTTCGAGGCATCATCCACCATGCATTTATTTATCATGAACCACGGCTCTTTATCGTGTTCTCTCTGGTCTTCCTAATTAAAATAATGCAGGACAATAATTGTTGGTGTTGTCTCTCTGGGAAGTTTAAATGAATAAATTGTACATCCTGAGAATCCATAATTATTTTGCATTATTTTTTCCTGCTTTGACAGAGTTGAGTCAAAACAATAATCATTTGTGATTGAGAATAGACCCGGTATGATATTCTTTGAAGTGAAATGTCACCCAACACATTGAACATGATATGAGAAGACGACCAACTGTTTGGCATTAAAGCCTCTGAATCAGAGACAATCTTAGCGTGTTTTTAAATTTTGAACGCATTAGTGCTGCACAGATGGAGTTGTGAAATGCACTCTCAATTGTTGATGACAGGCGGCCCGCAAAAAAATACAAAAAACTAACATGTGCGGTACTCTTTCGATTCAATTTATAAGTCATTTCTATCAACTTCATTAATATAAATATAAAAAAATATGAAAAATAAAAATATGTAGAATTTTAAATATATCTCTATATAATAAATTTAAAAATTAATGTCATGTTACTTTTTTTTTATAAAAAGTTATTTTAAAAATATTTTTTAACTATTACTTAAAAAGCTATATCATGATTTATAAATAGGATCAAATTTACATTCTAAAATGTGTATAGGGAGTATGTGGTTTTTGAGATCAAAAAACCAACATGCACGGTTAATGTGTATGAGTCATCATAATTATCCATCTGCATACAATACTGATTCTGAAGTTAAGGTACTGGGCAGGCTAGGTAGCTTGCATGTAGATACACATGTAAGCGTTTTCTAAATCCAAAATCATTGCCTATATATATAGATGCAAAATTAAATATAGTTTAAGTGGAAAACAAATATTTTGTGTCGAGCTTTGTCAAAGTAGCTGTAGGTTCATGCAAGTCGAGTGTTAATAAGTAGTGTCTGTCTTTGTAATGTTTGATAGAATTGTTCGGGGTTGTTGACACAGCCAAATCGGTACGGAGATGCGAAGTGGGATAACATCATTGATGTATGACTACAAATAATATATGCGCTCGTGCTTATGCGGGTGGCTCCCGGTTAAGTGACAAATACAAAAAACAATTTGTAGAAGCTGAAACTACTTTGTCTGTCTTACATATACATATAGTTTATTACTCGGTCTAGCATTTATTGGCAATGGTGAATAAGTTTATAATTTGGATCATGTTCAAAGATACTGTTCTTAAAAGTTATTCTCGCTACACCGGATTAATCACGTGACAGCTCCTCAAAATTAAACAAATATTTCCTATAAAATGAATAGGGCTACAAAACAACAAATATTAACAGAATTTACTTGGGCAATGCAAAGGAGGAGAGAAAGACTAAAAATCCCAACAGTAAGGCTTCATAACTTCTCAAACTACAAGTAGCCTTCATCACGATTTAATTATATGTTTCATAAACATAATAGCGTGTTATTGTAATTCTTTCCATGAGTTTTGAACGTTTGCAACTCTTTTTTTTTTTTAAAATAACAAATGGGTAGTAAAAACTACCTAGACTAACATCATACAAGCCTTATCAAGGAAATCAAAATTAATAAGACCAACGAGCTCACCTGAAGGAGAAGAAATCAATTACAATCCAGGCATCATAGTAAGTCCGTGTTTGGCAAGTCAAACTATTGCTCTATTTCATTCACATTGAATATGTTGCAACTGGATCTCCCAATCATGTCTTAGTAGTTGATGAATATCCAAGAGTAGCATATAATCTTAGTGTTCAATGTTAAGTTCCGCATGAATCAATTCCACGACTTATAAAGAATTTGACTCTAAGACTAATCGTTCGGAGCTCGTGTCCTATGCCATTTTAAGACCTATCAAATAGGTCCACAACTCAGTAGTTAAGCTATCTCCACCCTTCAGATGACAAGTAAAACCATAAATAAATTGTCCACTTGCATCATGCAAATGTGACTCTAATAATAGAAGATGCTTCATCAACATTAAGTTTCAACCACCCCTCATCTAGTGAATGTTTGCAACTCTATCACTTGAAAACAATTAAAATAACGTTTTCAAGCTTCAATGGGAAATAATGTGTGGTTAAAGCACATTAAAAAAATCCATGGAAAAATAATTTGAATATGGAAAATGTAACATTTCAATTTAAATTTTAATAGTTAATTTGGGTTAATAGAAATTTTAAAAAAATAATATTTAGAGGTAAGAAAATTAGTAAGAGATGATTATTAAATCTAACTTAGGATATAATTCTTAAAAAAAATTTAAAAAATAAAAAAATTAAAAAATATTATTAAATTATTATTATAATAAAAAAAGGGAAAAAGTATTAAAAAAAAGGGGGAAGAAGAAGAAGAACAAAATTTCTTTCGGCCGCCGCACAACAATCATTATGTATATAATAATAATAAAAAAAAGAAGAAGGAGAGAGAGAAAAGAAGAAATAATAAAAAAAATATGTGGAACCCACTGAATTTTTATAAAAACTCACTTGTTCCTTCGTTTCTTCATTCATTCCTTCGTGCGCGCTGAGGCAGAGAGAACGCGAGTAACCGGTGCGAAATATCTAAATTTTTAAGGTAAGAGTTTTTAATAGGATATTTAGGGTGTGATTTTAAGCTTTTCAAGACTAAGTAAGTGTTTTAAAAAATTTTCTTAGTCATCTTTCTTCTTTGATTTCTGAGTTTGTAGTGGTAGAAAATTTAAGATCTGAAAGAGGGATGAATTTATGTTAAATAAATATGGTTTTTGAGGTTTTCAGCAGTATAATAAATGTTATAGAGTATAAATTTGTTGATGATCTTTAAATTTGTGGCTTATGGATCAAATTCTAAACTAGATCTGAAAATATATGTTGATTTATTAAGATTTAGATGATTATTTGGGATGATAAATGAATTATTATGGTTATAGGATTATGATTCTAAGCTAGAGACTCAATTTTTAATTTTTGAGTATTTTAGGTATGAATTTATGAAATAAAAATAAAATTTTGATAATAAAAATTAGTTTAAAATTTGATTTTTAGATTATTAATATTTATTAATAATTAAAAGAGGAGTTAAAAATTTTACTTAATAGTATTAACTATAAATTTGTATTAAGATTGAGATTAAGAATTATGTTATATTTTTAATTCTATTATTAGAATTATTTTATTAGTTTCAAAAATTGAAACTAATATTTATAAATAATATATTATTTGTAGATTGTATTACTGGTGAAGATTGTGGTGAGAGAGAAATTTTAAGGAATAATTTATTAAAAAAGTCACAAGGTAACCATGCTTTTAATTTATGATTAGTGTTACTTCATGTTAATTGGGTGATTATTGAGAAAATTATGAATTTTTTTATATTGTATATTGTGCAATATTATTATCAATTTGTTTGATTATTGTGGGAGGTGTTAGGAGACTTGCTATTGTTGTTGTATTTATGTACCATGTGGTACGCCCCTATTGGAGCTCAATAGGTGGCTTGTAAGGGCTCGGGCTAATCTACCTTTAGCCGGGTAATTTAGCACCGAGTGAGGGCTACGGCTCGAGGTTAATAGAGAGATATAAGGATGGTTGTTTGTGTATATTGTAATATTTCTTATATTTATTGGAATTATATTATTTTTAATTCTCACTTGTAAGCACACAATTAACTGTTTGTATACACTATCATAAATTGGCTTTGGTTACTGGGACTTTTGAGTCTCATTATGTGGTTAACAATTTTCAGGAGAAGAGCCACGAATGACACGTGGAGGAGTCTCAGAGGCTTAGTGGCATAGATTCATTGTCTCTTTTGGGTATTTGATTTATGATTTATAATGTGTTATATTACCAATATTAGGGCTTTTTGTTTATTGACAATTATATGAATATATTAGTGTAATCATGTCTTTCAAACTATTTCTATTTTTGGTATACTTTAGATGACTGTAATTTTAATATTTGATTTACTTTGGATTGGTTAAAATGGCATAATTATGAGGCCAAATGATTGGCTTGTGTTGAAAATTGACTAAATTGTTTTTTTTTTACTTGTTGGGTGTATAAGGATGGACAAATGTGATTTAGTTTACTTGTTGGGAGTATAAGGATGGACAAATGTGATTTAGCCTAATGGCATGTGGGAGGTAAAAATTTATCTGAAATGTTATATTGTATGAGTTGAAGCCAATTATAAAATATTTTATATTGAAATTATTGATATAAAAATATATTGGATGGCTGTAACCCAACTATGGTTGAGTTAAATTATTTAAAAAAAAATTTAGTGTGTTACAGAAACCATAAGGCTTCTGGAAAAGCATAGTTACAAAATTAATTTAATTATTTTTGCAAAATAAATTTGGTAAAAAGTATTCAATGTCTCTTTGACACATGAACCTACTTCTCTTTCTAGCTCGCCTACTAACCTACTTTCATTTGTCAGTACATATGCACTGGGAACTATACCCATGTGGATAATATGGGACCTTTTCTTTTAACACACTAACAAAATAATTACAACAATATCATTTATAAGGTACATTATAAAGGGTCTATTTGATCATATTTATAAATCATAGTGTGATTTTTTAAGTAATATTTTAAAAATATTTTTAAAATTACCCTTTACGATAAAGAAAACATAATATAATATTACTTTTTAAATTTATTATATGGGAACATGTTTAAAATTTTATATAATTTTAGTTTTTATATTTTTTTATATTAATATTAATGAAATTGATAGAAATAACCTTTACAAAAAATGGGAGGAGTAATTCATTTATATATTTTGCAACCATTTGGGAATTTTATTAGGAAGAATGACAATTAAAAACCTTCTAAGAATATTAATCTCAATTATGAATCGTAAAATTTTAAAATTTCAATTAAGGACCATAATTGTGATAAAAAATGTAATTTGTAAGGTGGAATTCATTATTGTCACTTAAAAATTCGCTAACCTAATTTGAAAAAATTTATAACGTATATTGTGAAAATATGAAACTTTATTTAAAAATTAATTGTTTAACAAAAAGCGCCACTTGAGAATTCACTAACTCGACTTGAAAATTTTTTTAATGTACATTATAAAAATATGAAAATCTACTTGAGAATCGATTGTTTAATAAAAAAATCAATTTGGACAAGTCACCTTTTATTAATAATTCTCAAGTAAAGTTTCATATTTTTATAATATACTTAAAAAAATTTTTAAGTTTGGTTAGTGAATTTTCAAGTGGCGCTTTTTGTTAAATATTTCACTTTTAAGTGCATGTTCATATTTTCATAATATATGTTAGTAATTTTTTTAAATTGGGTTAGTGAATTTCACCTCACAAACTATATTTTTTTATCACAATTAAAAATTATAATCCTTAATTAAGATTTTAAAATTTCATAATCTGTAATTGAAATTAATATTTTTAAAAAGTCATTAATTATCATTTTTCCATCTCATTAATGCCGGCTTTTACACATATTGCTAGCTAAAAGTCAGCTAACATCGCAGTCCCATTGAATGGAAAGAAAAATTAAAAATTAAAACAGAGAGATGGCAGGCGATGGCGCTGTGGATATACAAACCACGCGTCATATACAGTTCTTTTAAAATCATGACAAAAAAATCAGGTGTGCATGCGATGCTTCCGCTAGAATTGGTTAATAATGATCTCAATAATTTCCAACCTGAAACCAAAGCATGCAATGAAATCATATGTAACAAGATGTATTTGCCGTGATTTTAAAGGACTTGGAACAGGTACAAGTTTTTTTGGTAGCATCTCGTCAAATGTTTATCTGAGCAAACCTTACTCAATAAACACAATATTCTGTACGCCCGTTTAAATTATCAACAGCAATTTACTTACTTTTACTTTAACAACTTGTTCACGTACTGCACAAATATTCTCTCAAGTTGCTCTTGCTTGTAGGTTATAGGAAGCATAACCTCCCCGAATTGCACAAAAGTCTCTCAAGTTGCTGTTGCTTGTAGGTTCCTAGCCTCAATATTCACATGCTTGGGGGTAATCCCAGTGAGGATAACGCGTTAAGAATTTGGAACGACATCTTTGCACGCTATTGCTGTAATGCATGTATTCATGAGTTTGCAAAATGCATCATGGAAACTAATCTTTTTTTTTTTCCTCGTCTAAATTTGTCGATTTTTCATGCATGCTTGTGCGTGCGTTCTAATTTTCTTTTCTTTTTAGACAATTATTAATTAAATTAGACTATAAGATATGAATTAAATCAATAGTGAGTATTATACCTGTAATGATTATAGAAGTTTAAAAATTTGCTTGCATTGATTCTTGAACCTCATGGATTTTAAAAAAATTATGCCGGAATAACTATCAATAAACTTGACAATATTTAAACATGGCCTAGCATGATTAGATAATCATATCAAAAGAATTCTTCAATCCTATAAAAGTATTTAAGTCCAAAATCTAAGGTTCTAAACAATAATCCTTTAACTGAAGTTATTCACAGAAAAATTTAAAATAAAAAAAAGCTCATTTTGTGTTGAAAGCAGCTAGGAATTTTTTTTTTTTTCAGAGGTTAAAACTCGGATTAGTTTTGATCGAGTCGATGATAATGGCTCAGACTACGAAGCCTGGTCGTTTGGAAGCCCATCAAGTAACCCAAGTATATGTGAACCGCAAACTTGCTCCTGAACACGTAGGCTTAAAGCGTGCAAACAAATTCCACGCAAGCGAAAGCCTGCGGGAGTGCGGGTGCTTGCAATGTAAATGTGTGGTTCAGTTGAGCCCAGGACAAACCGCGAAGCTCATTGCCAATGAAAATCTCCAAAACTTCCATGGTTCATCTTAATTATTGCCACGTGTCCTCTTTATCTCCACCCTTTCCCCCCTCCCCCCTCCTTCCTTCCTTCCTTCCTTCCTTCCTCTGTTCCCTTGTATCTTTCATTTTTACTGTCTGCTGTCGCATTTCTGTCTTGCTTGCTTCCACCCTTTCCATTGTCCCATACGATTCCCCTTCGGCTCTTCCCGTCCGTTTCTATGCTCCTCAACCGCCATGAAAGCTAGGGTTAGAGTTTGATTCTTACCACTCTAATAACTACCAATCATGGCTTTGTCTACTCTACCGTTACCAGAACTCCACTTTCTTTCCTCTCAGATTACTCCTAGACGTCGTCTTACTGTCTCTAGATTTTACACGGTTAAGTCTGTCTCTGGGCATACCGGGTGCAGTGTTGCTATTCGTACGCAAATCCGCGCCGTCAAACAAGAAGTTGCTTTAATCGAAGAGAAAGAGAAGGAATTGGTGAAGAGAGTAAATGATATAGAATGGAGTGGCAATGGAGCATCCGGTACTAGCGGGAGTAATCACGGTACTAATGGATCCACAAAGGGATACGTAAATGGTAGCTTGGGTGTGGTAGAGAGTGAGAACGGGAGCAACTATGGGAGCTTGGTGAAGTATGTGAATGGAAATGGTGCAGCGGCTGAAATTTTGGAAGATGTTGAGGCCTCCAAACTGAAGGAGGATGGAAGGAAGAGAAGGATTGAGGAGATTGGCAAAGAAGACGCCTGGTTCAAAAAATCGGGGGAAAACCAGGTCGAGGTATGAGTCTTCGATGTTGATTGATGCTCCCGTTGTCAACACTTTATTTGAGATTCCGTAAGTCAGACGAAGATGTGAATATTGCAGGTTGCAGCTGCACCTGGAGGTCGTTGGAGTAGATTCAAAACGTACTCGACAATTCAGAGAACCTTGGAAATTTGGGGATTTGTTGTAACATTTATCTTTAAGGCTTGGTGGAACAACCGGAAGTTCTCTTACAAAGGTCCATGAGCTGTACATTATAATTATAGTAACCATTGGAGGCATTATATGCCCCACAAACTAATTCATTTTCTCTTAGTCCTATAGATGGCTATGAACTAAAATTCTGGAAGTAGCTGTAAAAGTTATAGCAGGTTAATTATGCTAGGCAGCGTTGATTCTTGCTACACAATTAACTATGCCTCAACAGTTAACCTCACCGATGTCATGATTTTATTATTTTTTTGGTGGATGGTCTAGTTACAATGTTCATTTTATTTATCATCCATACTTTATGTTCTAAGAATTTATACTAACAAGAAATAACTCTTCTAACACGTGAAGTATTTTTCACGAAATTCTATGGGGGCATTGATTTGATGACATTATTTGCAGGAGGAATGACTGAGGAAAAGAAAACCTTAAGACGGAAGGCCCTTGCCAAGTGGCTGAAGGAAAGCATTCTGAGACTAGGTCCAACTTTTATCAAAATTGGCCAGCAATTCTCCACAAGGGTGGACATTCTTCCACAAGAATATGTTGACCAGTTATCGGAATTACAGGTTTTTATTTTGAACACCATTTATAAGATTGATAATTGGAAGGAAATATTGAAATGTCATGAACTTGCTTTTGTTGTATAACCTTTTGTATATTTTATTATTAATGATATTTCATCATCCATACTTGGAACTTGAGTTATTAGATGTACATCTTCTCCATCCAATGTTACTTAACTGGTGCACTAAGACAAGTGTGACGACAAAATATATGACAGAAAAATTGTAGTTATAAAATTATGATGAATAGAGAGTACTATGCTAAGGTTGTATTTAGTTGGAGCCTAAGCTACCTCAATACTGGGTCCAGGATCAAGTTCCTCCTTTCCCCTCAGAGACTGCTTTAGCCATTGTTGAAGAAGAGCTTGGAGCACCTATAGGTGACATCTTTGATCGATTTGACTATGAACCAATTGCTGCTGCAAGTCTTGGTAATCATAATTTTACTTTGCACTTATTTCTCATGTTGCATGAAATTGAACTTAAGTAATTGGTATCTTACTTGATGAGATGACAAGAATAATGATGTCTTATAGTTTTTCCAATGCAGGTCAGGTTCATCGTGCAAGATTAAAGGGACAGGAGGTTGTTGTTAAAGTGCAAAGACCTGGTCTCAAGGGTCTTTTTGATATTGATCTTAAAAACCTGAGGGTTAGTGTTATGAGTCTGTCATAACATTTCATATGACCTTGTGCTGCATGCACAAGTGATGTTTCTATGTGATAATTGCACCATTTTTATCTCAAACTTATTATCTAACTTTTACCAGCCTGCCAAAGTTGTCACTTTTTCTTCAAGATATCATATATTAACTTGTCTATACTGCGAAAACTCTGTTCATGCATGTGTTTGGTGAAAATTTCTTCTGAAGATTATGCGGCAATATTTCAAACACTGATACTTAGGCCTGCTTTCCCCCAGGTTATTGCTGAATATCTTCAAAAGGTTGATCCAAAATCCGATGGGGCAAAAAGAGACTGGGTGGCTATTTATGATGAGTGTGCCTCTGTCTTATATCAGGTGATGATAATCTAGTGATGGGCTAAACAACGATTGTTGTAGGTTGATTAGGGGGTATTTTATTCAAACATATAAAATAGGTAAGAATTTAGTTAGTTGTCGCGAGACATGTCATTCTTCAAATTGAGGCATATTTGTTGTTCTAGGTTTTATATTTAACTTATTGTCTCTGGTCAGTGGAATTATTCTGTGAATGTTAAAGGCTAGCCATCATACAGTTAGCATGACTTTGTAACTAGTGAGGTGGAAAGAATTGAGAGAGAGAGAAGAGGGAGGGTTGCAGCATTTTGAGCTGCAAGATTAAAATTTTCTATTGCTGTGATGGGAAAAAGTGTATCTCGTTATAAAAAAGAGCCCCACTAAACCAGCCTTAATAAAAATAATTTAAGTAGTATATCCTGTAGAAACAGATCATGCATAAGAATGCCTGTTAAGGTTTTAATTCCTGTTTGATTAATGGATATTATTCTTGTTTCAGCAAGATGCAATTGCAATTTATATGCTTCAATCATCCTCAACTTTCTCTTTTCCTGCTAATGTAATGCAAGTTGACATCTTTCAGGAGATTGACTACACCAAGGAAGCTACTAATGCAGAGCTCTTTGCTAGTAACTTTAAAAACATGGATTATGTTAAGATCCCTATAATCTTCTGGGATTATACCACACCGCAGGTTTGACCTTTGTTGTCCATGGATGTGGCCAAGTGCATCTGTCTCATTTTTGATCTAATATCATTCTTATCTATCCCTTTCTAACTTGATATCAAATGCAGGTGCTGACAATGGAATATGTTCCAGGGATTAAAATAAACAAAATACAAGCATTAGATCAGCTTGGGGTTGACCGCAAAAGGTTAATGGAACCTCTTTGTTTTTATGTTGAAGTTCCGAGTAACAAGTGATGTTTTACTTTTATACTTTGAGGCTCGGAATAATGTCTATTTAAAACAATTAAAATATTGCTCTTATCTTTTACAGGTTAGGGCGATATGCTGTTGAGTCATACTTGGAACAGATTCTATCACATGGTTTCTTCCATGCTGACCCAGTGAGTTCTTGATGTTAATGTTGACCTTAGGCACCATAGGTTCAAGTGCAGCCCACAGACCACAAGACACTTGTGTTATTATATCATTTGTTTCAACATAAGTTGTTATTGTTCCCAAGTTAATTTGTGTATATTTTGTCTTGTTCCCTCTTGATATTGTTAGAATGAGGGATCTTCAATCCTTATGTTTCATGGTTATCACTTAGGAAATTTGACACTTGGTGCCCTATCTTGCCTGTACTTATTGTTCATATTCTTGCAGCATCCTGGAAATATTGCGGTTGATGATGTCAATGGTGGCAGATTGATATTTTATGATTTTGGAATGATGGGAAGGTTTATAATTTGTCTCTGGCTATTTAAACATGAATGTACCATTAATACAATTTTTAACCTTGGCAGATGATTAACATTTCATCTTTATTGCATCTTACAGTATTAGTCCAAACATACGAGAAGGTTTGCTTGAAGCATTTTATGGAGTTTATGAGAAAAATCCAGATAAGGTTATTATTTTTTTATGAATGGTGTCCTGCCATCTCATCTTAAATGGATCAGTCAAATTAACAGTGTTTATGGGTCTACTGATGACTTTTTGAATTGCTTTTTCACTCAATATTTTTCTACAACATTTTTTTTGTTGTCATTTTTTTTTATTTTGTTAAAAAAATTAAAACATATTTGATCGTGACTGCTGACATTTAGAAATTATTTTTATATTGTATTTTCATGATATCATATTAACATATTTATGTTTATATAATTTTAAAAATCTTTTTTTTTTTACAGGTAATAAGTTCAGAAATAAAATAATGTGTTTATATCTTTAGTATGCACAAAAGTAAAAAAATAACAATTTGTTTTTTATTGCTAAATAACATGGAGTTATTAAAACAACTTATTATACATTTGTGGCATGGATAATAAATCTTACTAATGGCCTTTTTTTTTTTTTAAACTGCAACGTTTTTGTACATTTTTCTATGTCCATCATATTTTTCCAGTTTGTTAAAAAGATTAAAGCATAGTGGCTATGTTAGAGTTGGATAATACAAAAGTTAATGTTGGTACAATGAGACTAGAGAATGCATATATTTAATAATAATCAACAACTTAATCAATTTTGCTTTTTTGGAGTTGCGGCATGGTTTCATATTATGATTTATTAATCAAGTTATTACCCTTTTCTAAGAATAATTAAGACTTCTTATATGTTTTGTTTGAATTAAAGAAAAATAGAGATGCAAGTGAGATTTATTGTTTTGTGAGTGTCACATGATTAACTTTCGTTTCTTCTCTTTTCCTTTAATTACTTCATCTTATATTGTAGTAAGGCAGCTAGATTTCATGATTTAAATTTAATGCACATGCTCTTATTCTAGGAAAGATCTCCCAAGAAGCAAATATAAAGATGTACTTCATTGTTTTTATTATTGTAAACATATTTTATGCAATCTAAGACTAGTGACATTTGCCAGAGAAAAAAATTAAAAGAATTATAATGTGTTATAGCCTACCAAAAATAGATCATAGATTGAATACAACATGAAAGTCACATTCTATTAAGCCATAATTTTTCATAAAGATACACATTCTCATAATGATGAGAGACTAACAAAAAAGGAAAAAAAAAAAAAATTCGTTAATTTCTCTTCAATTCCATGCATTGCACAGGACATTTTCTAGTTCTATGAATACTATAATGTAAAATTGCATGCTTTGTACAAATTACTAAATGAATCTTCTGGCTCGATTTAGGTCCTTCAATCAATGATTCAAATGGGTGTTCTTGTCCCAACCGGAGATATGACTGCTGTTAGACGTACAGCACAATTCTTCCTCAACAGGTAGCTTGCTGAACCCAGTTGGCAGTAGTTTTGAAAAGTAGAAAGCATGTAGCACTAGTAGGATTTTTATTAATCTATTTTATTGTATGAAACAGTATATCATGGTTTTAAATAATTGATTGGAACATTTAGGAGCATGCAGAGTTCACATAAAGTATCCTACTAAATTGAAGAGTCCAAGTCCTTGATTCTGTAAACAATTTTGCAAGTTCAACACTGCCTTAGTTTTGTTTTAACCTAGATAATCACATTTCCTCACTTTGTTCATTGCTCCGTGGGGATTGCTGTGAACTTATTCTTATTTTGAAACAGTTTATTAGTTTTGCATTCCTACTGGAGTTTTACAAAATCCACTATGAGAGGAGTTTTTGTTTAAAATCATTTGACAGGTGCCTTTATCAGGATTATTTTGTTTGGCAATATTTTCACGATTTTTTGTCAAATTACTGAAAAGGACATGTACTTTCATAGGTGGGTGAAAAATTTTAGTAGTTATGGTAATTAATGATTCTGAATGGGGGAGCGAATGTCTTGAAAAATATTTCACTTCTGCTTCTGCTCTTGGTTTAAAGGACAAGCTCTATTTTTTTTTTCTCCCATTCTCCTCACAGCGAAAAAAACGAAAAGAAAAACTCTGCTACCACTAAGAACCAACTCCTTTAAAAAAAAAAAAAAAGCAGGGCGAAATTCCTCTGTTAACCAAAACAAGTATTTTTTTCTTGAAGGTGAAAAAAAAAAAGCAGCTTCTCCAAAAGCTTAACAAAGCAGTCACTATATCTGATATGCTGGTGGCTGAAATGCATTGTTTGTTGATTGGTGTTTTTCAGAATCACTTGTGTAGCCTGATTAATTATGTTATAAATACTGACATGTATATGAAATTTTTACAGTTCCTGACCGGTTGTTGATCTCAGTAGTATTTCCTTTTCCTTCGCTGTTAATATTTTGTAGAATACTTTGAGTGCACTGACTGATTATGTTATCAATCTTCTAAAATCTATTTGGAACTTTCGTTGAGAATTTCTGACCTTGCATTCTTGTAATACTCTATAGTTTTGAAGAGCGTCTAGCTGCACAGAGGAGGGAGAGAGAGACAGCAACAGCTGAACTTGGATTCAAAAAGCCATTAAGCAAGGAGGAAAAGATGATGAAAAAGAAAGAACGCTTGGCTGCTATTGGTAATGTACCTGGTGTAATTGCATGAGGGTCTTTAAGTTATGCTTTATGCTATTCAATCAATGTATGTAAAGTATATGACAATTAATTATCGTTATTTTGGTCACGTGAGGAAGCAAACAGGTGAATGCCAGGAAGATTATATAGTATGCATGCTATAGTCCACCTAGCCTTGTTCCTATCGATTATATTTACTCATTACGAATTTTTAAAATTTTTGTCCAGTAGCTTACAGGTAGGTGAAGAATCTTATGTACTGTTTTATGAGTTATTACATACATTATGTTTTTTGATCTTATGGTTGATTTTCATAAAAAAATAATAGGACTTTGACCATGAAATTGGACATGCCCCAGATCAACTATAAGCGTTATGTCATGTATCTGGAGCCCTGGTCTTTAAATTATTTCAGTGTTATGTTCTTAGTTCAATGACATTTTGCAATCAGCAGACTTAATTTTACTTTGAGAAAAGTTATGTTTGCTGCTGATATCCGTCTTATTTTATAACAGGTGAAGATTTGTTATCCATTGCTGCAGACCAGCCCTTCCGGTTTCCTGCAACATTCACATTTGTTGTTCGAGCATTCTCAGGTGAATATAATTTAGGTTAATTCATTAATTATGCATTTTACATGCATGTGGTTATTATTTCAAAGAGTTAATGTTCCTTTTGTAGTGTTGGATGGCATTGGTAAGGGGCTTGACCCACGATTTGACATTACTGAGATTGCCAAACCGTGAGTGTTGTCTTTATAGTTTATCAATTTTCAAACCTTTTAAATTTCAATTTTAAGCATTTATTTTTTGCATGCTTAACATATCTATCCTGCTTTGCCTTGTAGTTATGCTTTGGAATTGCTAAGATTTCGTGAAGCAGGGGTTGAAGTTATCCTAAAGGCAATGATGAATTTCCTCTTCTGTGCTTGAATTCAGTATCCTCTAAGGATTTGTTTTCTCATGTCCTTCTTGTAAATGTGCAGGACTTCAGAAAGAGGTGGGACAAACAGTCTCGAGCATTTTATAACTTATTTAGACAGGCTGATAGGGTTGAAAAGCTTGCTGACATTATCCAAAGACTGGTAATACTCTGATTTTTACTGAAAATTTGAACTGTTCATTTAATGCATACCAGTTGCTTGGTCTTTGACTTCTGGTATTCCAGACCTCTGCTAATTTCATTTAATTTTTACACAGGAGCAAGGTGATCTGAAGCTCCGAGTTCGAGCTCTGGAATCTGAGAGAGCATTTCAACGTGTTGCCACTGTCCAGAAGACAATAGGAAATGTGAGTCAAGCCGGCCTGTGACTTTTTGGAATTGTAAAGTTTACTTGTCACTTAAAATGAGTCTGTTCTTGTGTCAAAAAAATGAGTCCGTTCTACAGTTCTACTTCCTAGATGTTAATGTGTTATTTTCTGGGAGGGATGCAAGGCCTGTAAATGGCTAATGGATGTAGATAATTTGTTCATACTTGACTAGAATGTATTGCATTTATGCATGTATGTATAGTAATCCACGCGCATATTTTGTCTACCCGTTTGTTGATGTTAGTTCATGATATTAGTATCTGATGAAAAACCAGAAAGACCTGCTACGCAACAGCATGATGCATATTGACTTTACATTGTTATCAATTGACAGGGTGTTGCTGCCGGGAGCTTCATAAATCTTGCTACAGTTTTGTATCTCGGTTCAATTCGCGTAAGCTTTCTTGCTACCCTTCTTTTCTCGAGGTCGTTAGCAAGTCAATTAATTGATTTTCTTTTGGCCAAAAAAAAAAAAACAATTAATTGATTCTCTGTTCTTACTTTCTCATTCCTCTGTTACTTGTTATCTTTTTCAGGTACCTGCCATTATAGCATATGCCTTGTGTGCATTTTTCAGTTTTCAAGTTCTCATTGGCATTGTGAAGGTCAAGAAGCTAGATGAACGAGAACAGTTGATAACAGGGACATCTTAATCAACCAGTAAGTCACAGTAGCGTACTCTCAACTGTCTGTACGATCAGTGTTTTGATTGGGTATCCTTAACGCTTTACTGGCCCCTTTTTTTTTTTTTTCCCTTTCTCTCTTTCTTTTCCATTTCCTTGATTGGGTCCATTGCAGAAGGAGGATGGATAATGTAGCTAGTGCTGGTGCTACTTGCTAGTTGACGTCCAGAACGAGAATATGGTTAAATGCTCAAGGAAAGCTAAATTCATCCTTTCAAAAGACGTCAACATATGCAAAAAATTCTGGCCGGCAAATTACATGTTGTGACTTGTGAGTGTTTCTACAGGCTCGAGGCTTCTGTTAATTAATCTCTTAAGATATGGGGCACCTATGAGGTTGCGAAATCATTTTTTGTTGTTAACCTGAGCCCCCTTTCCTGGTATATTTCCCTTAATAACAGTTCAGAAATTGTATTCTTTACCCTTCTTCCACACCGGCTGTTATGCAGGCTTAATGATAACGTGGCATTTATTGTTGTAAGTAGAATATGATATAGTGCAGCTTACCACAAAATTTGACAGTGGCAAGCTCATCCTGAAATTGACGAACTTGAAAAAAATATAAGTGTATGGCGCCCATGTGATGGCTTTAAATTACAGTTTAAACGACATTTTTGGTTCTTTTTGGTTTACGTGATTAATGCACAGACATTCTTGTCCTGAAAACGTAACACCACCTTCATCATTGTGCACACAGGACCTAATTTAAGTCGCTTTGTCCATTTCGTATCTGACAAGATTTCCGTCGTTTGCTGTTTCCGTTTCTCTGGCCTGTGTCCATGGAAGAAATGATCTCCTGTTGTTCAGTCTCGTGGCTTTAACGTGACCGTTCCTTTAAATGTCAATATTCAAGTGTAAACATCATGACACAGGAGGACGGAGCAGCCTGGGAATAAGGACAAGCGTATCCCAAGGAAGGAACATCATATGCCAAGTAGCTCGCTAACGTCTGGATCGAGGGTAGGTTATCCAGACATCCTACATGAGCATGTTTTGCGACTTCTGTCAGCCGAGCGGGCGTAGCAACCTGGGTGGTTTTTTTTTTTTTTTTTTTTAAGTAGAAATTGGCACTAAAATTCAACCAAAACTATAAATAGTACAAAGCATAAAGCAAAACAACAAAGAAACAGAGAAAACCTTCATCAATCACCATTTTCAATAATAAAATGCGGGGTTGATCACAAAGAGAACTGCTGAGTGATCACACTGGGTTTTCATAAGAACAGGATTTCTTATTCTTCATTGTCACAATCAAGTCATTTGACTTTGGAAAACGGGTTGTACGGGTGGTGATGTGCGAGTGGCATGTTCCACACTTCCACTTCAACAACCTCATCTCTCTCTCTCTCTCTCTCTCTCTCGGTAGAAAACAATCTCATCTTTGTTTAGATGAGAGAGAATAGAGAATGTGGGTGGAAAACACAGGATGGATGAACGAAAGAGAAGCGTGAGAGGAAAATATTTTCTTTCCTTTTGTTTAGATAAACAGTAAAAAAGAAATAAGAGCCATTAATCTCTTCGCTTTCAAAGAGAACTGGTAAATAAATGAGAGGACAGAAATATCGTACTATCAATCCAACAGATCTCAACACTAGGATTCGTTGAAAAGAGAAATCTCAATTCTAATAGGTTATGCCGGGCTACTGGTTAGTGCAAGTTCCCTTTTGCTGGCCCATTTATTAAAAATGTCAATTGCCTGTCATTGGATTCATATATTATTTTTTTTAAAAAAAAAAGAAAACAGAAGTGTAATCTTTGTGACATTCAAGAGGATCAAATTGCATGTATGAAAACGGGGGGAAAGGTAAAATGTAAGAACATTCAATTTTTCAAATATTAAAATGAGTGTCTCATTCTGGTACTAAAAAAAAAAAAAGTCTCATGCAATTTTTACTGAGGTTTTGTACTCGTTATATATAATTGAAAATGCATAAGTAGATCCTCATTCCTAGAATCATTCAGTAAACTAGCCTATGTATTACATTTCAGAATTTTATGATGAGAAAATTAAAAAACAAATTCCATGGTTATCAAATGAGTCCGGATTTTTGGTTAGAAGAAATTTTTGTTTTCGGTTTATCCATTATCTACGTCTGAGAATTGGGACAAGGGGAAAACGGCCGAAACATGTTAAGCGCTTCAATGAGCAGATCAGAATATGAGTTTCTGCGATAGATGCGTAGAATATAAACCTAAAAAAATCTCAGTAAAACACTAAGTAGTAATAAACGATCCTTTAAAATTACGAACGTGGGTAGCTTTGGACAAACCAAAGCATAATTAAAAACAAAACCATACAGAAATATTATCATCTAAGGTAGAGAGTTGGTGTAGATGTAATCTTCATTCTCCAGAACGTCTTCTTCCAACTCGCCATTCCCTTTCTTGCACTCAACGCCCTCTTTTTCACACCAACCTCTTCTCTGCATGACATCATTATATTATGGTAATCAATTACTCCAAGAACTTTGAATCAATCTAATTGTCTAATTCAACAGCCAGAAAAACAGGGCATCAAATATCAATAATCAGAGAGGGAAAGGGATTCAAAACTCACAGCTGAGGAAGAACTTCCAGAACCCACAACTAGTTCATCGCTAACTGCTTTGCCTTGAACAGCCAATTTGACAATGAAGATGAATAGCAGAATCAGAAACAAAGCTGGTTTCGAGAGTGTCATTGTTGTAGCTATAGCTAGCTAGTTTGAACCTCGAATCCTGCAATAATATGCGACGTGTGTGATTCAAGTGTCGTGTCCCTTATGAAACGAAGGTGGTCCGAAAACTTTACAGAGCAGCACCGACGACGAGAGGTTGATATTGTACAGTGTAATAAGCTATTATTCAATTAAGAGTTTCAGCTTCTTCTTTGACCTGTCTTCGGATTCCTGAGCATAAAGCTCGCACATCAAGAGCTAGGTTGGCTTCTCTTGGTGTTTTCTCACTAAATTATTTAAAATGGAAGGACACAAGAGGCTGAGAGAGATCGCTTGCCCAAAGAGGTGTCCACTACTTTGTTTGATACCATTTCTTTATTTCTTCTATTATTATCATTATTATTTAAATTCTGTTGGAACAATCTCTGCTGTTTCCAAATGCCTTGTTATAGAAGACTGGTAAATATCAATTTTCTTATCCATCATTTAGAATTATTAAATCTGTTTTGTTTTTGTATAGATGTCTTCACAGGTTTTAATTAAATTCAAATTGTATAAAAAATAGTTTTTTTTAATCCTTGTTGATAAAATCGTGTCAATTTATCAATGATCCAGCTATTCTGTGGCTCATTGAGCAAATCAAGTGTTGGAATTTAATTTATTTGATTGAATAACTCAGGTGGTCCAAAAGGTGGTGAATAAAATTTGTAATGCACCGCTAGTTTTATTTTTTTTTCCCCGAGGGATTCTTATTCTTTTTGTAGGTATTCATTCATATTTTTACATAAATTAGGTAGAACTCGGGTCAAGTTTAAAGTGGTTAGACTGGACACGTATCTTTGATTTTGATTTTCATTATTGAATCAACAGTCAATTAGTAATCAGTAATCACAGCTGAATTTTTAAATGTAATTTATTCTAGTATTACGTTTTAATTATGATTCTATTCTACATGACTTCCATTGCGGAATAATTATCACGGTACCTTCACCGACTCCTTTTCTTCACAATAACAAGAAAAAAAAATTGATATGATTAAAAATGAATTCCATCATATATGAAGCGTTAAGATAATAAATAGGGAAGATATTCTATTATTTAAGGGAGAATATCAATAAAAGATACAAGAAATAATTTAATATATCTGATAAACTCTAGACAAAAAGGGAAATTTTTTATACTTAATATATTTGTTTTCAATTAAATTAAGAACATTTGGTCTTTTATAAATTATTTATTCTATAATAAATTATTAATTTTATAAATACATTAAAATTCACTTATCATTATTTGATTGGATAAAAGTGTATTAAATATACAAATTAAATATATAAGTTTTACCCCTAAACAAATTGAATACTTGTTAAAGTAATAATTTCATTCATTGATTTGTTAACGTTTACTTGTTAAAAATTATTATTAAATATTAAATTATTATTAGATCCTTTATTAATATTTGCTCAGATAAAATATCGCACTTTTTGTTACTTTTTTTTTTATAAATTTTTTTAAAGACCAACAATAATGTAATGTAAAGATCTGTCGTGAATATCAACGTTTGTTGCTGACAAGCACCGTGTTCCCTGGTGCCAGCGTTTCTTCTAAAAGCAAATACTCCAAGTTTTGACAAAATTAATGCATTTAGGAAGAATTGATAAAAAAGATTTACTTAAAAAGAAAATTGTGCCTTAAGATCAAATAAAAGTTAAGGACCAACCTCATTATAATATTCAAAAAAAGATGAAATGAATGGACCAAAATGTCCCTCACCCATTCAACATTACTCTTCATCTACATTTCGAGCTCCCACCTCCATCAGCTGCCATTCCTCGTCACTCACTTCATTGTCTTGGCTGTCGGCCTACCATTTTCCAACTCCATAGTTTGTGTTCTCTTCATTTTCATTAAGTTTGCCCATTTTTCATTCTCATTGTGTTTTCCCCCATTCCATTTCACTCCAGTCTCCCTTCGACGACCATTGATCATGCTTCTCTGCCAATTCAACATCTCTGCCTCATCATTAACCTCTATCCAACGTTAAGCTTCCGTAGGATGGGTTTTTTTAAGAGCTGGAGGCCTCCCTTTATTTGATGCTTTGTCAATTCTTCATCTTATTCTAATTTTGTGAACTCAAATTTTGATGCCAAGATTTTTTTGGAAGAATCTAACTTAGAGTAAGAACTATAATTGGAACAAGTTTGGGCACAAGGAAGCAACACTCAAACTTATGAATCGTGAATATGCCTGTACATTTTGCGAGATGGAATTCAATATGTTTGTAATTATATTGTTTCCATATAATTAGTTGTAAATGTCTCACTAAATAAATGTTAAACCCCAAAATAAACCATCTTCAACAAAATTGAGAACATCTTCAAAAGAAATTGCTATTATATGTTGCTTGCATACTCGTATTGTATGGATGAGAAGTAGTTTATTGAGTTTTTGAGATGTTAATACAAGTGGTACCACACATCACATATGCCATAAAAGATTAAATTTAATTAGTTGTTGTAATTCCTGTGGATGGGAAGGTGGGACTGGCAGATGTTTGTATGATTGAGAGTGGATAAGAATTTTTGTGAAGTAGAGATGCTTTTTCTTTATCCATGTTATTTTGGTCAATTCATCACATGGGAGTATATTTTTTGCTTTTACAAGTGACGTTAAATATAAGCCATTTATTGAGATTTTACAACAATTTTCCTTTTCTTGGTTACGTGAAGGACATTTGGAAAGTGTTTCTAGTTCTTCTTCTTGTTTCAACTCATTTTGTTGTTTCGCCATTTATTTCTGGGATCCTGATATAACCATCTTGCTTCATAGTTTCACAATTTCATAAATATCATTGTGCAATTATCGGCCACTTTTTTCATAGCATTATTCTTTGTTGCTTAGTCTTCCTATGGTTTAAATTATGGTTCTTAATTGGTTCTACAATCAAGATATA